CTTAAAATTTGACCATTCAAAGGCATTTTAGCGCGTTACGGTAGCTTTAAAGAGTCTGTTTCCATGTAAACGGCTCACAATAGGTCCTGCAAGCTAAATACTGTAAACTATTCTAATTAAACTTTACTTCAAATCCTTTTAAAACCCATATTTTTACCCCACCCATCTAACTTCTCCAACTTTTACCTAAAAACCCCAACCCTTCCCCCTCCATTTTCCGTTAAAGCCTCCCCAAACTTGATGCCTAATTCTTGACGCGCCACCAGAAAGCCGGATGACATGTTTTGTGAACGGGTTTATTATTTTTGCAAAGAGCGCCAAATTATTTAAATTTAATTTAATTTGCGCCTTCTTTCATAATTCCCCACATCTGTCTCCGCCACTGACTTTGATTTGGGTGGAGGGCCCTTATCTAATTGGCTTTATTCAGATTAATCATAATTATTATTATGATTCGAGAGTATTTGCATAAGGAATAAAGGCCAAAGGGTGGGGACGGGGTTGGGATTGGGTTGGGTGAGGGTTTTGTAGAGTTGGGTAAGGGTTTTATGGAGCTGGATGAGGGTTTAGAAGGTTGAATGAGGGATTTTGTAGGGTTAAATAAGGGTTTTTGTGGGGTTTGAGGTAAATTTTTGAGTGTTTCAACGCATTTTCGGTGATTTTTTAAAAATTTTCTATGGATACTATCAACATATTATTACATTTTTCATTTTGTTTTTGATTTTTTTTATTTTGAAAACGAAGTTTCAAGTCTTATTTTTGTTAGTTCTTTCAATTACATCTCTTTTTTTGCTTCTTATCCTAGTAGTATATAAGCATAAATGTATTTTTTACAGCTTGTCTTTAATATAAACCTTGATTTCTTGCTTCAACTATCACCCCAAGATCAAACAAAACACAAAACTCATTTTTTAAACTTTCAAGCTCAATTCAAACTCACTCAAATTTCGAAAATTTAAAATAAGCTACCAAGACCCCCTCCCAAATCTAATGAACTTCTTCGCAGATGAAGAGATTATTGTCGCTTGCCGTGTTGGCAGATTCCTTGTAATCGTTTACACTGCCATTCCTTCCCTCCACCTTCCCTCCAAACTCGATCATTCCCTTTAATGACCACCATTATCAGTCTGCGCGTGATAAGAGTTTTGCTTTTTTTTGTCGTTTCTGGAGGCAAAAAAAGGGTTTATCTGTTTCAAATGACATTTTTAAATGATATGGAGATGCGGGATCTGCATACATTAAGCTTTCACCATGACAGCGATTCAAAGTTGTTGCCCTTTTCGGTTTATAATTTCGGATTTTGAGATTGTTAAAATATTGCTTGTTTATAGGGAGGGGGGTTTATGACAGCAATTGAAATGGCAGTAATTTTTGAAATGTTTTGTTCTGTGTAGTATATATTTGACATTTTTTGTGGATAAGGAGAGACAGCTGAATACTTTTTCATTTTTTATTTTTTAAAATTTATATTTAACTTTTTGTTTATTTGTACCCATTTTCAGTTTTTACCACCCCCAATGCAATTTTCATTTAGCCCACTTTTAAAAAACTGGTCATACCAGCATGCTTTATTTAGCTATCTCAGTAATTTTTGTTAAAGCCGTTTTTGGTTGTTGTGATGTTCTATGAGTTATCTCACAAAATGTCAAAATTGGTAAAATAACCCCCTAATGAGAATATAAGTCAAAAAAATAAACAAGCACCCCTCCAGCAATTTTTTACACCTTTTCAATAGTCTCACCTCACTAACATATCATTTCATTAACTTACCAATTCTCATCACAACAATTTCACAACCACCCCCTCATTTAACTTTCCAAACCTCACCCCGCCAACACAAATTTCTCCTCTATATAATATTGCCTTGAAATCTAATCAGCCCAATGACTAAATCTTTTGCAACATGACTGTTTAATGTTTCTTTTTATGTTTTCCATAACATAATTAATTAGACAGCGAAGGGACAGAGAGTGGGGGTACCCGTGCCGGTCACCAGTTGGTAAAGCGAGGGTTTAAGGGGTCATTTGCATGCCCCTAGTTCTCTTATTCTTTCTATAATTTACATCCAAGGTCGTCATATTAGTAATTAATTGTTTGTTGACTTTGGTTTGCATTGGTTTGTGGTTAATTATGTCGGAATCTCAATACTGATTTTTTGGTTTAGTTATGTTATTTTACATTGTAAAATCTTTGTTCTGGGCAATTTTTGCATTGATTTTTGGTCAGAAAAACATTTTTTTGTAACTTAAAGATAGCGAAATGCCTTATCTAAACAAAAACTTGATCAACTTGATCTTTAAAAGCACATCAACCTTATTGTGACCCAAAACTTTATATTATATTACCTAAAACTTCAACTTAAATATTGATCTACTGTTTTTTTAATATAAAAACGCTTTAAAAATTAATAGTAATTTCGATAATAAGTACCCAAAAGTATGTGTTGACTTACTCCCCAAAGGTCAAGTAATAAAATTTTGAAATTAACGTTTAATGGCCTCAGGACTTTTAAGATACAATAACTTTGTAATTGGAGCGAGCGACAATTCCATTCCAAATAGAGATTGTTTATTTACTTATAGCAATTTACTGTCTAATTTCTTTTGAATAACGTTTTATATTATTGTTAGTGCATTACTGAGTATTTATACTAATTTTTTTATTTTTGCTCTTTTATGTACGAACATATTTTAAATTTATATATTAAAGCGTTCAAATAATACCGTGTCCCTTAACCCAAAAAAATTGTTTTAAGAAGGGGCACAGAATTATTTGAACAACATACTATGTGCTGTTACAATATTTATGTATACAGTCAGTGGTGGCAATATACCTGTTAAATATACAGTCAGAAATGGCAATACAAATATACCTATATTAGACATATGTAATATCGTAGTATGTAAGCGACTATGCCCTGGTTTAAGCCCATAGAAGTGTATTAGCACTTTCAAGGTCGTATGTGTTCGTTCTCTGAGCACTGATCTGATAAGTGATACGAACGGTCTTTAACCTATCAATTCGACTGTTACAGAGTTGTACTTTGTGATAAGTTGGGTTTAATGACTATATTTTTAATATTTGATTTTTTTTTATTTTTTCTTTTTTGTGTTTCACTTTATCACTTTATCATCTTTTTGGTTTTTTTTAAATTTAAATTTTTTTTTCAAATTAAAAATTTGCCACAATAATAGTGTAAAGCAAATATTGCTTTTTTAGGTATAAATATCCCTTTTTGTTACGCTTTTTAAAAGCATATAAAACCACTAATATCTTATAATAATATTATAAGAAGACCATGCCAATTATGTCAGGGTTCAAGCTAATTATGTTATTATATAGGGCGAAGGAAGATTAAACGGTCAGCTTTGTAAATAAGATATATTTGAGTTCATTTTATCTTTTTCAATGCTAATTTTACCTCCTATGATAAAAGGTCATGTTAACATCTTAAGTTACTTCTATCAAATTTCTGTAATATCCAAATTTTGTAGGTAACTTTAAACTTGAAAAAAGTTTAAATTCTACTATAATATTGCTTTAAAAACGTGTTTTATAGCTTTCAAAGAATAATAACTGTGAAATCTTAAACTTTCTTGAATCTGAAAAATATTTTTTTTTAAAAAGCTATTATTATGTAGCACAAAAAGACCGTAAAATCATTTTTATTTGACTAAACTCCCCAAAAATAACCTAAAACAACTAAACTCCTAACCAAATCTCAACAACCTACCCCTAAAACCTACTTTCAAGTCACCCCAACTCAACCTATCTACAACAAATCTACAAGACGAGCTTGATTAGTGGTGTGAGGGTCACTCTCGGCTGACCCCCTCGTCGCTCGAGAGTCTTGATTCAGTGTTGTCTGTTCGAATTCGTGAGTTTGGGGGGTGAGCGAAAGAAGGACCGCGCACCTTTTTTTTCGGAAAGCTAACTGACTGTGTGATGGAGTGACCGTCGAATTAGTCAAAAAGGGTTTATTGGTTTTACTACAACATACATACGTACAGTGTTGTTTGACTTTTGTCTTTACTCGAGTTATTTCGGGACAACACTACTGGTTAACCATGGGGGAAAGGTGGGGGTGAGGTTGTATTTCGTTGGCTTTGGGAGGGTTTTTGGGTGTTTTAGGGCTGCTTTAGAGGTGGTTTAGGGGCGATTAATATTTTTTTCTTTAAGGGTGGTGTATATTATTGGAAGGGTGTTTTGTCCTTTCTAGACGCTAAGGTTGTTCTTGATTTTTTTGTTAAGGGTGTCTTTTGCGTTGTTTCACAGCTTACGTTTCGTATTTTATGTTTATTTAAAGGTCTCGTGCTGTTATTTTTACTATTGTTAGTGCTGATATCTTGACTTTTTTTTTGATTTTACTTTTTTATTTTAATATGAAAACTACCCTTTAAAGTTAACAATGATTACAACTTAAACTCATTTTTATATGTTTTCCTCCAAATTAAAACTGGTTTTCCAAAAATTTCAAAAATCTTTTTACCATGTTATCATTAAAACCCCATAACACCAACTTTTTAAAAAATTTTAACAAACTTTCATCAACAAATCCCAGTAATCATAAGTTCCAATATTGTATTTTACCCCACTTCACCTTATTTTGCCCCACTTTGTACCATTTTACCATCCATGTGATCAGACACACGTAATTCATTAAATTACGATGACAATCGATCAATGTGAATGTTTTCGAGTAATCATATCCTTTTGTTTTACCTTGTTTTGTGTGTCGTCGTCGTATCACAAACTTAATTTTCGAACGTTTTGTTTCGTTATTTCCGAAATACGTCATCAATTTTAAAGTTTTATCAGTTTTTACTTATTTTTAAAAAATATTTGTTAAAATATTATATTACACTTCTTTCATTTATATCTACTAATTCTTTCATTTTTCGGATTTCATTCATATTGTCATGTCGCGTAAACCAAAGTAAACTGAAACAATAACCATATTTTAAAATAAAATTTTCAGTGTTATGAGCACATTGGGTCCAATGGTAGTAATGGAAGGAAACCAGTCCAACGGCCAGATGCCACCCAATCAGAACCTAATGCAGATGAACCCCCAAGGCCCCTATTTTCATCAGATGCCCAATCAGATCCCTCCTCAATTTATGAATTTCCGTGGCAACGCTCCAGTCCAACATATCTCAGTACCCAGCTCAGCCGCCCCACCTCCTCCACCACCTTCAACCACATCCTTGAACCGAAGTCAACGATGTGGAGTGTGTCGTGGCTGCCAATGTAAACCCTGTGGTCAATGTACATACTGTCAAGACAGTCCACAGTTCGGAGGTCCTGGAGTTAAGAAGCAGTCTTGTGTGGAACGACGATGTCTACGAGTTTTGGAGAACCGACTTCAACGTGATGCGCCCACGTTCAAGGCTCGAGTAGGATGTAATCAATGTGAAGATTGTAAGCTACCTGACTGTCAGACCTGTTTAGTATGTTTGGATAAACGGTTTTTCGACAATCGATACATGACCGGTGCTTTATGTGCGAAGAAACGGTGTAATAACGCGACGAGTTTGGAGCTACCGATTCAGAATAACAACGATAGGAGTGTAAGTCTTCAATTGTGGTTTAAAAGTTTAAAATCCTTAAAACTTTTTCTAAAGATTTAGAATAAAGATTTTTATACCAAGTAAAACGTTTATAATCAAAGCCACCATCATATCGGTTAGCCTGATACATTTTACAAACAAACAATTTCAGTCGATGAAACGCTCGTACGACCACAGTAATAACTTTGAATACGGTGGAAAACGACCAATGATGAATAACGGAATAATGCCACAACAGATAATGATGCAGCGACAAATCATGCCCATGATACCTCAGGATCCATACGCCATCGTGCGGCTACAGAACATGCAGCAGATGCCTCCTCAACAGATGCCACACATCAACATGCAACAGTTCAACTCAAATAGGTAAGTTACGTCGTCTTTGGCACAACCTTGATATTATTTTTAAATTTAATATTAAAGCCTGAATCGGAATTCAAATGCCTTTTTTGCCATTTTAAAATAAAGTTTAAAGTCCTTAGGATGTCATGTATAACATTCCATTTTCAGCCTTTTAATGCCAATGAATCCACCCCCAAACTCGATGAACGACAACTCCCTGATCAACTCCCAGAACTCCCTGCTCACGATAAAAGAACACCCCCAGCTGATAAAACAAGACTCGGCGGAACAAAACCCACCCACCCCCAACTCCATGCCTACCCCCACCTCCTCGATGAACCCCCAAAATGGTCAATGCCACCAACCACCAGCCTCGACCAATCTCTTGATGAATAACACTACCATGAACGCCCCTGTCATGACATCGTCGTCACCGTCAATGTACTCATACAGCCCCATCAACAACGTCAACAGCCCCTACATGAACTACAATGGCACTCCCCCCAACTTCATGCCCAATGACAAGATGTTCTATGGTGAATATCAGGACATGAAGCAGGGCCAGAATGGGGTTGATCCTTTTACCCCTCCCAGTTACGCGCCCGAGACTAAAAGTGCGGTTATTTTACAGCAACTGTAGCCGGTTATGATAGATTTGGTACTAATAGATAATGAAAGTAATATTGCTTTGATTACCGACTAGTATCAGAGTCTATTTAATGGGTTACTGTAGCTTTGGTTACTGTAATTTAAAGATGTCTTTGTAGATACGTGTAGAAGTTTATATGAATGTCGTTTCATGAAAACAGTACTGTAATTTCTGGAATACCTTCCTACTTATAATTCAGTGTCTTATCCTTAAAATTATACCATGGCAAATGATGGTATGTTCTTAACTTGTTGAAATACCTTTGCAAATAAATTTACTTAAAACTCCTACTTTAAAACCGTATATTATACTGGAACTTCGTATTTTCTAAAATTTTTGCGAATCTCCGACATTCCCGACCAGTCGAACCAGCCGGCTGACGGATCTTTCACGTTGTTTTTCCTATTTATTGTGCCTCAACTCTCATCACTTTATGACATCGAATGTCATGGTATTGCAATAATCTATTGTTATCGTATGTTTTGGGTCCGATGAGGACCTTTTCTTATTATGGTATGTTGCGTAATGTGGACTTGATCAGGTTACTTTATTTTAATTATTGTAGCTTTAGGATGTTGTAGTATGTATATTACAATAATTATAATTTTATCTTACTAGTAGTAATACTATAGTACTGCTATTATAATAGTAACTTCTTTATAGTAATATATGGTAGTAACTTCTTTATAGTAATATTATTTTAGTACCTTTATTTTAGAACTTTTTTTATATTATTTAAGATAATTGCTCTGTATATTACAAGTATTACAGTCGTAATGTATTTAACGTATACTCCTAATTATTGTTACAGTATCCGTCTGATCCATGGTTGGAAGCCCAGAATCTTTCGAATTTTATTGTATATTTTGATTTTCTTGTACTATTTGAATACTGCTAAATATATAATTGTTAATAAACTGAAACGTCGTGTTTTAGACTTGTGTTTTGCATTTTTAAAAATATTTTTTACCTAAAATGTATTGAAATTAAAAGTTGCTATAAAAAAGAGTTAAGAAATACAACAAAACTACTGTGACACAAAGTTCAAATTAAAGCGAAGCCAAGATTTATAATATGGAACAGAAGGTTACACTATCATTGATCTTGTGAATTAACATTGCCACTCAAAGACAAAACTTTACGTGACCATACACACAAGGTGACATCAAGAGGCGTTGTTGACCGCTTAAAATCCGGGTCAAATCATTTTCGAAAAGCGTTTCGTTTATAGTCGATCCAGAAGCCTCGTTCAACCATGTTCATCAAGGTTGCGCTTTTGGCGTTTTGCACTGTTCAAAGTGAGTTTGTATTTGAATTTTAAATTCAAAACTAGTTGTTATACTAAGATATATAGTACATACATTAATACACAGTATATATACTTTATTAGCAAATTGATAGTATATAATAGCTGAAACTTCAACCTTGTTGTAGTACTTTTTATACAACCTTATTTTAGTTGATGCTCAGTTAGCAGCCGTCTACTCAAATGTTTCCAGAACCAACGAATGCTCCAGTTGGAGCAGCTGGGGTCCATGTATATGGCCTGATCCGGTAAATCGAGTAAGTTTGTTCAATAGTTATAAAAAGGTTTTGCTCTTTAAACTTTTTAATTATAAAAAACCGGACCTAACCCCAATGGACGTATTTTAACATAAAACCTCATTAAAAATTTTAAAAAATAAAATCTTAAACTTAAAAAAAACTTAAATTTTCCGGATTTAAATCCATAAGACGTATTTTACATGCAAAATTATTAAAAACTATATTTTGATATAAAATGTTAATAACCTTTCAGAAGCCATATATGGCCCAACTCACATCAGTGTGCCGCAATCATTGGTTCTACAAGTTCATTAGTAAAAGATATCAAAGTGCGTTGAACAGTTTCTTTGACTATTTCCTATCAATCATGAGATCAACTAAACCATGTGGATTCTGTTCTTACAAACAAAGTTGTGGCTACGGAGGTAAACAGAAGTGCAACTTGTCGCCTTTTGAGTAAGTATTAGCTTCGTGTCATCACTCCTTCTCATGAGGTAAATAACTTCATAGAGAAACATCAATTTTGCCGCTATGATTTCCATTTTCGTCACTTACACGTCAAATGTTACCTAAACAATATAAATCTTACACATTACCTTTAGAGTCCCTGGTGGTCGTGCTATAATGCCATTCTTTGTGTCCGAAAAGGTTTGTAATCGTCGTGATCTGAAAGGCCAAGACCAAAGTGACGCATGCATTGTTGATTATGACCTGGTAAAGGAGAATGGCGGAGAATGTAAACTATGGCCATCTCGTCACGTTAGCCTTGAAGAAGTGGAAGCTCCTTTCAGATCTCAAATTGAAAACCTAAAGTGGTACTCATGTCTTACACAGACCGTCAAGTAAGTTTGACCTTGTTTTTCATCTTCTAATTTATTGGAAAACATCGTTTTCTTTTTTTTAATTCAAAAACATCAAATAATGTAGACAATACCTAAAAAACAAAATTCCACATGTTAAAACTAATTTTTAATAGCATAATACACAACAAATCCTCAAAAAATCACAATAACTTACATTAAAATCAGTTTTGGTTGATTATTCCATAAAGGTCTATGTTAACATACCTAAAAACATCAAAAAACTATAAAAACTTACAGTTTTAATATCCAACGATGACGACCTTGTTTCAGAGACGAGAAAAATGAAAAGTCAAAGCCAGAAAAGGTGTGCAGATGTTGTTGTTTCCCATTCCGACCAAATCCAATCACTTTCAAGTGTGAACATGCACCAGGAGCACCAGAAGCACCAGGAATGGAAGATTTATAAACACATGAATTAAACCAAACGGTCTCTTTAATTATTATACCAAAAACGTTATCAATCTAACATATTTGGCTCACATTTTACCACAGATATATTGCAATATAAATAAACAGTATTATTAAACGAAATATAAAAAAAATGTAAACGGTCGAAGTGTCACTATTGAATTTTAAATATTTATGAAGATTTATTGTATTTTTATTTCTTTTTCGATATTTTAACCTTTTTCATTATAACATTTATTCTATATAGTCTTCTACATGTTCAAATAATATTTACTCAGTAATATTTATATAATTTTTTCAAGATACTTCAGTTACTGATCAGAACTCGCCCGTTTGACTTCTTGATCTCCGGCTCAGACCCGTTTATGCCATTCTTTGGTGGAATACCTCGTTTGATCACGTGCGGAATTGTTTTTGGCACCATTTGAATACATTCCGGTACCGGGCAGACACTGTAACATAGAGTGCATCCAGTGCAGTTGTCGGTTACGAATGGCAGGTGAGATTCGGCGTCGAAGCGGATAGCTTGGTATCCACTGTCGTTACAGGTCATGTAGCACTTGCCACAGTTGATGCAAAGGTCCTAAAGTTTTAAATGTAAGTTTGGGGGATATTGTTTTAGGTTGCTGTGTATTTTTGCGGTTTTTGGTAGTTTATTTGTTAGATTGTTAGAAATTCATTAAAAAAATTGTTTTAGAGGCAAAACTTACATCATCGACTAATGCCACCTTTTGCTCTTTGTTGGTCAACTCATTGTAAGCTCCAATTCTGTCTAATGCACAACCAATGATCTCCTAAAATAATATTGTAAGTTATCGCTTTAAATTGTGTTGTTATTTGTCTGTTATAGGTATCAATCTCCAACTTACATTAACTGTTGGAACTTTGTCGGGTTTTTCGCTCGGTCTTGAAGCAAAAGTGACACTGCTGGTGTCAAGAAGGTCAGCTTTGTTTAGAAGTTGTTGTTCTACAGATTTTCGTTCTTGTCTGTACTTTCCGAAGGCTGGAGCACTTAGGTTCTTGGCGATCAAAGGTTTTCCTTTTTGTTGTTTCTCAACTGGCGGACTTTGGCCATCCCAGTCAGCCAATGATTTTAGCCCGCGAAGGTATAAGAGGGTCTTTAGGCCGTTTTTGTAGTCTTCTACTACTGTAAAGTCTTGGTTTTGGACTGCTGAGCAGACCTAAAAGCAGTTTTTTTAGAGTTTATGTACGTTTTATTTTTTAATTTGTGGTATTTTAGATCTTAATCAAAAAAAAATTACCTGCAAAACACTAGCTCCACAAGCCAAGAATTGTAGTCCAGTTTCGGCGCTTTCGATGCCTCCTGTAGCCAAGATTGGGAATCCAGGTAGAGCATTAGCGATGGCAGAGACACCCCTCAGGGCAATTGGTCTAATGGCAGATCCGGAAACTCCACCATAGGTTGTTCTCTTCTCCTTACCGATCCTTGGCCAAGCTTCACCTTTGGCATTCAGTCCCATCAAACCGGATACTGTATTTGTTGCTGTAACACCATCTGCTCCACCTTCTTTAGCAGCTGTGGCAATCTTACGGATGTCTGTGATGTTTGGTGTCATTTTGGCAAAGAATGGTATTTTAGTCACATTTCTGACCCATTTACAGATGTTTCTGACCATGTTCTCGTCTTGCCCACAAGCCAATCCCATTCCTCGTTCACCCATGCCATGGGGACAACTCAAGTTCAGTTCAAGAGCATCAGCTCCAGCAGCTTCGGCATTCTTGGCCAACTGAACCCAGTCAGGTTCATTGAAACTAGCCATAATAGAAGCGATGACAATTTTGGTAGGGAAGTCCCGCTTCAACTCTCTGACAGTCTCCAACCAGTAGGCTTCTGTCTTTTCTGAGATCAGTTCAATGTTCAAGAAAGCGCCTTGACCAGGTCCGAAGAGTGGGCCATGTGTGGTACCTCTGATGATTCTGGGCGATACATTTGTAACGAGATCTTTGTCTAGACCGAAAGTTTTGGTGAGCACATAACCCCATCCTTGTTCGAAAGCTCTTCTACACATGGCTCCGGATGTTGTTGGTGGAGCTGAAGCTAGTCCGTACGGATTCTCGAACTTGATTCCACACATTTCTACGCTGATATCAACATCGTCGATGGCACTTCTGAACATTGGCAATTTTGGTTCTGCGCTGACTTCGAAACCGTGCAAATGTTGAAGGTATTTGTGGATATACCACGCTGCAGTCTTACCATCGTTCACGGATTCTACGGTGGTTTCGGCTACACCACCAATGTCTCCACCGAAGAATACCCAGGGTTCCGAAGAGCCTTGAGTTTGGGTGTCAACTACTGGAAGACCCCAACGGTTGACTTCTACTGGGGAGAGGGCCGCTTTTACTGAAATGTAGGTATTAGAAACGGCGTTGAAAATAATATTGGAAGTTGAGGTTTTGTATTGTGTTGTTAATATGTTGGGCAATATAAGTTTTAACCCTACCGTTTTCGTCAATAAGAGTTGAACCAAAAGCAGAAATGACCCATTCAGCCTTGAGTGTAAGACCTTGTTCTTCATCTTCATACCAGGTTCCATCCAGGTCTTGTTCTGTTTTTGTGAATTCCATCGATCTGATCTTGCCATCAACTACATTAATCTTCTTTGGGGTCATGTAAGGTAAAAATTCGCACTTTTCTTCTCGAGCTGCTTCCATCTGAAAAGTTGTACTTTATATTACGGTTGTTGAGGTTTTATTTTTTTATTTGTTTTTGTATTTTACCATGAATTTAGTTTTTTGAATATTTTAGTTTATAAAATTTGTATTAACATAACCTACTTCCTCAGGTACAGCCCTGATTGAGGTGAATCCTTTTCTAAAAACTACAGTGACTCTTTTAGCTCCACATCTCAAGGCAGCAGTAGCACAATCGAAAGCCGTATCACCAGCACCAAGGACGATCACTCGACCAGGTAGGCTTGGCAGTTTTGTTGTTTTACAGCCACACATTCCTGGTTTAGATGCTTTGCTGACTAATGGTAGGAACTCTTTTGAAGTGAAGAATCCTTGATTAGAAGTTAGGCCATTGAATATCTTGTCTCTTTTTGGCTCTGGCATTCCGATTCCAATGAAGACGGCTTTGTTGCCAGATTCACGAAGGGTTTCCAGAGTAAGATCGGCTGTGTGGAGGCGACGGTTTGTTTCGATCTGAAATTGAAAAATTTTAAATATTTTTGTAAGTTTTTAGGGTAGCTTCACGGCTAGTAGAGCTAAGGGACAATTAATTCCATTATTAATTTTTCTTGGCTTAGTCTTTCTAATCTAATTGAATATCGACTTTAGCAACTTTTACTTACCTTGACGCCCAAATCTCTGACCAATTGTATCTCAAAATCGACCGCATTATAAGGCAATCTGAATTGTGGGATTTCAGAAGAACTCAGCCCACCAATATACTCATTCTTTTCGTAGATAGTCAAGTCCGTGTACCCAAGTCTAGCCAAGAATGTGGCACAACTCAAACTGGCTGGTCCACAACCAATCAAGGCAACTTTCTCGTTGTGAGCAACATTGCGGTTGTCTACAATTTCAGGGTCCAAAGTTTGACAGATGTTCATCTTCATAAAGGTTTCTGTAGCAAACTGTTGCAGTCCTCCAATATTGATTGGACCTTCCTCTGTCGCGGCCAAGTTACAACTGCCAACACAGAGGTCGGAGGTGGGGCAGATCATTCCACAGGTCAAGCCTAGGGGATTGTCCGAGAAGATCTGCTTGGCTGCACCGTAGTAGTTCTGAAAAAGCATTTGGTATTATTATCACTAAAACATTATCACTTAGAATACTTTTATATCTAATTTAGTTAATATGTTATTATAGGTCGCTTTACATAACTTTTTTGCAGATTTACAGAGTAATGTTGATCATATTTTAAGTTTTTTAGGGTTACCTTGTTAGAAATGCTAGTGATGAAAGCCTTGACATCGAGTTGAGTAGGGCATGACTTTTGACATGGTGCATCAGCGCACTTCAAGCACCTCCAGGCTTCTCGTAAGGCACCTCGTTCACTCAATGTTGTATGTTTGATGTCTCGGAATTCGTTCTCGTACTCGTTTTTGCATGTCTGGAATTATATTGGTACTCAGATTATGGTATTTGAATACCATGAATATTTTTGGGCTTCTAGAGTTACGCCTTATACTTCTTTTAGGCTTGTCATTTGTTGTTTTTTTACTTTTTGTATCTGCAAAGATCGTAAAAATTTTTTAAAATGTTTTTGTTGTATCAATACAACTTTTATATTGTAAAATACTATAAACACAAAGTTACACAAACAAAGGTGTAACATAGCCAACTTTGTCGACTTATCAGTCACGTTTTAGGCTCATTAATCAGCGTTGATTATTGACCGCACAAACAGGAAAAGTTGACAAAACTACTAACAAAGATCAAATAACTAAAACTATAAGAAAGAATGACCAGAGGTCGGAAACTAACTAGTTTATGGTTAGGTTTTTACCATTAAAAAATATATTTAAGGCTGAGGTAAAAAATATTTATGATTAAGGTTTTTAGGGATACAATGAAGCTATATATCTATCCTACAACAATATAGTAAGAGATTATAAAATACCGACTTCTTTCTAGTTTTAGCATGAAAGACAAAGAAATTATAACAATATATTAAATATTAGATTGTTAAAATAATTCTGGCCTTCTCTCAAAGCAAATTTTTGAGGTCAAGTTCTTGTCCTACAGTAAACTTACAAAACATCCTTTGTCGGCATTTCTCTTCCAATTGTGCTTTTCTTTTTTGGTCACAATTGACGGTTTTAGACTGGCAGTTGTCCTAACTTTTGGGTTTAAGGCCAGAATATCCTAAAAGTGCATGTTAATACGTTTTCTGAGTACAATTATAAAAGTGTGTCAAATATTTTTAAAGTTTTTGTTTACTTTTACTACAAGAAATACGTACATATGTAGCATATTTGTTATAAAACTATAACAATGTACGTTTAGTTTTTCAATTTCAAAGGTAAGCGCCAAATAATTTTAATAATTTAAGTTTAACAAAACGACAAAGAATTCTAAAGAAGTATTGCAAAAACCTACTTCAATATCAGCCGAATCTATAGTCACAGGCATTTCCAACGAAGCAGGCTAGTTTCTGGGTCTCGAGACGTTGGTAATCGAAAAGGCCCTTAATTATGAAGCAAATTAAACTTGTGATAACACAAAAAAGGTTTGGGCGAGGGGGCAGATTGCTTTCTCCGAACCGACAAAACGCGCAGTCATATGAGGTCGGGTCGACCAGCGATCAGTCATCTTCTGGTGTATTATGTCGTATTTTCAAAAGAGAGTTGAACATGGGTAAACAATTGGTTTTAAATACGATATAGCTAAATTAATGCGTAAAATATGATAGAAAAATGTTGTCAGTTTATAAAAAGAGGCGACGCGTCTTATGTTTATAAGAAGGATTCTTTTTGGAAAAGCAGTTTCAGTCAATGATGATTTGAAAATTGTATTTTAATTAGTTCTTCTTTATGGAAATAAAGTTTTAGAAAGTAAATTTAAATTTATTGCTCGTATTATTATGTTAGGTATGAGACTTTAATCATAGATATAATAGTTCACTTAGTGTTACATTTTACATAGGCCAGAGTAGGTTTTAGACAACATTCCTTCCTCTCATTCTTTATTTTTGATACAAGAAGCGTTATGTAAAAAATACTTTAATGTTTTTAATGCCGAAAGGAATATGTTATTGTAAAAATGGCAAAACAAAAACTACAAAAACTTCTCGAAGGTGTCAAATTCAACAATTTTTTGTTGTAGATATTGTTTTTGAAGGCGTGCGATAGAGTTGAGAGGCGTATTTTAGTTTTGAAATAGGTTTTTTTTAATTCTTATCTAGGTAGGTAAACAGCATGTTGAGTTTTATGATTGTGCTTTTGATGTATTTTATGAAGAATTACGGTGTTGTTGAGGTTAGACCTGTAAAAGACCCTATTTTACACCTTGTTCCCATGGGCTGAGCTTTATTTTGAGCCCGGCCCTTTTTAAAGTTGCTTCAGGTGGGCCGAGTAACCAATTACAAGTATGAGTTGGGTGTTAAGAGGCATGAACGTGATGTTGAGGTAGGTTTTGGGGAGCAAGAATTTGTTGTTGAGGAGGTAGATTTGGCGCTAGATTCGGATTTGCTCCTAGAAAACAAGGAATGCGATGAGTGGCAACAATAAATATACTCGAAACAGATAACTAGCAACCAAACGCTTTAAAAATAGATGTTTCATAATAACAATAAGAAATGTGGCATTATAAAAACCTAAAAAGACTAGAGAAAGAGTAATACAAAGAATAAGATAGATGCAAGAAACCTACCAATTAAAGGAGCCATTCCAATGTTCATCATAAGCAAAGGTGACACCGTATTCGGACCGTACTTTAAAAATCTTATTATAGCCTTACGGTACGGTGCAATGAAATAGATTATACACACGTACTCACTGACGCCATGAATAACAAGTATTGTTAGCGCTACCCATGCCACATTGTCAGCATAAACATACTTGGTGAACAACGACGTATGCATTAGTAATACTGGCGCAAGACAAAATGAGCAGTAGTTGATTAGCTGGACTGATAGAGCTTTAAATAACATATACTGTAACTTCTCCGTTTGATGAGAAACATTGTGGTTGTTACGTAGATGAAGGTAGAGTAAAATGTACATTATGGCAGCAAGAATTGCCCCAGTAACCAAAAAGAAACAACTATAGGCTGGTCCAAAGTAAGTAAAGGCAATATCTTTGAAACAAATAAACTTGAGTTTGTCTACTTCGTCAGCCAGATGAGGTAGTCTTCTTTGAAATTCTGACCGGGCTTCTTCTGGGTTTTCAATTAAAGTTACTGCAACATAAACTATGGCTGAGGCGCCCATGCCTAGGTGTACTAAAATGTAGAAAATGTAGATGTGGTCGGAACGAAACAATTGGGATACTTTATTGTTTCGAAAGGCCTAAAGTTTTAACAAGATTGTGATTTTTAAGTGGACAAAAAGAAGTAAAAACTTTCATGAACATTTTGAAGTAGGCTATACCTTACTATGTAGATTAAATATTTATTATAACTCCTCCGTGTTAAAACAGCCACAACTTACGCTAAAAAACCTGTGAAACAACGTCCAAACTACACTGACCATCATGTTCGTCATAAACCAGAGAAAAGCGATAGTAATAATAGTATACGGTGGATTTTTAAGACTCTGTGATAAATCAGATTCAGAATGCACACAGAGTACAGTAAAATGTGCAACGGGTTTTATAGAGTACATCAAGATACCAAATATAGATATCCAGATGACATTGTTCAACAAATACCATTTGTACATCTTGATCGGTCCTGAATGTCGTAGTATTAGATAAATAAGTAATGGCGCTAAAATGCACTCTAAGTAAAAGAAAATATCAATTACTCTATAGTAGATGTTTCTGGACACGGGGTCCAGTAAATAGTTTACATGGACGTTTGATGACATTCTTATTAACCCCCGCTTTTACCTTCTTTTAGTCTCTCGAGTACCGAAAGTAACATTTTTTTGTGGCATACTTCAGATTTACATTGTCAATTAAAATATGTTGTATCCAATGTCGCAAAAACTACAAAAAACTTAATGGAAATGCTAATTTTTTACAATGTTTTGTTAAATCTTGCTTTTAAGGCGTGGTGGTATAAAAGTTACTGTTGTGATACGTCTTCTAAATTATAATGGCATTCTACATCGGTGAGATGACATTTTGAGCTATATGACTGTCCTTTTATTTTAAAGTTGTTTTAGACGGCACTACAAAAAGTCAATTGAAAATCCTTTTTTAAACTTTTTTTGTAACCAAACCTACTTCTTTTGTGTAGTTGGAAATGCTAGTTTTTACACAGCTTTATCTGACAAAGTAGATGTTACTTTTTAAATTCAATATTTGTGTATTGAGATTACTAAACTGCATTTCCCTACAAAAAAACTGCCAACGCTCCCAGTTCAAGTAAACAGGTACAGTAAGATTCCAGGTAACTTCAAAATGCTATTTTACAGCTATTATTATGATATTAATGCCCAAACATAATTTTAAAATATCCAACCATACTTTAAACAAAATTTAACAACTTTATGCTAATAAATATTATATCTACTTTGACTTGAAAGTGCCCAAGGGATAATGTTCTCCATACTCGGCAAGATGTTGTTTTAGTTCTTCGTGCTGTTTCTGTAAGTGTTTTGGTACTTCTTTGTATACGTCGCTGAACATCACATCGATTGGTGGCTTTTTCACTTTTTCCGCCGCGGCGAACGATTTTAGCACGTCTTTTCTGACCTAAAACAACATGATTCTCAAATATTCTCAAACTTTTCGCCTTATAACGTTACACATTAGTCATTCATGGTATTTGCTACCATACAGTACAATTTACACCTTACTTTACTAATAAGACATGGTTTCCCCTACACTACATATTAAATTATTCAACATCTATAAATACCTAATTACCTGTTTGAGGTACTCCTGATCTTTTTCCTCACTCCACCATCCCTTCTTCTCCAGATATTTCCTGAACCTAACGATTGGGAAGTCTTTCTCGGTCCATTGTTGAACTTCATCTGCACTTCTGTAAGCTGTGGAGTCATCTGAAGTTGAGTGATGACCGATGCGATAAGTCATGGCTTCAATTAAAACTGGCTCACTCTTGGCCGCAGCTTCACGAGCTTTTCGTGTAGCATTGTAGACTGCGAATGGGTCGTTTCCATCAATTCTGAAAGTAAAAAATATTTTTAAACTGAATTTAGTGAAACAATTTGTAATAGATCAAAAGACTTCTATACATCTTATAACTTTTAACGATACGCCCAATTTAAAAAAAAATGTGCTAAATAACAAAACTTTTTAAATAATTTCGAGTTTAAAATAGCTTCCAATGATTACGTTGTCTTGTCAAAAACTACCTTATCGTCAACAATCCGTAGCCAGGGCCTTTGCCAGCGATACCATCTCCAGCATATTGCTCAGTAGTTGGTGTTGAGATAGCGTACCCGTTATTACGACAGAAGAATATGATTGGACACTTCTGAAATGCAGCATTATCATTTTTAGGGCCTTATCGTAATATCCTGTTTTGGCCAAGCAATGTTTAAAAAATCCACAAAATCTACTTTTTTCGTATTTTACCTTTAATTTACTAATATAAACCTTCCTATTCCCAATATACTTTTACAAATGTAAACTCAAAACAAAACCAATATACCCACCAAAGTAGCAGCAAAGTTGAAAGCAGCATGAGCGTCGCCTTCCGATGCAGCACCATCGCCAAAGTAACATACGACAACTCGACCAGATCCATCTCGTTTAAATGAATATGCACTGCCGACAGCCTGAGGCAATTGAGTGGTTAAGGGTGAGCTGATAGTGACAAAGTTGAGGTCCTTCGATCCATAATGTACTGGCATCTGACGTCCCTTACCAATGTCTTTGTCGTTACCGTAACATTGATTCATAAACTGATCTAGAGGGAATCCACGGTACAGTAGGACACCGGCTTCACGATATTGACCGTATACCAGGTCGTCTGGACGTAGGGCTGCTGCTGAACCAATGTGTGATGCCTGGAATGAAGAAATTTGCATAAAACAATGTTTTATAAGCAAACATGACAAGCGTTAACATTTTATACCTAAAGATAAATATATAAAACGACTCGTTCTTGTCGTTAAGGAAACTACAGTATAATAATAGTTTAAACTCGACATAAAACATTAACAGCCAAGCTTCCTAAACTCACTTCTTCACCAAAGTTAGTCATGTAGAATGAGATACGACCTTGTCTTTGAGAATCGTACAGAATCTTATCCATTGTGTTCAATGTTACCATGTCTTTGTACATTTTCGTAGCTTCTTGTTCAGAAAAACCTGGATCTTGGTTGGCATCCAAGAACTCACCATCTGTATCCGTGATTCTGTAGATCGGCACGGCATCGTGCTTCGTGGAATCTATGAATTCCAAGGTTTCTGTGAATCTGGCCTTAATTAAGTACATTGTTAAAGTCGAATTTAAAAAACAGGATCTTAATAAACTAACAAATACTATAACCTAACTAGTACAGTTATTAAAACATCACTTACCTTCCTATGTCCAAGGTACTTTTCCGAATACTCATTCAATCGAAACTCATCTGTCGACCGTGCATAACATCTAGATACAACAACACGTGATGACAGCCGAGTTATCCTTCTCAGCATGTTACCCTGAAAATATTTTTTAATTTTGTCTTCTGATTAACTTTTGTCTCCATTTTTAATTTTATAGATTGCACCGTGCAAAAGATTAAAAATGTTTTTAATTTTTTGTCAAAATTTACAAGAAGTGTACAAATAACTAAATTTACAGTAAAAATACAATATAACAATTCTTAACAAAACTTTAAGCTACTAATTGTAGTATTCTACGTAAACGACAATAAATATAATTATGTCCTACAATAATATCAACAGATATCTCTAAAACAATAATTAGAAAACAAAACGACAAATTTGTAAAAAATATGAATCCAAATGAAATTAAAACTCTAACAACCAAACTATGACAATGTCAAAGTATTTTTGAATTTCATTTTTTGAAGTTTTAAACTAATATTATTGTGAATTTTTAAAATTCACAAATTTATACGACAAATAACTGCCAAGCGCGTTCGAAATAATTAAATTCGGTAGTTAAAACAGCTTTTCGATTAGCTAAAAAGCGTAGAAAGATAATTAAAAAGCGAAAAAGAAACAATCTCCTTCGATTCTGCCTATTTTACAACGAAACTTGGTCTAACTTGATTTTTCTCAGACTTATTCTTTTAATTTAGACTAAAGCTTAATAAAAATATAACTCTAGATGTCTTTTTATTAACCTAAATTTAGTTTTAATAATAGCAAAGGCACAAAACTTGTTAAAAGTCGGAAAAACTTGAGAACATTGGGAAAATCTTCTCCATAATTTTTGATCTGGCGCTTGATTTGAGTGATCATTGCTTTCTTTTCGTTCGAATTTAACAAAAATTCTTTTCAGAATGATCATTAAACTATCATATTAACATTTCTACTTTATGTTGTCTTGTTTTTACTGTGCTGTACATTCAAAAATTGTGTTTTACAGTAGGAAAAAAAGCTAAAACAACGTAATATATTTGCTGAAACTGCTACTTCTTGTCCTTTCAATGCCGTTATTTTATAAGTACGACCTTAAAAATCGTTTTTAAAATTATACAAAAATCACCCATGTTTATCACTGCTTTTTTTAGCTTACAAACCCTACTTTGACTTAGAATTAATCAAAGTCTTACATTTTAAAATACGATGTTGTTGAACATGATCCCCACAAATTCCTTCAATAACTTCCAACACTTTACAAAATAGGCACATTTATTTAATTACCCGTTGAAAAAGACTAAAATACGATGCGAACACTGCTGATATATATACAAAATACGAATACTATATGTTACAATACTATGACACAGTCTGTAGCTAAAATGGATCATCTGAATCTGACTCGAACAAGCTTTTCACTTGTTTTTTGGATTCTGATGTCTTCTTCGTGACTTCAGCCGGCTTTTTTGGAGATTCTGAAGATTTCTTTGCCGCTTCTGAAGCCAGAGATGAAGGTGTGGGTTTTGAAGGTGTCGTAGCTGTGGGAGGCTTCTGTGCTGTTGTTGAAGAAGGCTGAGGTGGTGGAACAGCTTGAGAAGTCGGTCTTCGGCCTGCTGGACCTCGTGGACGAGCCTAGAATGCAAGAATCAATAAATGAACTATTGACAACACAAATTTTTCAAAAATTAAAAAAAATGCATTTTCAAACTGAAAATATAATAAAAACAGCCATCTTTAGTATCTAAAATCCTTAAAATATCATGATTCATCATCCAAAACAATTTTTATTTTTGTTACCTAAACTTCCACACCCGCTAACATTACCCACATAACCTTACCTTAACAGCACTGAAGTTCATTTGACCCTGAGGCTGTGAAACTGCCGGCGACGGTAACTGTGGAGGTGTTGGAGATCGTGACGGAATAGAATCCTTCTTTTCTTCCGTTTTCACCCCCAATTTGGCTCCATGAATTTTGGTCAAAGAGTCTCCGAGCTGATTTCTTAATGCTGATACACTTTTGTTTGGTCCACTATCGACTACTGATGCCTTCTGGGAGCCGGCTGAGGATGTCGACTTTACTGACACTTCTTCTGGGTCTTTTAGTTTTGGTATGAATGCCTGAAAATTAGAAACTTAAAAATAGCTAAATTTATTAATTTCATCAAAAATAGTGTTAACATCCTAAGTTGTTACCTAAAATTTTTTAAAAATTTATTTTAACAGATTTAATGTCTGTAACACCACTTTGTTTTACTAAACCTCATGTTCAAACTTAGATTCAAAAAAACATGTTATCCTTCAATAAAAACAAACAAACCTTAGTTGAACACCATATGTTTGTTCTTTTTGAACTTAAAACGTCTTGAAAGTAATAAAACAAAACAAAATTTCGTTGCAAATGCAGTTTAAAATCAATTTTGATACCCAAACTTTGAAAACCTATAAATTTGTTACGTAAAATACCACAAACAAGACAAAACATACCGGTTGAGGCGGCTTTCTCAACAAAGCAGCATTTAACCTGTTGGAAAAGTCATTTGGCACTGAATTTAAAACAGCTTTTGGCATTTCTTCGTCTTCTGAACCCTGATTTGATTCAACTTCAACGTCTTCTGCTTCCTTATGCGACCCAAATTCGTCTTCTGAATCTTTATTAGCGTTTTCCTCTTCAGAATCTTTCTTAACTTCTCCTTCTTCTAAACTTTCACTTTTCTTCAAATCAACGTGCTTTTCCTCTGGATCCTCACGCTTATTCGATACTACTAACTCCTCTTCTGAATCCGAGAATAACTTTGTTGGCTTCTGGACAATAGTTTTAAAGGTTGAAGTTGATTTGGTAAAGAGTTCTTCGTCTGAACTGCTGCTGTCAAACAACGATCGGACCTGAAATTAACATTTTAACAGAGTTAATCAAAGAAATGTCAAACATTTTTTACATTGCAAAAATTCAGTTAATCCAATCTGCGTATTTTACAAAAAAAAACCGTCAGAAAGCCCGCACAGTGCAAAAAAGACATTATCAGCTTTGCACCGTGCAGATCGTTCAGAAACCTTTCCAATCAAAAAGGAAGAATAAAAACCAAATTAGCATTTCAAACTATGTTTTTATAGCCCTTTATAAGATGAACCCCATAAAAAATAATTTTCACGTCAGGGGTTTCCATAAATAACAAAAATTCCCCTATTAAAATTCCCCACGTATATAAAACAAAGTAACGCAAAGCGGGAGAGCAATTGGACCTCTACATGAGCTGTGTCATTGTTTCCGGAGTAAAAACCACCTCAAGAACAGTCATGACCTAATTTTAAAACCTGAATAAAGAGGTGTTCGGACCCAAAACCAACAATAACTACCTGTTTTCGATGTTAACATAGAAGAAAGTTATTTTTAACACGGAAATGGTTGCTTTTATCATAAACAAGCTCTATATTAATGTGAAGAATATATAGAAAATGCTTTCTAAATTAAACTACTACAATATAAACAAATTATCTTCACTTGAACAAGGTAAACCTGGCCATAAACATCAAAAAACCTTCAATTTCTTTGGTTTTATCTCAATATATTGCAATACCTTTAAATAAAAACAAATTTTCGAATCCTGCAACGTGTTATAGACAAGATAAACAAAAAAAGTTTGACAAAAGTCTTATTTACATTCATATATTTATGAAAGATTTGAAAAATGAAACAAAATTGAGAGCGGTTTAGAAAGTGTCAAGATGTCTCACACAATAATAATGAGTCAACTCTTTCTTTCATGTCAATTATCAATGTTTTGATTAGACATGAATAACGGGATGGGTCGAGCCTTAGTAACTTATAAAATAAGGTCTTTGGCAATTAGCCTAGGCTTTGATCAAGGTAATTATTTTAAAACTCTTGTATAATATTGATAAGATTTTTGATTAGTTTGACGAAAAGTTATCAGAAAACCCAAAGAAATCACCTTCCAACTTAGCATTGTTAACTATTTATCCGAACTTTCACGGAAACTTTCAAATCGAAACTTCATTTGAGTTTAAACTCAAAAGATAATGACATTTTCACTCGATCAAGCCACTCGAAACCTTTCAAAACTTTGAATTTCGATCCGTAACACCTTTTCGGCCGTTTTAGAATAAATCATTTGATATCAAAAGTTTTAAAGAGGCAGATCGGAGAAAGTGATCGCATCCGAGAATTGAGACTGAACACTTTTCGAATTCGAGAATTGGAAACAAACTCTCAGGCTTGGAGAATGGGACAAAGTTTGAGAAAGAGGAAAAGATAAACTTATACCTAGATTGGCTTAAACGTTCTTAAAAGAACTACCACATCGTATAGTAACATCGTATAACTCTTCTCCTTCACAATCTAGCACTTATGATACAATATTTGGCCAAACAATACGAATCTCAAGAATTGAAACTTCGAGAACTAACTTAAAATTGAGAATGAGACAATGATCGTGGTCATTATGTTTATGAGGGAGGATGCGGGCTCTGCTCAAAGCCATCATAATAAATAAATAAACATTTCGGCGATTAAAGTGGACTGGGATTAAGGGCGCGGCGACAAGCCATTAAGCAAAACATAGGAGGGGATGAGCGCCGGAAGGGCAGGATTACACTCATTAAAGACATGGTCTTAAAGTTTTGGTTTATTTCTTACAATTTGGTCAGTTATTATATATTTACTTATAAGATTGCTACAAGAACGTATTTTACGTACTTTTAAAAGTTTTTTCGGCTTTAATTTAGATAAAAAAGTTAAAAAAGTTCAACTTCTTGGTCAAAATATATGAAAAAATAAAATTTTACACACTTGTCTTTCAGTCTTTAATGTAAAAAAATGAAAAACAGCCTTAAAAACCCTTAAAATCATACATAAAATAATAAAAAACACGTTGAATGACAAGCCCTTGAACAATATATATCTATACACTCTCTATACAATCCCATCGCTTCATTAACCCCTCGACAACCGTGAATTGTCATCTTCTCATATGAAAACCACGATTCCCCATTAACGAAAAGCAAACTCAAATTAACTGTAACTCGGGCGGTACGTGGATAATATTGGGTTTCCAAGTGGGAAAAACAGATCAGGTGACGGCCTTTGTCTTTCCCCTCATTAGAGCAAACCGGCTGGTTTATATTTTTTATCTTTCCGCATCCATCATCATGGAAGGTTTGGCCATGTGATTTGACACAGCGTGGGATAACATCGAACGAAATGACGGACAACATAGGATAACATGAGGAAAATCAGTGTTTTTGTTGTTCGAAAGGCGGAGAAATAAAAAGGGCAGGTGGATTTTGAATCCATTTCAAAAATTATGGGTTGGTAGGCTAGTTTGGCTAATAATTTCATAGAAAGTTTCAAAATTAAGTCCTAAAACCAGCCGTGAAACAAAAAGCAGAAGAGAGGTAGTAATGTCTCAAAAATGTTTTTAATCCCCCCCCCCCTCAAATTAAAATAGCCCCTTTCCTCTTCAGTTATCTATGCCAATATCCTCCCCCATCCCACTCCAAATTCTTTCAAAAAAATAAGGAATCCTCTTAGCCTCCTTCCAAACCCGACCCTAGTGGAAGTTTAGGTAAGACTCTAATAGCTGAAGTTAAGTCAAAAATTCTTCCCAAGTCAAGTCAAAATACTTTGAAAAGTTGCGTATATTTGAAATGATGATGAGGGTGGCTTGCCTCTTTAACCCCTAAACATCGAGTGAGGGGAGAGTTAACCCCCAAACATCGAGTGAGGGGGTCGGAAATATAAAAACCAGCTGAACAAGACCATTAAAAAAAGTAAAACAAATATATTTTCGAACAAATCCCCCACCTTTGACGTGACTTTCTTCCGCGGCTCCGATTTCCGTTCATTTGCCGGCGTTTGAATCGGATTCGATGCCTTTGGCTCGGTTTGACGTGGCGACGTCTTATCTCGCGACGTCGCTGGCTCGGCGATGCGAGGAGAAGGTTTTTTGGCTCCAGAAGAAGGTTGTTGCGATGTTAATGAAGGTTGATGGGGTTGAGAAGATGATTGTGGTAGTTTAAGTCCATTTTGGTTTAGCTTTGAGCTTGGTTTATCAGGATTTAGAACTGATGGGGTGTTTTGCTTAGGCTTCACGTTAAAGACTTCGTCAAATGAATCGTCAGAGTCGGAGAACTAAAATCAGTGATTTTATGAAGAAATCAAAATATTCCAGCATTTTAAATTTAAAAAATAGTTTTTATAATCATGAGTCAAATCATAATACAAAAAAAATAAAATAGCTAAACAATAACAACTTTAGATAAAAAAGTAAACTCAACAAAATAAAAAAAGTAACTTCACCTTTCTGATCAAAAACTTACAATAGAACTCTTAGGTTTTGCAGCAACTTTCTTTGATATAACAACATCAACCTTTCCCTTAATTTCTTGTTTGGCCACAATATCTTCTTTAATTTTCTTTTCATTGTATTGTTGTACTTTCTTTACTTGTTGAACAGGCTCTTTAAAAAACCCTTCATCATCATTAATAAACTCATCATTGATACCTTCTTTCTTTTCAACGTTTATGCCATTAACAGCAGTAGTCCCCTTGATTTCGTTCGCCAAAGTATTAGCTTCTTCTTTGATTGCAGAAGGCCTGTAACAATAGTTTTGACTTACCATTTAGTATACAAGCTGTACTTATGTTGCAAGATAAATTACGCGTTGAAAATATTCCATGCAATCAAGTACTTACGTTACACTAGTATTCCGTATCTTAAACAACTTCTCTATTTCGTCCTTAACATTATTTTGAGGTTGTGCTGTCTCTTGCTGAACAGCCGGAGTTGATGTTACTATATCCGAAGCACCTTGGTCTCTGAAAAAAAACGTAATTATTTGTTACCAAATTTTTAAATAGGATTTTTGTCACATTGAGTCATTAGTTGACGTCACCAACACGTATTTCGCGAAACTTCAATTCATTTTTAATAACTGATAATAAATAATTTTCATCTAAACAGACAAATTCAAGAAAATTTAAGATTACCACCCAAATTGATCATAAATAACCTACTCATCATCTTCGTCATCAAACAGAATCCTTTCATCGTATTTGTAGTCATTAGCCTTATTAGTAGTAGGAACCCCTTGAATATTGCTAGTAGATGAGGTAGGTGGAGCAGATGGTGGTGGAGGTATTGGAGATGATGAAGGTATCATTGATAAACTTTGAGGAATACCTGCTTCGACATTTTGAATCCTAAAAAAATTATCGTGAACAAATTACAAACCTCCAGAAATTAAACAATCCATACGTTGCCTTATTAAAGTTTCAATAGTTGTAATCATTAAAAGCTCTATGATAAACCTGTGATCAACTATATCTATGCAACAGTAAAAAGAATCGAGTATAAAACCAACAAAAAAATAAACAAACCAATTACTCCCTTACCTTGGACCAACAACTTCACTTTTCTTAACCACAACTTCGCTAAATTCATCAGCATCATCTCTTTCTAGGTTCTTATCATAGTCCCAGCTTGAAAACTCATCAGTACCAATCACTGGAGGCAAATCCCGTAATAAATAAGGGTTTACAGGTTCAAATACTCGTTTGGGAAGCAAGTCAGTAGATGTTCCTTCAAATTGAGGTATCTCGACTTCTTTATATCTCTCGTTAACTAAAACCAACCCTTTTAAAGCGGTTGATTTTAAAGTTGAAACCATTCTTTGCGCTCTCTCTTTATCATCTAAACGTACTGAAGGCTGTGTAGTTTGACTTCTAATAGATCTGTGGTCAACTACATTGTCTACTATTACCTAAAAAAGATTTTTAAAAATTAAAGTGGCGAAAAAAGCTGCTATAATATGTCTTAGTCTCATATTTTGTTTAGAAACGTCTAACTTAATAAAAAAAACGCAACAGCATGATTAGAAGTCAGATATTAACTCCAAAAGCAGCTAAAGTATGATTCATAGTCAATGTGTTACCTAAAAACCAAAAAACAAACAAAACTAAACTTACTTCTTTTACATATTTCAAGTTCTTCAGCAACAAGATCCTATTGTTCGCATCCTCCAAACTATTGTACAACAACTCCGTATCATAATATAAATCTTTAGTTGATTCATCAACTTGTCGTATCCGAGATTCCAACTGATTGAAGTGACTTTTTACCTTTTCGATAAGCTAAAACGATTGTTAATATTGAACCAAATAAATAATTGTTAAAAAAGAATAATAAATGTATAAGGACCTGAAATAAACACATCACAACTTTATCTGTGTTCAAATACCAAGTTACACAAACAAAAGATAATATTTATACCAAAAACTCGTATATTATAATAAATACTGCATATAACTATTTAAAAAACGTTTTTATACCTCAGAATCATCCTTTAAAGTGCGTCGTTGTGTCATGAATCAAGTGAAATCAAGTAACATTGATAAGTTGAGACGATTTTTTATAATTCTATAAAAAATCTTTTTAAACAAACGAAACGCCACAATTTGTGACACTTCGTCTTTTTCTGTATCGGAAAAAACAAAACTTGTTTTATTATTATATTAAATGTAAAATACGAATTGATACTTTTAACTGTACATTAAAATAAAAGTTTTTGTTAAAAAAAATTTTTTTAAGATGCGGAGTATACGTTTTATCTTATAGTAACTTGGTATTTTCTTTATTTTTCCCGCTTTTATGACCGAATACTAGCAAAATATACAACTTTTACTAATTAAACTAGCCCATCCTCTATAAATTACAATACACAAACATTTTATTATTTAGAACTAGCAGTGCAACAATCTTATACAAGACATCAGATCACCAGGATTGAGTACTTTTGGGTATTTAAGTTAACAGAAAGTGTCCGCACGGTGCAGAGAGATGGGTCGACGAGAACGTCGCGACGGCCTTCGTAGAGCTTCCAGAACAATGGCAAAGTCGTAGTTGGTGGTGTTTAGGGTCCTAATGTCATAGTGGTCGGGGAGGCGGTAGACCTTGCGAACTCGCTTCAAACGCTTCGAAGTTTCTTCGCTTCGGGAAATGTCACTAAAACAAGGATTTGAAATGGTTTACAGATTCTTCAGTACAATATGCTTTACAAAAAAGTTTTGATTTTTAATTTTAAAATCTTTTGCTTTTTTAAAATTTTAAAAACAGTGCGATAAAATTGTCATAAAATCCTTGAAAACCTAGTAAAAGTAGCAATTGTAGCTACAAACACAAGCTATTATAAGATACGTACCGTGACACAATCAAAGCAAGCATATTCAGATTCCTAATGACCTCAAGCTCCATTCTCCAGAAGCCTGTACCAAAGTCACCTCCATTCGAAAGCCCAATAGTCCAACTGAAGTTGCATTCTGATATCTTTTCAAACTTCTTTGTCTAAAACATTGTCATTTTAAGATTAAACGCTATTTATAGCTTAAAACTTTAGTTTTTTTATTGTTGGTACCTAAAAATTTTAAAATTGTTGAATATTGCTTTATGTCAATTTTTCATAGCAAAAAAAGCTTTAAAGTCATTTTGCAGGCTAAGATGCTGAACATCATAACACATTATGCTACCATTTGGCCAAAGAATTAACTATGCCATAAAACTGGCTATAACCTTCTATTTTCAAAATGAAAAAACGCATCTTTAGTGCAATGACAATATAGGTAAAAAATGTATCTTATCGCAACGACAACATAAAGTAAAACATTTATATGATTGCAAAGCCAGCATAAAGTAAAAAATATGAAAATAACGACTTACATTACCGTAGCCTTCGCCAGTCCCTCCGTTATTGAATGGCAGACATATCATGAACTTCTCCTCTGTGAACACGCCACGGGCAACCCCTAAATAAAAACATGTGGTCGGATAATAAAACAGAAGTTAGTGTGGGAGGCAATAAAATACGATGGAATCACGTAAAATGGCAGTTCGTAAACATTTTAAAGATTTCTTTCAAGTTTTTAGTTAGTATTGAAATATGAAAACGACACATTATAAGAATGATATTGGTATTCAGTTTATCAATAAGATTCTAAAAACTTATCAAGAAACTAATCTATTAAGTCCTGTTATTAGGTGGTTCAAATAATTTTGTACCCTCTAACTCCAAAAATTTGCTTTGAACGGTGGCCCAGAATTATTTAAACACTAAATTAAATAAAAAGTAAAAAAAATTTCTCGTTTTTAGCGTGCAAATACAGTGGTCTCTCTATATAGCGAACCATCTGTATAAGCAACTCTCCTTATCAGTGTTTTGCCGGGACCGGTCCGGAGCGTTTTTCACCGGTCCGGTCCGGCGATTTTCGGGTCCGGTCCGGTCCAAACTTCAAATTTTTGGGTCCGGTCCGGTCCAAACCCAAAATTTTTGGGTCCGGTCCGGTCCGCAAAAAATTTTTTTTTATTTAAAAAAAATTTTTTATTTTTAAAAAAAGCAAAGAGCGCTAAAGCTGCTTTCTCTACGTTTAAAAACACTTAAAAATATGTTTTCTTTGCAATTTTTAAAGCAGTTTTAATAAAATTAAAAAAATTTTCTTCCGGACCGGTCCGGAGCTTTTTCTTCGGTCCGGGTCCGCAGGATTTTGGGTCCGGTCCGGTCCGCAAAAAATTTTGTTTCGGTCCGTCCGGTCCAGCAAAACATCGCTCTTTATAGTAAACAAGAAATTTGGCCCCGCCAAGTCAATTTACTCTAAAAAGTCTCTCTGTAAAGGCAACACCCCTTATAGTAAAAACAAAATGTTGGTCCCTTCGGGTTGCTTATATAAAGAGAGTACTGTAGATATAAATTGATGACAAAACTTTTTTAACTCCTTAGTAATACAGTCATTTGTAAAATACGTATAGTTATCGTTCCATTTTAAAATCATACAACTAATATACTAAATAGCATTATAAAAGAGATACCTTCGTTGCAAAATGGCCAATCCCAAGCGATGTCTTTTGGAAATACCAAGGGTTCATCTTCACCAAAGTTGTTACTGATACTGAAACGTAAAAACTACAACTTCACTATCAACTTTGATTCAAAATTGTCACTGATTAATATCAGGTTGTTCAACTAACACAACAACATCAATTTAAAAGCTTTTTTCGTATATTTTGTTTTCTTGTCATATCGATTGCAACCTGCCGAACACATTGCACTTTATCTATTTTTAACTTCCTCTTTTATATACTACAAGTCGTACGATTACTTTTTTATTCGAACAAGGTTTTGTCTCGAATTTCAAAGAAAATATGTCAGAAAATAAATTGTTGTGACATAAAAAAAGGTACAAGGCGACAACGGCGGCACGAAAGAGAAGCTGCAAAACATTTTGGTGCAAAATGCGGTCGAAAACAAAAAGTTTAAAAAAATATTTTTAAAATTTTTTTTAAATTTGTGAGTAAAATACACGACACCTAAAATGCTAAACTACAAATAAATTTTTGAAAAGATTAATTTTTTTTTATTTTGAAAAAAGTAAGTTGTTCAAAAAGTTCTGCTCCAGAAATTTGCTCCGAAAGAGCACAGAACTAATTAAACAAATTAATAATTAAAATTTGTAAAATACGAGTAAAATACTAATTTACAGAATCTACTCACGTTGGCAGACTCATCCTACCAGAATGAACTCTTCTGATCGGTGGTGGAAAGTTGCGTTTTTGAGGACCTTTCGGCAAATCAATTGATACTGTTGCTGATAAACGACGTACTGGTGTGTACTAAAGAACTTCTTTGTATATTATGACATTTGAGGAAACTATTTATATCTTTGTCACTTTAGCAGACAGAAAGGTCAGATTTGGCGTAAACATTAAGTAGAATATCAAGTATACTTTGCTTTAGCTTCTTCTTTTGAGTGTTAAATTTTATATTCTTAAACAGTATAATATCAAAGTTACCAAACACTGAAAAATCACAAATTTCATAAGAAAAATCAACCAAAAATCTATAAAAACCACAATAATCCTTACAATTTCGTTATCATCAACATCCATCAAACAGGGCCGCTCATTCTCGTCGTTTTCAGCGGATGACAGAGATGCACAATCAGTGGAAACGGATCCTCGCTTCTTCCACAAATCGGAGAGCGGCCGAACCGCGGAGAGGGAGCGCGACTTTCCACTTGAGATTTCCATCCTTAAACAAACCCGGGTCAAGTCGTATAGAGCTGTATACATAAATCGTATAGTCGCGAGTATCGGGTTGCCAACGTGGTGTTTGGAACGTGAAAACAACAGGTATTGCAAGGTAATTAACCTTGTAGTAGGGGATAAGTAATAGGTGGACAAGAGGACAATAGACGGTGAAATAGTAATGTTTATACAATATAATGAATAGGTAGTAAGATAAAATACACTATAATTTCTATCCTTTAGTTTTCTAAGCTTATTCTTATCTTCTAATAAATTGTACAGTGCAAATTCTCTAATATATGATATGTACTGTAATGTGCAGTGTAGTACCATCTATTATAAGTTATTTCCTACGAATTTAAAAAAAAACAAAACCTAATCTTATCTTATCATAGGTTAAAGATTACTCAAAACCCCCACTGGACACTTCCAAAATCAACCGGACAGCTCGAAATGACAGTGACCAACCCAAAAACCGGCTCGAAGAACAGAGTCCCCACTCTGATGGATGATAAGCTGAAAATAAGAAAAATCCAAAGTTCTCGGCTCCGCCTGAATCTGTTTTTTGCCCTGAGGCAGCTTTCGAGCCAAATGGACGTGATCGGCTGTCACTCGGAGGCTTTGGCGGTCATTTGAAACGACTTCGAAATATAAAACGACAATAAAAACTAATGAGCATAATTTGAGTGTCTGAGTTTTTGACATCTATATGGTAGGTAATTTTTAAATAAATGTAGGTAAATTATGGTGTTTTCTGCAAATTATTACCTTATTGTTGAACTCAATACAGTTAAACTCTCACAAACTTTGTTTACAATCCAAAAAAGTTAAGCCAACAAAACCTACTACAATATCAAGACGATAAAGCAATACCAACTAGCACCACTATCATTATAACCTTCTTTATCGTATAGTCGTATAAATTGTAACAAAGTGACAAATTACATGTTTTGGCCCAGTTCAAAGGGCCAGACAGCTGGACGTTCCAAACATAAATGACAATGAACATTTATAATCATATGTCACTAACTGATAGAGTCCGATCAATTTGATACGAAATTCATTAAATTTCAAAGATTTTTCAATTTGTATAGTAGGTATATTGGGCTTGAAAAAGTAATCGACCAGAGTTTAAAAAGGCTAAAATAGTTGCAATTTATAAACGTATAAGATTAGGTCGTTCAAATAATTATGTGCCTTCATTCAAATCAAATTCGCGGAGCTGGCAGAGCACAGAATTATTTTAACAACCTAGTAGTACGTATATTAATACTATAACATCGTATAATCTAGAGCAATATGAGTTATAAAAGTTTAATATAAGTCTTCAGTAAACGAAAAGTCAAAGTTTATAGGTTGCAGTAAACAACAAATGGCATAGTTTATATTTTTTGTTTATTACATAGTGGCAAACCAGGTCTTTTCGTCTGTCTTATTATTATTTAGTTCCTCTGAAAATTGGTTTGCAAGATCAAAAAATGTTTTTAGGGTTGATAAAGATAAGTTAGTCACAAATTTTTGACAATTTTGATTATTTATAGTGCCAAGCAGTTGATTTTTCTATTTTTGATAAAAGAAGGTTGACGTGGAGGGCGAAGGAAATAATAAAAAAAGTTTTTGAAAATTGTCAGAAGAACCAAGTCTAACTGTTCCAATCTAGTTTTTAAGAAGTACAGTCATATCTCTTTAGTATGACTCTCGATACTGTGATACCATCTTTGTAATGACAGCTTTTTGACCGTTCTTTGTAAGAGAACTTTTATCAAAACGTACTTGAATAGTTTGACACCCTGGTTATACCTGCACTTTGGTTCAGTCCCTTTTGTATCATATTAAAAAGGTTTGGACGTAGTGCCTTCAATACTGTAATTTTTTAAACAACAAAAGTACTACTTTTATCTCCCGAGACGAATTTGCTTTTCTGGCATTCCGTTTCAGCCATTTTAATATTTTTTTGCGCGTTAAAACACTTGAATACTAAGTTTTTTGTTTCAATAATTTGTTTGACCAATTTGAAGTTAGACTTCCATTGATTTCGCGTAAACGCCTCGTATTTTACAATTAATGAAAGCGTTTTTAAAATTTAAAAAACTAATTTTAGTTAAAAATGACCTTTTTATTTTTTTTGTTTTAGCCACTATTAACTTATATAATGTTAAAATTTTTTAAAAAAATTTTTGAAATGACTAGAATAGAATCCTGACATTTGGTATTGTTAAGGCAGTTTTATGAAGATCTTTATCGCTTCGAAACAAAGAAAGTTCGAAAACTTTACAAACAAAGGTCGGCTCGCTTTATGGATCAGTCATACGAGGTACGGGCCCTTTATTGTACTTTTACGAACGAATTCCCTATGATTTTACGAAATTTTGTTAACTTACTGTTGTTTATGGCTTACATAGACTCGATTTTAGTACTTATTCTTGAATACAGTCTTCTGTTTTAATATGCAAAATAGCAAAATGTTGTCTTTGATCAACTTTACAAGGGGTATAACTGTTTTTCTATAATAGCAGTAGTAAAACAAATAAGGAATTATTAACTGTTTGCTTCTTGTAAAATGACAGTTGTTTGTTAAAAGATTTTTTGATAACTTAGTGCCAGGCAGTACCAATTTAAAAATCTTTACGCTTTTTTATATCAGGATTGATACATATTGTCAAAGCAAACAATAATAATCAGTAAGTTATTTTATTTTTTGTTTGAAAGGTTTAGGAACTCTAAAAGATAGGTTGTAAGGAGTTTTGGTACACGCTAGAACTTCTGTATAACGAAGTGTCGGTATAACGAGCAAATTTTAAATCCATGACTACTACGATACAGTGAGATTTAAAACTCTTATATACTAAAACTCTTTTTTAACAGACAAGTTTTAATATTTTGAGCTATTTGTTATACAAGAGTTTCACTGTAATTTCAAAATTTTTAAAACTCACAATATGCGCGATGCGTTATATAGGGACCATAGGGTTGAACCTTTTTAAAAAATTTTGTGTTAGTTTTACGACAGGACATAACGGGGCAGTTATTATAATATAGGTACCTGATAGTTATGTCAAGGCATTAACCATGTCTTGCGTTTGTTCTGTAATTAATTTTCAAGAATTACCATGTTGTTTGGCAAGATATAGAAAATCTCTTGCTTTTTGTACAAGCCTAAGTACAGGAAACGCAGTACCAAGTAATATAAATACGATTTTTTAAAACAGTTTGTTCTCAAAAATTTGTTAAAAATTTTATAAGGTTGGTACTATTGGTACCTAAAATAAATTCTTAAGATAGCCTATTTTAAAACTCATTTGAACAACCTATATTAGCTTTGACAATCTCTAAAATAGACGTTTGACGCTTTTCTGACCTCGTTAAGTAGTCGTTTTTTGCCGTATGGGAAGGACGGAGGATTCTGTTTCCAAGGCTCTCAATTCTGGCGTTCTCTCCCTTTTTCTCGGTTTTTGTCTCGATAAACTTTTTTTTAATCGCGAGAAACAAGATATCATTAATAATTATTAGTAGTGTATGATTTTTTAAGGTTAAATGATAATATTTTTGATTTATTTTTTTTGTGAAATAATGTTTGTAGCTTCTAAAACACATTGTGTTGTTAATGATGTGGGTTGAAGCCACGTCAAGAATTTTAAATTTTTCAAAACACATGGAAACAGAAAGTAGTCTGTTATTCATTTAGGGAAGGGAGGTTTATGTTTTGCTTTTAGATTTTGAATAATTCATTCTAATTTGCCTAGAATTGGTGTCAGTAGGTGTGTAGCACTATGATTTTTATTTAATTTTGGGGAAGTATCAAGAAAAGGTAGTGTTAATCAAGGCTGGGCGGTTGAGATAGGAAGGAAGGGTGGGGGAAATGAACGGATGTTTTTGAAAAAGTCTACAGGTACCTGTATAAGAATGTTTTAGCTGTTATCATTATGTAATGTTCTTAAAGCCTAATTATGAGAATGATTTTGTATTTTTATTACATGTATTAGGGCGCCTAAATAATTTTGTGCTTTCTCAAAGATCAAATTTTTGGGGTTAAGGGGCACAGAATTATTTTAACAACCTAATATTTATATTAGAATGCAACGAAAGTCTTGTCGTTTTTGAACCCAAACATTTAAATATATTAGCTTAGTAATTACATTATTTGATATATTACTTTTTTTGTATTTTCCTTCTCAACTTTAGTTTTATAATACAGTACACTCTCTATATAGGCAACTCGAAGGGCGTGTTGTCTTTACAGAGTAATTTTTAGTGCAAATCGACTTGGCGGGGTCAAATTTCTTTTTTACTATAAGGAGAGTTGCTTATACAGATGGTTCTCTATATAGACTGTAGCATATTGAAGAATTTAAACTTATTTAAATTTCATTATTTTCAATTTTTTTTAGAAGTTTTGTATAATTTATAAAAACTAATTAAAATATTTTTATGTGTCTACAAACAACATAACGTTCTCACGTAAAGTACACGTGTATTAACACGTAAAACCAGGAACGGATATAGGTATTAACTACTATAACTACTACTCGTTTTGCTTTCGCTCAACTCGAGAGTAATCCGACGTGAGTTGGGTAAACATACTTCATAACACTTTGATTACAATTACTTGCGTGATTTGAGAGCTTTCATATGTTTACATATCTTACCTTACTTTAATATTTCTTATCGTCACAGCGCATACAAAAGTTTTTTTTTATTTTACGCGTTTTCGGGGTCAGGAGATTAATAAAGAAGGGGTTCTACAAGGTCTTTAGGGTTTTTGTATTGGTTTTGAAGGGATTTTGGGTAGTAGTCCTGGATTTGAGGTTTATATGATTTATTTTTGTAGTGTTTAGGTATTTGCCTTGGGGATAAATTTTAGTATTTTTAACTTTTTTTGAAGCGAGCGGTTGGTGATGACTATGAAAGGCCAGTTATCTTATCTTCTGTTTTCCTCCATCTTATTTTTGTTTGATTTTTAAGTTTTTAGCGTCATGGAATATTGCCAAAACTGAAAATCCAGTGACAAATGGCATTTCGAAGGTGCAAACTTTGCAAATTTAAAAAACAGTCTTATCAGGTTACACTGATTAGATCTGTAACTCAATAGCTTTAACAAAAATTAAAAAAAGTTTATAATCCTCTATAAGCCTTTTGATTTTTAATGTTCTGATGGGAGAACAGTGATATTTATAAGCCAGAAGGTTTAAAACAACGCAATCCGTAGGCTACAGCTTATGAAAAAACATTACCTCTAGGCTACAGATATAAACCAACACTTTGAGTTAAATAGAATGATAGAACAACATTAAAAGCATGATACGACAGGTAATCAGAGAGGAGAAGATAATCAGTCGAAATGTAAATGATCCGTTTTGGCCGTTCACACATTCTTTTCCTCAGGTGACGAACAGTCATTCAAACTATTTATTTGACGACCTTTGTCCCACATTCGTTTTGGTTTCTATTGTTTCATCGAGTGTACACAACTGATAACTGTTTGTTTTTACTCAAATCGTGTTTTTCATATTAATTAAGGTTTTTAAGTGTAATCTGTTTGCCAATATTTAAATTTTGAGACTATTTTTAGATTCAAATTTTGTTTTAAAATTCAAAAAAAGTTTAAGACCGTTCCCCGGGCATATGGACCTTGATGGAATCAGTTACCCCACTGAATGTGACACATTTGATTAGGTCTTTTCCAGGAATAAGTCACCCTAAAAAATGGTTAACCTTACTGAATAGAATACTCCCCTAATGTATTATAAATTAAAAATAAACTTACTCTAACCCTTCCCAAGTCTACTCCTGCTCTTTTAGCTCTACCGAAGTCTACTTCTGCTCATTCCATCCCGATCCAAGCATACCCCTGGCTATTTTGGTCTTACCTAAGTCTACGCTTGTCTATTTTAGCCCTATCTGGGCCTATGATTAAACAGGGTGATTATAAAAAATATAGTTTCCCTGGCTTAAAAATGATTTAAATATTAGGTCAGTAGACGAAAACATGTTATTAAACAGTTCTTTGGATCTAAAAATGAACGTCGAATTTTTGCGACAGAATGCCAATGATATTTGAATGGGCGAACTGGTCCTTTAAGCTTTCCCAGCCACGTATTAGGTTGTTCAGATAATTCTGTGCCTTCTTACCCTAAAATTTGCTTTCCGATGGGGCACAGAATTATCTAAACAACCCAATAATTCCACTCATCTTCAATACCTATTTACATTGTTGGTCTACTCGTGTTCCATCAGCTTTACATATCAATTACATTGTCGCAGACCGTCCATTAATCCCGTTGTTTGTGTACCTTATAATAATATCCGAAAAAGGCTGGTAACCGATATTTAGCGACGAATGGCGTCTTTTACCTTTTGTTGGGAGAATTTCTCATTTTTGGCGGATTGCAAACGTTTTTTGTCGCTCAAAGTAAATGAGTTTGTCGTGAATTTTGATTAAAATCAACGTGGATGTATTCGGGGGTTCGAAGCTTATTAGTTTAGGGCTTTGAAATTTGTTTTACTAATTTAAAAAATTTTTTTTTTGAAATTTTGTAAAGTTTTGATTTTAAAAATTTTTTTTTATTTTAAAAAACCTGTATTTCATTTTAAAATTAGAAAAAATACTTTATATTATTATCGATAGTGTTATAGCTGCAAAATAATGATTTTACGTGTTCAAACGAGTATAAATTTATTTTTAAAAACGTCAATTAAAATGATTTATAAAATTGAATGCCTTCAGGGATTTGTTGGTTCAGGTGGTGTTGCAATATGCTCAAATACTGAATGGGCCTAAGGAGAGTTTGTAAAACATCCCTCACGTTGTTATCTGGTTGTTATTGAAGGTGATTTTATTTTTAAAAATTTTTTTTTTCAATTTTTTAAATATTTTAGTACTAGGTTCTTCAAATAATTCTGTACTTTATAACCAAAAAAAATTTCTTTCGGAGAGGGCACAGAATTATTTGAACAAACTGATATAATATTATGCGCTTTGTTATAGCTTACCTACAAAATTTATTTTATATTATCTATTCTTATCTTCTAATTTCTTTGAACTACCCTGCCCATAAACAACTTTTAACTTGCCCTGTCCATAAAAAATTATTGCAACATTCGTTTTTATTTTTAACATATATTATACATCTTACCTTACCTCAAATTTCAGTGCCTCACCGATGGTGCGACTGAGTTCGGCCGTGGTAAACCTGTTCGTGGGTATTATCATTGGCTTGACGATAGCCGTGTTTATCCTGCCCAATACCAAAACTTCATTAGATTACGGTTATATTAGAGCAAATAGGCTTGACAAACCACTACATCGACATGATGCTCATGACGATGAAGAGGTAGACGATAGTGATTCGCCGAAGGAAGCTTTACATTTCCATGGTGGAAACTCTTCAGATCATCATCATGGTAGGTCTTTGGGAAGAGTGGAGGGAGGGGGAGGGGATTAAATCAAAAAATTTAATTATTGAGGGCGCAAAAAAAAAGAATAGGTTTGTAGTACGAGATTACCTTGGTTAAGATAACGAAAAATACACTATATTACACTGTACATAATAGCAGAAGTAGGTAATAAAATATAAAATCAATAGCAAATAGTGTTAGTATGTCAAATGCAATAGGAATTTGAATACCATATTACGATAGATAAATAGTAGCTTGTAATAGCAATATATTATGTTTTGCAAAGCGAAAGTACCGGCACTTTTACCAATCTAATTCATAATGTAATGGTTAAAAATGCGATGCTTCCGGTTTACTTGAGTAGTTAGTTATACTCTATATTGTATGATACTTAACTTAATCGTTGACTTGGGCTAATCTGTGAAGTACTGTAAGATAATCTATAGGCTCATTAAGCGGTACTGTACTTACAATAGGCAAAGTGTTATATTATAGTGTTCACATAATTCTGTGCCTTTTAGGCCCGCAAATTTGCTTTGAAAGGAGGCACAGAATTACGTGAACAACTTAATAACTTAAATTAATATTAGTTTTGGTACAATTACAAAGACTTTAAAGGTTTTTATGAAAAGTTTTATATAATTACAACACAGTAAATCTGCAAAAAGTACTTTTCCAAGTACTTGCAGTATAATAACTCTACAAAAACACATATTTTTGTTTTGTTACAGTACTGTAACATAAAGAAACAGTACTTTTTAAAAACAAACGTTCTCAAAAGCCACCGAATCTGTCACACTGAATCCACCCTCTAAATATTGTAGAGTGTAAGACGCTTAACACTTATTGTACACATTTTAATTGTACCGTACTCAGCTAAAGTAATAGAGGTTTAATAAGTTAAAGTAGGGAAATTAATCAGGATAAAGTGTATTTCATATTGTCAGCATTGACAACTTCCTAATTACTTAAAGCGACATTATTTCAAAGTTATAAGCTGCGTGATTATATTATAAACGCTGGCGAGATCTTACGGTTTTAGAGAGATATTGATGTGGGTATAGATCATAAGGTTGAGTAAAGCTTGATTTTTAAAAAAAATATTACAGTAATCAAAAGTATAGCTTATCTGTAGTACTTGAGAAGGTTAATAAAGGGTTCATTAATAGCTTTAAAGCTCGTACTAGACTTGTACAACATATATAAGCCCTAACCCTTACAGGAGAAGGTCAGCTAGCCCAAGAGATCTCGAGTCGCGTCCGCATCTTCTGCTGGATTCTCACGGGCAAACAGAATCACGACAAACGTGCCAAACATGTCAAAGCGACGTGGGCTCGTCGCTGTAACAAATTCGTGTTCATGTCATCAGCTGAGGACCCGGACCTACCTTCGATTAATCTCAACATTTCCGAGGGCCGTGACCACTTATGGGCCAAGACCAAAGCCGCTTTCAAATACATCCATGACAAACACATTGTAAGTCAAACATGTACTCGTGACTTTTGTAAGTCAAGGTTTATGATTATATCATATTGACATTGGGAAATTGTTGGCAATCTTCCGGGATTGGGCTAAAAATATTTTAGATGATTGTGAGTAGTGCTGAGAGGGGTAGATTTTTAAAAAAAGTTAAAAAGTCATAATAAAAATTTTTTTGATAAAGAATTTAAAACTTTTTAAAAATTATTGTTGTTTGGCTCAGAACTTTCTGGACAACGTAGTAGCTATAAAAAAGCTGTAAGACAACATTGTATAAATGACCAAACACTAAAGGATGACTTAGATAAATATTATAGATATTGTAAACTCTAGATTTAAAAAAATATCATAAATTTTTTGTTTAAAAGGGCAATAAATACAAATAACAGACATATACATCATAGTGTAAAGGGTAATATGTAGAACAAGATTTAGGTTTTTGTTTAATAGGGAGTCACATTAATGCAAGGGCATACTGTACGGTGCAACTAAGCTCATGGTTAAAAAGTTTAAAAAATGATGCAATAGTACGTACTGTATTTTTAGTACGGCGTAATGTAAATTTAGCACGGCGTACTATACTTACAGTCAAGCGTTTTATACTTTCTGTATAACATACTGTACTTTTAATAAAGCGTACTGTACTTTCAGTGCAGCGTACTGTAATTTCATTACAATACAATGTACTTTCAATACAGTAAAATGTTATGCCAAACCTTTTATTACAGTTCAAAAGCAGTACAACTTACTCTCCTTATCTATGTTAAATAAAGTTAAATGTCATACCTCACTATCCACCTTCAATGACATCTTACTAAACCTCTTTATCATCAAAAGACCATTCATAATAAGCACTACTAATCCCGGAGCGCAAAAAGCACGACCCTATATTGTAATGGCATCGAATTTAAATTCGGAAGCCAGCCCAAACTTTTTGTCCGGATTTGGTCATTTAACGTCATCTGGAGTCAAAGGGGGGGGGGAGATTAATTTACCAAAAGAATATGTTGAAATTAATAAAAACTTTTTGACGCAACAGTACTTAAACTGCCATTTCAGGATGAATACGATTGGTTTCTTAAGGCCGACGACGATACCTACGTCATCATGGAGAACCTGAGGTGAGTGAACATCATAATGGGCCTGATAAACCTTATCATATTGACGCATCCGCAAAATAAGGGAGCGGAATGGGTGGGGTAAATATTATGGGAAGGGCTAGGGTAATAAACAAAAAATTTGGGCTAGAGCATGAAAGGTAACATAGATCTTGCTTTGGAATTACGAAATAGGATATATGTTACAAAAAAGGTCGATGAAATGTAGAAAAGAGGTAGAACAGGCAAATAAAATGAGTAAAATATAGGTGAGGTCTGATATAAATATGATAGTGTGTTGACGCAGAATCAGCTGGAATGTTCATAAGTATGGCTAAGACTTTAAAATAAAAGATTTCGTTCGTATTTCGTACCGTATACGGATAAAAGAAACATGTAGAAGACGATGTTACGTAAACGAATCAGTGCTGTCTTTGTGGCTAACAAACAACAACAAAGTATTGTAAATAAGAGTAAAGTACAGTTCAACAGACTTTATGCTTATTGTTATCGTTAAATTATAAACTTTAGATAGGATAGGGTAGGGTAGAATAGGGTAGGGTAGGGTAGGGTAGGGTAGGGTAGGGTAGGGTAGGGTAGGGCAGGGTAGGGTAGGGTAGGGTAGGGTAGGGTAGGGTAGGGTAGGGTAGGGTAGGGTAGGGTAGGGTAGGGTAGGGTAGGGTAGGGTAGGGTAGGGTAGGGTAGGGTAGGGTAGGGTAGGGTAGGGTAGGGTAGGGTAGGGTAGAGTAGGATAGGGTAGGGTAGGGTAGGATACGGTAGGGTAGAGTAGAATAGGGTAGGGTAGGTTTTGGCAAAAAACCTGGCTTTTATTAAACATACAGTAAAATACAGTAACTGTTCCTAAAGTTTAACTCTTCCAGGTTCATGTTAATGGCCCACAAGCCAGAGGAACCAGTCTTCTTTGGCTGCAAATTCAAGCCCTTCACGAAGCAAGGCTACATGAGTGGAGGTGCTGGTTATGTACTGTCGCGAGAAGCCTTGAAGACATTTGTTGCTAAGGCCCTGCCTGATAAGAAGAAGTGTTCTCCATCGGAAAGTGGAGCTGAAGATGCTGAAATGGGTAAATGTTTGGAGAAGGTTGGAGTACGGGCGGGAGATTCTCGGGATTCTGAGGGTCACCATAGGTTCTTGCCTTTTGTACCTGAACATCATTTGGTACCTGGACATGTTGATCCAGGGTTTTGGTTCTGGCAGTACATCTACTATCCTATGGATCAGGTAAGCATTATGTATTTGTACTATGGTACTGTAATGGGTTCTTTAGTACTGTAACAAAGCTTTTATGTAATTTGCGTTAAAAGTTGTAAAGCAGATCTTCTTTTACTATCTAGTATTACTTTAATGAGCGTGGATGTTAGTTATTGATAAAAAGCAATGAAAGTCACAATATAACGTATATTAAGGTAAAATACGAGACTTGCTGGTAATTCTTATTATTTTGCTCTACAAACAGTTTACAATGTACCAAAAATAGTATTTGGCATTCTAATTGTAAAGATATATATTTATACTACAGTAGTGCACAGTTTAAGCTGCTTTGGCCTGTAATGTTTGATGCGGATGTTAATGTTGATTGCTGCATCAACTGGGGTTTAAGAAACAGAGAAATTACTTTAATGGTTACAAAGTTTTTGAAGAAATAAAGAAAATTTTAAGAATTTTAAAAATATTACAGTAACCTTAGCAAGGTAGATGCTCAAAGCGTTTTACACGCTTTGGTTATAGCTTGAGCTTGAGATGTACAGATACAGTTAGATACTGTGTACTACAATAAACAATGTTTTACTTTATCATAGATAAATGTACATTTAAAACCCTAAAATCTACTTAACTTGTAAACATATAGTCTTTGACATAAACCCTCTTAGTTGTTACGAAAATGACATCAACATTACAGTACAAAGAGTGACATCAATATACTATTGCAGTAGTCCAACTCAAAGTACAGTAAAAAAACCGCGTTTACAAGTCGAAAACAATTCTATTATTAGATATACGCTAGCTGCGTCATTCCGTTTAACCATTTTGCACATCGAATTTACAGCCTTAGGTTTTAAATATCGGAGTTTTAGAGATTAAACCAGCTTGGCCGAGATTACAATGACGTTTTTGCAAAATATACGCTATACGGTACATGCTATACGTTAGAGCGTTTTGAAATTATTTTATGGTTACTGTAGAATAGAGGTTTTGCTGAAGAAGGGAGAGGGAGTGTCGATAACAAAAATTAAAAATATTTTTTAAAATTTAAAAAAAAAATTTTCAAAAACTAAAAAAAAGAAAATTATTGTATTTTTAAGAATAATAATGAAAATGAAACAAGCCAGACCATAGGGGGCCCGAAGGGCCCCCGTTGGTTTGGTTATGCTTTAATGACAAAAAAATTCGTATTTTACCGCAATTCAACATCATTTCAGGGACCAGGCTGCTGTTCCGACTACGCCATATCCTTCCACTACGTATCACCGGCCCTTATGTACGTACTCGAGTACCTAGTATACCATCTCCGACCATTCGGTCTTGATGCCACTACCGTACAGGCCTTTGGTCCTAAGGAAATGCCATTACTAGATAAGGCATACCTAATGTCGATTCAGAGTATGGGTGGTGACGATGTCTTCAAGAAGACTGAAGCCGATCTGAAATCACTGATTCCAACGCCTGCGGCCAACAAACTCGAAGTTCTTGAGGTTAAGGCCAAAAACAAAACGATAGCAAAATGAGAGATATTATCAAGCTACGGGTATACCTACTGACAATCCATAATTCTAGTCACACTTTCATCGCTCTAGGGTTGAAGTCTTTGTAGTTTACATCTTTACAATTTGCAGTTACTGCAACATATTTTATTTTGATGTTGATACGGTTGGCTTTGAGGGTACTGTAGTAACATGAAATAGATATATTTCAATTTCAAAGGTATATCTATATTATACTAACTTATATGCTAAAGATATCTTTAGCACGTGCAAAAAACACTATAACTTTACTTTCTTACCGTATAATACAGTATACTTTTCACAAATTTATGTAAATTTTTGACTGCATTAACTCTTGATTTCATCGTATCAACCAACAAAATGCCTTATAAGTAGTGGTACATCACAGTATCTAATACAGTGTTAGTACTGGAAATATACTCTCCAAGTATTCAATACAGTAATGATACTTTACAGTACCCACTACTACCCCACCTTCTACGACTATTTTGTTATATCACAGCCAATAACTAATTATACAATAACGTTTTACACCGGTCACATTCGAAAGCTCACAACTGAAATTACTGTGACAATTGTTGTCTACTAACCTTTCCCACATTCCTCATCTTGTTATTTATTTTAAAATGCCAAACTATGTTAATAAAGCTATTAATGGATGAAGAATAGGATGCAGTGGCTTAGGGGTGGTGTAATTTTTTATATTTTTTAGAATCATGTATGTTCATTTTGTCACGTATTTTACAAAAAAATTTTTTTAGGTAATAAATTACGCTTTCTAAGAAATCTCGAGAAAAACGAGATTAAAAAAATTAAGTTTTGAGTTCCCCGCCAAATTGGCATTGTGTTTCAAGCTTATAACTTTGCCATTTTTTGACTTTTAGCCATTTTTGCTTGATATACTTATAGAAAATCTTAAACTAAACCTACATTTTTAAATTTGTAAACGTATCGTATCTAGAAAGTCAAAAAAGTGTTTGAAACACAATGCCAAATTTTCCAATTTGCAAGAAACTTTAAATATTTAAATTTTTAAACTTAAAAGCACAAGCTAAACGTTTTATAGGTGCTGTTGGTAGTACAAAGATTTCATTTAAAAAATTGGAACTGAATGGGGCAGGTTTGGTATTTTCTCTGTAAGTTAATATTATATGTATATTTACCACATAAAATTATTAAAAAATAACAAATTTTTAGGTAATTTTTAAATTTTAACAACTTTCCGACCATTTTTGTCATATTTCAACTTACCAAAACTTCTAAACAGACGTTAAAAAGAGTATTAAACAAAGCCTGAAGGCGATATTAATGATGCTTTCTTGTCCAAGTGACCCAAGAAGAGTATCAAATGACATTTTCAAGATGACAAACAATGTATTCAAGGTCACAATACACAAATATAGTTGGTTGCGGTCTCAGAAGTTGGGTGAAATTAGATTATTTTAATGTGAGAGGAGGTGGAAATGACGTTAAAGTTGCTTCCAGAAGGCGCATATTACTAAAGATTGTGTTTGAAGAAGATATGTCATGACTGCTGGGTTATATTTGTTATATTTGCTATTTGTAGGTGTTTGGTGTTGTATGGGGTGAACATGGTTATTTCTGATATTAAAGTGCATATTAGTAGGTATAATATTTTTTATATTATTATAGGTTATAGTACTGCTTTTAAGATATAACTTATTATAGTAGACCGTTCAAATAATTCTGTGCCCCAAACAAGTTTTTGGAATTGAGGATTACTGCATTATTTGAACAAACTATTATAATACATTATTTTTCAACAATCCTACTCAAGCCTTAAGGGCACAGATTTACTTGAACAAACTAATATAATACATCATGTTTTACAACTTCTCTCCATCCCTTTATATGCAATAATCAGTACTGTTATCGAAAAAATAGTTGCGTATTAAATTCAGAAGACAAGTGCTTCAACGTTCGTCGTATCCCTCATTTCCATATCGCATTCAATATTCTCTCAAGATTTATGACTTTTTGGGCTTCAACTTGTTTATATAGTAACCGTGTAGACTAGGGCCGAGCTACGTCAGCTCATATTTAAATTTTTTTTTAAAGTTTCTGGTTATCTACCCTAAATATTTTTTAAAAGTTTACGATAGAGTAAGTGAAAAACTAAAATTTATTTTTTATATGCTTTTTTAGATTGTTCAATTAATTATGTGCTCCCTAGTACCGAGAAGTTGCCTTTGAAAAAAAGCACAGAATTATTTGAACAACCTAATATTATACTTGTTTTCGTCTCAACCAATCTTTTGTCATTTTTCTTGTCATTCCCTACCAAACCTCCAGATTTTGTGAATTCAGAATGTGTGATAAGATATTTTATTACTACTCCCACGTTAAATAAATGAAAGTTTAAAAAGTTTTCCCAAAGAAAAGAGTCATAAAATAGCTGCCGCGCCCTGACGTATAGTATTCGTAAGTTAATTTGGTTTAAAAGTTCATACAACATTCTTTAATGACTTGGCACTTTAGGGCTTTGAGTATTGGGGGTGGTCACATAGAGAGTTAGGTGGTCTATCCTTCAAAGTTTACACATCAGAGGGTAGATAAGGAAGTGGGGAGAGAAATATATTATTGCTATTACGACATTGTATAAATAATTCTGTGAAATTGTTTTGAGAGGAGCACAGAATTAATTAATCAACCTAATAATTTAAACTTTTTTGCTTATTTTTATTACATCTTACAGTGTATTTTACTTTCAAAATGCTATTACTTTTTGAAAACTTACTCATCATATTCCTCAAATATTTTACATCCTAGCCGTGGAAAATAGCCCTTAGGCCAAGAATAGGAGCATTTCCTGCTCACGTTGTTATCTGTATGTAAATCTCGTGTCGACAGCGTTTATATTGCCCCGGCTCGATATCTTTGTCCCCGCTTTGTTTGCGTATATCTTGTCGTACATCTCTACTATTTTCTATATCTTTTGCGTACGTCTATAATACATTTTACTCTGTTTCTTGTTCATATATTTATTGTCTGTTGTCTGTGTTACATCTTTTCATACAACTCTTCAATATAACACTACATTCCCAGTTTTTCATTACGTTGCTATCTCTTATCCTACAACTCTTTACCCTACTATATCATGTTCAACACAACCCCTCTCCAGTATATCTCCTCGTACTTCTCCTCCTCTCTCCCCGCCTCATTCTCGTCCCACTGCCTGAGGTCTTGTTTCTTTCAAAAAATATTTTTCTGACCTCGTTCGAAAAAAGAGACATGGCCACAACGCGCTCTGGCCGAATTCCACGACCTTTGGGCCGCGAGCTCCAAATACCCGCGACTTTTTTCGTTTTTTTTGGAGAAACCCAATTTCTTTTTTTAAATTTCTTTTTTTTAAATTGCTTTTTTTGGTTTTACTTTTTTAAGCGGTTGGCTTGAACGGGCGCGCTTTGGCCTGGATTTATGTATTTATTTTTTAAAATTGGCTTTTTCGAGAGCTTTCCTTGTTTTTGGATACGAGTGTGAGATTTTGCTTTGGGTTGAAAGGCTTAAAATAACTTTTTTAAAACTTCTTAGCAATTAAAAGATTAAAAATTGTATTAAAAAGTGGCGGGCAATGTTAAGCGAGTAATTTTGGCTAAGGTAAGAAGAAAAAAGTTTTTTTAAACACCCTCAGGGTTTCTTTCAATTATTTAAAAGGTAACACCCCAGACTCACAGTCAACTTTTTCAAAAAGTTATGATGTGACTAGATACCAAACTACCTTTAACTATCATATATGCGTCAAACATAAATTTGATGCGTTCATTTTGCTGCCAAAACAATAGGAATGGCCTTTCATTCCACATCTGGTTAAGGTCTATTAAGTCATTAATCTAATTGGCGGTTGCTAAAGTCTATTGGCAGTATACACACAGTTTTAAATACCACACATTTGGGTTAGAGGTATTTAACTTGTTGATCTCATTTATGGAATTTCTATAGTTATTAAGTTGTTCCAACAATTCTGGGACTCATAACCCCAAAAACTTGCTTTTAGAGGGGGCTCAGAATTATTTGACCAATCTGATTTAATATAACTTAAAATCTTATAAAATGGACAATTTTTGTGAACCGGCCCTTATTTTTTGTCTCTTTTTGAAGTTTTTTCAAATTTAGTTTTTGCTTATCTCAATTTCCCAAAATTACATTTTTTCGTATTTTAGGTTAACAAATCTGTCAATATGTACCATTTCCATCATGCCATAGTAACCTTTTCCATTTCCCTATACACCTATGTCCTTTACTCTGACTTTTCTAATATAAAATTCCTTGGAAGCCAACGAAAGTGCACTTTCATAGGGCCAAAGGCATCAGAGGTTCGAAACCTCTGGGTTCGAACCTTTTGTATCGTCCACATTTTCGTGGAAATTTATTTCCTGGCCACCCATCTCTCCCCCGCCGCTGAAAGGCCTCTGGCCAAAGGCCTTTTTTGGGCCAAGAAAAGACGCTTTCAGCCGGTGTTTTAAAGGCGGGTATTGGGCTTGCAAATCTTTTGCTTTTTGTTTCCATCTTTCGGGTTTATCGGGTGGGTTTGGGTCATTTTGACAAGGTTTATATAGTTTATGCCAATTTTTATTATTTTATTTTTACTTTTTGATAAAGAATGTTAAAGTTGTTGCTTAAAAATGAAGTTTAGTACAAAATAAATATTTTTAAAAATTTTTTAATTCAAAAAGATATTAAAATTTCAAACTTGGAACCTTTTAGTAATTCCTACAATTCTACAAACTTTTCGACCGACATTATCTCTCGAAATTCAATTTCTGATCAAACTGGTAATCTTTTTTTTCAATTTTTCAGCTCAAAACCCCCTCAGGGCCGGTTTAATCGCGGCTAATTGCATGTTTAATTTGCACGGACCAGCAACTTTAAACCAATCCTAAAGCGGATTCGGGATTTGATTTCACTTTCACTTTGAACTCATTGCTTTATAACAGATTCTGAGTTTTTGACATCCCTACCTCAACATTCTTATCATTGGCTTTTTCAAAATTTTCAGTTTTGTGTTAATTTTTTGCGAGAATAGACTAATATCGGTTCAGTTTAGACATTTGGGTACCACTTTCTACCTTCTCTTTGCATGTCCTATCTTGCCGAAGGCTTAAGACTGACAATCCATGATGTTTCCAGTAAATATTGTCTATACTTTATGAACTTCTGACTTTCAAATGCTTTCAAATTTAAATTCCGAACCCCTGAAGCAGCTGTTTTCTTCTCCAACAATATCAAACGGGGCTTGTTAGTTAAAAATAATTGCAAGAGAAATTCCTGAAGTCAATTAAAATTTGTCTTCGGACGTCATATGGGCAACAAAGTTTATTTTTCGAAAAAAACTTGTCAAAACTACAGTAAAAGCAGTTTGTGACTTATTGGGAATAGTAAAAAATAGTTTTTAATTAACTTTATGCGTATTTTGGCTGTTTTTACATTATTTTTCAAAAAAGTTACCGCAATGTCATCATGAAGTTTTTAGATTTTCAAAAATTAAAATTTAGGTAACAAGTTATATCTTTACTATTTCAATCTCACAACAGTAAAATAGCTGAACAACCGTTCACAAGGTGAATATCGTTCGAAAGCAGGCTTAAAATCAGCCTCGAGCTTGGTTCGTACTGACCGAAGAGACGTTGAGTCGAGTGGAGGTCACCGCTTTGCTCCCTCGTTCCTCTCCCCCCCAACCGCTTGCTTTTATAATTTCCCATTTATTTTCTCTCGATTTTCCCGTTTTATGCAGATTTTAATGGGCGCTCAACCCAAAAAAATGGGGCTTAATTGTGGAACGTTTAAGGCTTTCTCAGGGGCTTTAAGGGGGTTTAAGTTGGGTTGAAGTACACGGTTTCGGCTTCAATTTTCATGATTTGGGCGTGGATTTTGGGCTCGAAATTTAATTTTAAGGGGTGATTTATGGCTTGAAATTTAAAATTTTTGAAACCTTTCTTATTTATCTTGGAAAGTCTTATCAATTTCCGGCTTACCATAGATGCGTCAAAAAGTAAATAGAAATCTTATCAAGAACAGCGGCGTTTCTATTTATTTTTTGACCAAACAAACGTCGCGAGTCAAAAAAGCCAGTATTATGCTAATTATATTCCGCGCCATTTTAAATTTAAAAAATTAATTAAAGCGTTCGGAATTTCAGGCTCACCAGCCTCGGCCTCCAATCATCGTCCTTGTTACTGATCATGCGCGATAGACCCAACAGACGTAATACTACACTACTTTAACTTTATTAACTTATACCACCGCATATTCTTGCATATTGTCCTACCTATCTTAACATCCTTACCCTATCTATCTCAGCCAAATATATCTCAAACTGTTCAACGCAATAATCTTTTACATCGTACTTAAAACACCTGTATACAAAGGCCTATTTACTTTAAATAGCCTTCAACACTCCTCCTGTAGCATACTATACCACACCACCACAATATATCTATAACGCGGCATATATGCCCCTAGCATGTCCTGGACCATGATGCCGACAATCATTGAAGACGGCAGCAATCGCCATGATCTGCCAGAAGATTGTGTCGATATTCATGATCCTCGGATCGAACAGCTCATGGTTAGTATGCTGGAGCAACGAGACAAGTTGACAGAACAACTACAGAAGGCGACATATCATTCAGAACAGTTGGAGGAACAACTACGAGCCAGTGAACGAGAAAAAGATGCCTTGAAACGAGAAATGGACCTTCAGAAGCAGCACATGCACGGTGTAAGTTGATTTGTTGATTTTTGAGGTATTTAGAAGTGGAATTCTTCAAAAACCAGACGCTTTAAAATCCAAAACAAAAATTTCAAGTTAAACCATAAAAGACACTGTCATTTTTGTCTATATCAAAACAGAAAACTAAAATTACTGTCCAAAAGCCACTGATTCCACCTCATTTTAGGACCTCCCATCAATAACCCGCGAGCTAGCTCAATGTCGAGAAGAATTAAACGGTAAAAACGAAGAGATTGTCGAGCTAAAAGCAGAAAGAAACAACACACGACTTCTGCTCGAACATCTCGAATGCCTAGTATCTAGACATGAACGATCTCTTCGGCTCACTGTTATCAAGCGCCATCAGAATCAAGCTTCAGATTATTCGTCTGAGGTCGAGATCCTAAAAGCTTTAAAATCCTTGTTCCAACATCACAAAAACTTAGATGAGAAGGTCAGGGAGCGGTTAAGAGTTGCTATGGATCGTGTTCAATCTCTTGAAGACGATTTGAGCACCAAAATGGAAGAAAACGCATCGTTAAAGTCCAAGTTAGCAATGGCACAAGCTGAAGCTGAAGAACGATCAAAAAGAGTAAGATGGACAGCTGAAAAAAAAATTTTTACTTGCGAAACTTACGAGGTAACTCGTGAGGTAAAGCAAAAACCACAGTTTCATCTTTAGGCTTGGAAAACTTCAAATTTAGATGAACTTCGGCCGATTATGATCAATCGTTTGTGATACTTCGTTGATTTTATGAAAAATTATTTTTTCAAACAAAATCTTGTCCGCAAAAATATTTTTTCTTTGCTATTTTCCTGTAACTACAACACTTTTCGTAATTTTGCAGTAAAATCAAAGTTCTCTCTTCAAAAATTTTAATATTTTTAAATTAAAACTCGAGTCTTTACCCTAAGGCCATATTAGCTCAAAAACAGATTCCGAGCTTTTATTATGAAACGCAAATAAAAGTTATCTGATGAAAACTTTGAACGATTTCAGATAAATGGCACACAGAAAGAAAGAGATTCTGACGTCGAGAAGGCGGCCAAGATTGCTGATCTTCAATCACAACTCGACTTTATGGCACATGAGCTGAATAACTCGTCGCAACAGATTCATAACTTGAGTTCAAGGTAAGTTTTTTGTTTATTTTTGTATTTTTAGGTACGAATCTTTGGATTAGCTGCAAAAAACTGTCTTGTTTCTTTTTGTAACTGTAAAATGGAGCTTTATATTGTTGTAGTCGACATGTTATTCAAAAATAGTCGAAATGGCTTTATTTTAAACGTAAAATAAGAAATGTTTGATTGCCATACATAAAGACAAGTATAGTTTTTGTATTTTTAGAAACGCCGAGTTAGAACAAGAGATTGCGGAGATTCAGAATGAGTTACGTTCAGCTCGTGAAGCAGAACAGATGCTTCAGAACAAGATGGAAGAATACATGGCCGAACGACGTGAACTTGAACAAAAGATTAGTGTTTTGGAGAAACGTTTCATTGAGAGCCAAAGAGAAGCTTCTTCATTTCGTGACATCAAAGACAAACTGGAATATCAGGTGTGTTAAGGTTTATACAGCGTTTTAATTTAGGTACAAATCATGCTAATATTTTTTTAAATGTAAAGTTCTTTATAACTTAAATTTTTAATCAAATAAGGATTATATTAACACGTTGTAAATTTATATGGTTTTAGCTTGCCAATCGTGACCACATGGCTCAAGTCAATGATGAGAAGGTTCACAGTCTACAAGAACGCTTGGAATTGGCTGAAAAACAACTAGCACAATCACTACAAAAGGCAGAATCATTGCCTTCAGTTGAGGCTGAACTTCAACAACGAATGGAAGCTTTGACAGCTGCTGAAAAGAAGCAAATGAGTGCAGAAGAACGTGTTCAAAGAGTGGAAAACCTTCTACAAGAACGATCGTTAGAGTTGGAACGTGCTGTTCAACGTGAAAAGATCAACGAGGAACATAACAAGCGGTTGAGCTCGACTGTTGATAAGCTTTTGGCAGAATCTAACGATCGTCTTCAACTTCATTTGAACGAGCGAATGCAAGCTGTAGAAGAGAAGAATTCGTTAATTCAAGATCTGGAGCAAGCCAAGAAGATGTACGATCAAGCACAGAGAATCAAGGACCGTCTGGATCGCGACAACGATGTGCTGCGAAAAGAAATCGATCAACTGCGACATCAACTATATGAAACTAGAACTGCTCAGTTTGCTTCAAAAATGAATGGAAATGGCATCAATCAACTGCCATATTACCCACAGCAAAATTACTCTCAAAACAGTGGTGAGATGCACAACTACTTGGCCACGGCACCACGAAGACCACAAAAGGGACGAATGGCAGCTCTACAACAAGATCCTAACAAGATTCAGACCTTGAATGAACAAGAATGGGACAGAATCCAACAAGCCAATGTGTTAGCTAATGTTCATCAAGCTTTTAGTGCATCGACGTCGATGATGGAGATGGAACAGAATCCTCAGCAACAGAACGATCCTCAAGCGTTGGCTTCTATGATTCAGGAGCGGTTGGATGCGATAGATTCTGAGATTCAGGCGATTCAAGAGGAGAAGAAGAATGCACGAAGAGCTGAGCAAGGGCTATGGCAAGATCCTAATATGATGTACAACAATGGGTATGATGATCCTAGTTTGTATCTGCCTCCGGGCATGAACAGAGGGTTACCGCCACGAGGATCACCGCATGAGTACAGTGTGCCTAACAAGTATAGTACTGTAAGTTTTACAAGGGAATTGTTTCGAATTGTTCTAGCAATGGGTAACGGCACTATGAGATTGCCAATAACTTTATAAATAAAAATTTTTCTGAACTTTTGAAAGCATATTACTCTTCAGATGCCAGCCCGACCGATGTATGCCCAACGCCCTAAGATGTATGACAATGATGTATTTGCTCAACAAGAAATGGACCTATTGGATGAAGAAATGGCTAACCGAGGATACCTTAACCCAGATAGAAACTTGTTGATGGACAGAATTCAACAGCAAATCAATGGAGAGAATTCCGACAGGATGAGTCCAGTCTCCAGCTCAAGTTCAATTCAAGAACTACCGTATGCAAATGGGTCTAAACTCAAGAAACGATCTTCAAGCACAAGTTCAGGCTTTAGAACGTTAGGGCGGATATTTGGAGCTAAGAAGAAGAGCAAGGATCAAAAGTAGGTTGTTATAAATTATTATATAATATTAATTATGTTACAGTAGTCAAAATATTTTTATGTTACTGTAGCGTAAAATTTTTTGCGCTGTCAAAAAAGACAAGACTATTTGCATTATTTTTTTGACGTATTTTACATTATACACTGTATATATGTATGAAAAATATGTTTTTACTTCCAGGAGCCCATCAGAAGCATATTCTGATACTGAACTAGCATTGCCAGAACAGCCAACATATTCATATCAAAAAACAAATGGCCAAAACGTTAATTCAATGGACTTTGATAGGCGAAAGAAGAAGAAAAATGAGTTATTGGAAGAGGTATGCTTTTTTTATATATTTTTTGATTTGGTATAAGTATACGGTAAAGAACGAATTTGTGTAGGCTAGTAGATAGGATTGAATAAGAGGCTTATTTTTTAAATATTATGTTGGTTTTAAAGTATTTTAAAAGTATTGTTATCAAAGATTTTTTTTTGTATTTTACACTATTTTTCAGGCAATCAAAGCCCGTACACCGTTTGCCTTATGGAACGGCCCAACAGTTGTGGCATGGCTTGAGCTGTGGGTAGGAATGCCAGGATGGTACGTGACAGCATGTAGAGCCAATGTCAAAAGTGGTGCCATCATGTCAGCACTGTCAGATCAAGAAATTCAACGAGAAATTGGCATTAGCAACCCACTTCACAGACTGAAACTGCGACTAGCTATTCAAGAAATGGTTTCCTTGACCTCACCGTCAGCTGGCCGAACTGCCAGAAGTAGTTTAGCCTCAGGCGATATGAATCACGAATGGATTGGTAATGAATGGTTGCCATCACTAGGGTTGTTGAAGTATAGAAGAGAGTTTATGGAGTGTCTGGTGGATGCGAGGATGCTAGAACATTTGTCAAAGAGGGACCTGAGAACGTATCTTAAGGTGGTAGACAACTTCCACAAAGCCTCGTTACAGTATGGTATCTTGTGTTTGAAGAAGTTGAATTACGAGAAGAAGCTGCTGGATGAGAGGAGGAAAGCATGCGAGAATGTTAATAAAGGTAAGACATTAAAAAGTTTTGAAAAATTTAAAAAATTTTGTAGGTATAGATTTGTTTACTGTAACTATGTTTTGGAGTTTAACAAAAATGAGTGAAAGTTATCTTTTTAATTTTTAGATGTCTTGGTATGGTCGAACGAACGTGTAGCCAAATGGGTTGAAGAAAGTGGCCTCGGATCGTACGCTCATAATCTGAAGGATTCCGGCGTTCATGGTGCCTTAATAGCCTTGGATGACACCTTTACAGCACAAGCGCTACAAGTTGTACTACAAATCCCATCCAATGATGAACAAAGTAGAAAGATTCTAGAGACGGAATTCAAGAAAATTGTAGCCGAATGTAGAAGTGAAGCTGCACGATCCAATCTGAACGGTGTACATATTAACATGAATGCCAATGCTAGTTAGATTTGTTGAAACGTTTGTCTTAATGTTATTGTAAGATATGTTAGCTATATTGTAAGATATTTTAGCTATAGAATGACATTTTAAGTTAATTCGATATATAATTAATGAGATAAATATGTCTATTTCCTATTGTATATCTCGAAGTCTGGTCATTTATCTAATTTTCTACTAGTTGGGTTAATTAATAAGTAAGTAGAAGTCATCTAACTTTCTACGGTCAAAAAGTAGGTAGAATAATCAAGAAAAATCATTGTATGTATTCTACGAACTTTTTGACCGATTTTGATCATACAAGACATGACAAGGTAAGTGTCTTTTCAAGATGTATAAAGTAAAGGTATGTCGAAAGAATGGCATTTTAATTTTTATCGTATCTCAACCTTGATTTTCTCTGTTGTACTAGTCTGTAATTACTCCACTTTAAAGTCAAATCCACAAAACGGGTCCTAAAGTTGTTAAAGGCGATTATCACTCACAAGTCATTCTTTTTTGTCCGATTCCATTAACAGATACTTAAATAAACTCTAAAAAGTTAACTATCAGTCGGGCGTTGTGTTTTGTAATATAAGCGTGAGTATTATTAGGTTGTTCACATACTTCTGGGCCCCCTCTTAGAGAAGATTCTTGATTTTAGAGGGCAAAGAATTATTTGAAAAAATTTAAAATTTAAGGTAACAATATTGTTGCAAATTGAATAAAAATTGATTTCTGATAAAGTTTGATCAAATCGAAACGTCTGCGAATGATAGCGTTTTTATTAGATTTCTTTGCTACTTTTGAAAGTAACGTTGTTAAGAACTTAAATTGTTTAATGGAATGTCGACGAATTGATTATGACGTCCGTCAAACCCTTATTGGTCGTTTCGAGAAGTTTTTTGATAAGAAACTTATAGTTTTCTTTACTTTTACTGTTTTCTGAGGGTTTTATACAGTTCGAAGTTAATCTTATGAGCTTTGGAATTTTATGTGCTTTGGGATGTGGCAAATCGGTTGCTTGGCCTACACAGGCTTGACTATGGCATGATGTCTTGAGGAGCAACTGATCAAGACTCGGTAGCTCGAGAAAAAAGATCACCTCGATGGGCCCCGTTGGGGTCTCAGTGAATTGCTCTGACGGTCATCACCAAAACTTTGCTTAAAAATTGTGGTCAAAAAAAAAAAGGACCGTAGTTTTTGTGAAATGACAAAATAAGTTTGTAGAATTATATGTTTTACGTTAAAATTTTTAAAGTATACTTTTCCATGCTCTTTTTGACCTTTTTTACAATGTTTTACTATTTTTTAGTACGCTTATACAAAGTCTAATACAATGAGAACCCCAACCTATGCACAGTAGCCATTTGCTATAGCACCACCATACCCTAAACCCAGTACAACATGTCATACACCGTTCGACTGATAAACCGGTCTCTGCACATATTATTGTTTTGTTTTTGCAATTTATTGTTCTTTGGAATGATTGTGTTCGCAGTAAGACCAAAGGTTCAACTACAGTATCATTGACACATTGCGTTCACGTGTGCCATTCATGTGTAACAGTCATGCAGTAAGGTGGGAGGGCCTACTGAAAAGATTATCTCATAAAAAGTTATCAAAAGTAGGGTTTTAAGGTTGTGAAGGAAGGCTTTGTGTTGTAAATGTTTTATTGATTTTTTTGCCATTTTAGCCCTACCCCAGCCTACATCTGCCCATTCTAGCCCTAGCTAAGCCTTCCTTTGCTCTTTCTTCACCTCTTACCTTTGGAGGATTTCTGTAGTCAAAAAGAATGTAGAATTGCCTTTATGTCTATATATATCTAAACCTACGACGATTGACTCTCCCGTATTTTACACTGAAACTAAATTTCAGAACCATTTGGTCCAATTCGAATGTATTATCCATCTATTCTTTAGTCTTTTCATGAAACATCTGCTTCACATGTCGTTCACGTGATGTCCAGTAGGTGCATTCCCCACCCCTCCCCCTGTCTCTCACATTTCGAGCGCTCGGACTTCTTAACCAAGGGGTTTCCTCCAAATTCCACTTAAACTTATCGATTGTGGGGTGATTGGGCACATGATAAGGCTTCAAATATAGCTTCGAGAATCGTAGGAAAACACTGTGTTTTGGAGATTAGTTAGGGTTGTTTTTGAGGGGGAATCTTGTGATCTTGAGTTTTATATATTTTTATATTAAGCATTATGAAATCTTGGGTTTTAAGAGCTGGTTTTAAAGGTTATATAAGGCTATATAGTCTGGATGGTAATAGTTTATAAAGCCTAAAGCTAAGGGGCTACTGGCTAGAGGTTGTTTTTTTCTGATTTTTTTTATTTTATGAAATGTTAAACTTTCAAAAATAAAAAAATTTTTTGTCAAAATTTAAAAAATTATATTGAGGACCGTAGTTTTTGTGAAATGACAACTCAAAAAACTGTCATTTTTGCCCCAAACTTCACTTTTATTTGTTTATTCCTCAGCTGTTGATGGTTGTTTTGATTATTATTGTAAGTTCATTTCAATTCCAAAAGCTTCCTTTTACTCTTCCCATCGCAATGTACGTTTCGTAACAGTATTTTTGGTTTTGTTACGTCGCAAAATTTTCGAAATTTTGTAAATAACTGTCTGTAGATCTTGACTTTTTAAAAAGTATACGTTATGTCTTCATTTTATATTGAGCGGATATAGGCCAAGACTTTGACATAAGGTTTTTGATGGTTTGAGGAGGGAATGATATTAATTTTGGCACTGAAAGTTAAGAAATGAATATTAGAGAAGGTTCAAATTGTTAAAAATGGTTTTTCTATGTATTTATTTTTTGACCGAACGGCTTTGTCTTTGTGCCTAATATCATAAGCTATTTTTGCATAATTACTGATTTTTCTACGTTTGCATCAATTTCGGTTTATGTTGATTTTTTGACTTTTTTTTTAATTTTTAAAATTTTAAAATTTCCAGAAACTTGGGAGTTTTTGAATCGGAGACTCGAACATCCTACCTCCAGTGCCATTATGAGCGCTATTGCGTCCACATCGCAACAAGGGGATCTCCTTCAAATTCTACGCGGTTTCACCGCCGGCGGCTTCGCGGCCGCCGTCTCAAAAACAACCGTAGCCCCAATCGACCGGGTCAAACTCCTACTTCAACTTCAGAACCGAAGTAACGGAGCCCAAGTGCTCGGGGAGTACAAGGGAATTGTCGACTGCTTCCAACGGTTATGTGCCGAACAAGGTGTAATGTCATTGTGGAGGGGGAACAGCGCTTCTGTAGCCAGATGCTTCCCTACACATGCGTTGAACTTCGTACTGAGGGATTACTACCGTATGATCTTCTTGAACGGCGTTGACAAGAAAACACAGTACGGAAAGTTTGTGTTAGGTAAGTAGTTTTGGGTCGTGATTTGGATTAATATTCATTTTTTTGTTCGGCGGGGCAAAAAATTTTTTTTGAAATATAAAACTTTAAAAAACGTCAAAAAGCCTTTTTTTACTATTATCATTACCTAAAATAATGTTTTTTACTTAAAAATATTTTTTTATTTAAAAATAAAATTTTTAGGTAACATTTTATCCGGAGGAGTAGGAGCAGCCACTGCCCTATGTTTTGTCTATCCTTTGGATTTGGCACGTACAAAACTGGCAGTAGAACTAAAAGCAGATGGTACAAAAAAGTTTGGCGGCATCTATGACTGTCTCAAGTCGATTGGAACCAAAGATGGCATTAGTGGAATGTACCGAGGTTTCATGTGTTCTTTGCAGTTTGTGGTCATCTCTAGAGCCATCTTCTTTGGTCTTTTCGATACGCTAAGAGGGACGGTCACTGATGACCCGAAGAGTTTGAGCTTCTTCACTATGTGGTTTATGGCTCAGGTAAGTGTTGAGAGTAGTGTAATATGAGATGGACTGGATAATGAATTTTGTGTTTGATATTGTTCTTGAATGTAAAACATGTCATTCTTTATATACAATGCCAAAAAATCATTTTCTTTATACCTGGAAGACATAAAATAATCGTGAAACCCTCAGGACCCAATCAAAACTGAAATTTTCCCTTTTCAGACCTGTGTAGTCACCTCAGCCTTTGCCACCTACCCTATGGACACGATTCGTCGCAAGATGATGTTGGACTCGGGTAAAGCCTCAAAGACTTACACCTCAGCCGTGGACTGTCTTCTGAAGACCGTCAACCAGAATGGATCCAGCTCTCTGTACAAAGGAGCCGTCAGCAACTCTCTGAAGTCGACTTCTGGAGCTCTGATGGTGGCATTGTACTACGAAGCCATCAAATACATGTAAATTTACGTCGTACCTACGTGTATACGTATATCGATGTGTTTTACTGTGTTTGGACTAATTTTACTGGTCTTTTGTACTTACCTCACAAACTATACCGGTCGATTTTTTTCGTACAATAAATTACTGAATTCATCGTTGGCTGGTATTTTACTATGTAATGCTTGTTTTATTTGTGCATTTCTTACTGTAATTTACTTTTGGCTTATATATTTTTGTCTATACCATGCCATATTTCGTTGAAATGTAATATATTTTGAATTTTTAAAGCACAAGACATATAAATCATGCTGTATATTACTTGGTAACTTAATTTTACCTTCGTAATTCTCCAAATGACAATAGAATTTAATGTTAACTATGTGAATTACATGACTTACTATAACATAATCTACATTAAAATTGCAAATACTATCTAAAACTATCTTATAACCTATTCTTTATAACATATACACCTGTTGAACAAGGTGAAAACAAGAAAATTGAGATTAATGTGACAAAAACGACTACGGTACTAGTTGGAGTAAACACCGAAAGTAATTAGAATAATGTTCCCAGCCTTATTTACCATCAAAAGTCCAGGAGAAGTGGGAAAGTCTTACCTAAATTAGTTGTTTACAATAAAGCCAAGTAGTCTAACTTCGTACGTTACTTTTACTATAGTATCTGGCATCAATTAGTGTCATAACTAGGAGTTTTTGAGCATGAAAACTAAGGGCTGACATTTTCTGATACAGTAAGTTTAAAAAAGTTGTTAAACTACCGTGTTTTTAAATTCTAAGTCGCTTTAAAACGTCCATACCTACTATAATATAGAGTTTATCCATACCTAATATAATGAGAATTCATAGAAACTATAGTTTTTAATGCCACTATAAAATAAAGGCTGTTTCTATGTAAAAATAGTTAAAACTAGTCTGTTAGCCACAAAAAATTTAAAAATAATTTTTGACATTAATCATAATGACATGTTTTTAGTTCATCCTGAACATACGATCATCTTAACAATGCTTGTTTATGAACAACGACACATTTCTTAACTTTTGTCGTATACTCGTTTCTACGGAACCATAGTAAACAATTTTTTTCTCAAAATTAATATAAATTGCACTTTTATTATATAATAGGTAATCTGCACGGTGCAGTTTTCTTTAATCTTATAATAAGCGCTCAACTACAATATTATCCTAGTATTTTTCAAATATCCACTAATAATTTCCAAAAATACCCTGCCCTTCCCCTTTTAATGACTAAAAACTACTTGAAAGTGTACATTTTGCACTACTTTTTTCGAAAATAACTCAAAAGCCCCGAGGGTATAAGCTCGGCATTCTCTTTTCTTTTTTCGTCAAAAAAGCCTCGCCTCTGGCCATATTATTTATTGTCGCCTGATTGATTGTTTATCGAGTTTGGTCTAGTGTTTTTGCAAATGCGACCAGATACCGCCGTTCTCGACCTGAATATTACTAATTTGTTGTCGCAAGTTAATATTTTTGCTTTTAAACAATAAGTTTTGGCATTTTTTTGCGTTTTGGAGAGGAAAAATTGGTTCCTCATGTTGAAATAGACGTCCTTTTATAAAGTTTTTGAAATTATTACAGGGTTTTGGAACGGTTTTTAGCTCTAGGGTAATATAAGGTAATTGTTAGGTAGGGTAGGCGTAAGGTAGAGGTAGTTAGAGGGTTGAGAAGGGTAGATGATAAGATTAGTTAAGAGAAAGTAAGGTAGGATAATATACGACAAAGTAAGACAGAGTAGGGTAGAGTATAATAGTAAGGTAGGGTAAGACATGTTAGGATAGGATAAGGCAAGATGAAGTAAGGTAGTTTAAAGTAAAACAAAGTAGGGTGTAAAAAGGTATTTTATCCACCTTTTAAAACTTTCAGACCACCCAAGCCTAATCTTTTTTTAATCTGCTAACTAGCGTGACTTTTCAAACATTCAATCCTAAATGACAATTTTAATATTACCCCATATGTACGTTAATTAAACTTTTTCTATGACATCTGACTTGTGAAACAAAAAACCTTAAACGTAATTGTATTATAGATTTGAACTTTAATTTCGCAGCCATCCCCTACGGCAATTACTTTGCTTTTTCTCCCTTTTGGCCAAACTTTGTGAAAGTACTTAAAGGGGAAAATGCTACAGCTCCAGAATCCTTAATGGATTCCACCGAAATGAGTTTGGAACATATTGTGCAGTAAAAGCTTAAATAGTTTTTAAAGTTAGGCATTTACTACTTTGTTTGTGAGTGTAAGGTAGGTTTTTTGGAAGATATTGATACTCTAGAAGCTTTGGAAATCATGGCTTATAAGTAGTTTATTTTGGAAGGGGTAAATGTGAAATTAAGTGTTGATAACGTACAGTATATTAGCTTTATTGTCTTTAAATTTCAAAACTTTAGGTTTGCTTTAAAAACTTTAGGCTTAAAAATTAGGACTTACCATGATTTTAAAAAATTTTAAGTTTTTTTAAGTTTGTTATCTAAACCCTATTTTAGAATCAAAATGATAAGCGTGACTGCTGCAGCCCATTCTTTCCGCTCATCTCGATCCCTGGGTACTCATCTAAAAGCTTACGGTAGTGGTCGTGTAGCCCTAGCAGCTACCGACCCTATTGATCGCGATCAGCAGGAATCCCAACCTAATTTATTGTAGGTTTAATTTACTGTTACTGTCATTAGCTTAGTTTATATTGCAACTCGTTTACACATATCAATATTCATATATATACACCTACAGATAGATACACCATATACATATATAATATGTGTATATATATATGTAGATATACAATATATAAGTAATATAATAGCTGGCTATACTTATCTTTCTAAAAAATACCTAAAGATCTAGAAAGAAGATCATCGTGAAGCTATGGCATCTGCTTCTGAACATCTTCAAAAGCCTCTGCCCGTTCTCTCATTACATTGTACAGACCGAAGAGAGTGAAGAGTTGATCAAGAAGAAGAAGAAAATGAAGGAAAAAGGCAATTCAATGTTCGACAAGCTCGAAGACAAGACCGTGCTACGAATATTCAGATTTGTAGACGGGAAAAGTATCATCGCGTTGGAAAAGACCTGTTCTAAACTTAATAAATTGATTAGAGACAATTGTGATTATCTGCCAAAGATTCAGAAAGATCAGGTAGGTGAAAGTCTTGAAGAACAGCTACAGAAAATTATAAAGCAATTTTACTTTTAAAAGCTTTGTTATACGATAACGTATCACAGTTCTACGAATATTAATCATCATAATAATGAAGTAAAACCTCAAAAACATAAATTACAGGTCAAGTTATACTTTGACGAAGGAGAAGTGATAATATCGCCAGTAGATGAACGAAAAGTACCATCTCGGTTTACTATGGTGCCACTCGAAGTAAGAACTGTCAATAACTTGTTCTATTAGGTTGTGCAGATAATTCTGTGCCTTCTAACTCAAAAAATTTGCTTTAAGAAAAGGCACAGAATTAATTGAACAACCTAATGATACGGTCTTCAACGAGCAACCCTTAACTTCAAAAAAAAATAATTAAAATTCGCAATGTTTTACCCTCCCCAAGCCATAATTAACCTGCCTGGCATTAAGCCGGACAAAGGTTTCTATAATAAAATTAAATAGTACAGTACAGACCACAAAATGTATAGGTACCTCTTATAAAAACACTACTAAACCTGAAGAAGATCATAAAAATTAATTCAGTGCCTATCCGACTACTTACGACACATATCAACCTTATCATTGTTCATCAGAGGTCTTATCCCAATTGAAACTGTGCCAGTGTTAAGACGGTTATCTAGGTATCACCTCGACTTTAGTCAGGTATACTTTTTATGGTGCGAGTTGGATCAGGACGCTGAGGAATATGTAGGTTTTACTTACTATAACTCTAATTTACTGTTACTCTACTTGACTATAACACCATAAAGATTTAAAATGCTTGCACAGTACCAAACTGCTCGTACCGTGCGAAAATTCTAAAACCTTTTTTGACTAACTAAACCTACTTACAGTTAAAAGGTCTGTTCCTAGCCAATGCTAATACCTTGTCTGATATTGGACTAGAATCTTGTTCACCTACTCAACTGATATCAGACTCTTTAATCGCTGGAAATCTACATAATCTAGTATCATTACGAGTTTGGCACGATACATCGGGCCATGTGTACCCGATTACTGACCGAACATTGTTCAAATTGGTCGAGTAAGTATTAAAAAGACGAAAAGTCACCTCAAAAGTCGGTATAAGTGCTATCAGTAAGAGGCAGACTTTCACCATCTCTATAACCTCCCTCTCCCCCATTATCGTCGCATAACAATACGGCTGGCTCTACTTACGTTACTATACCTATATAATCCATATGTTACTATACCAGTATCCCCATTAACCATCTAATTCTAATCCAAAAAACTAAAAACCCTTCATTCCAGACTCCAAACCAAAGCCATGTCGCCGTTAGAAACCCTTGACCTGAACTGTTGTAGGGTTACAGTAATCGGTGTTACCGCCCTGATAGAAGCGTGGTATCTACAACAATACACCCAAAGCAATATTTGTTTGAGTCTTCGAAATTGTGGCTTCAGTCAGTACGATCTCATGAAACAATGTCGAAACCATGAGATTCCGATAAGTTCGACTGGATTACTACAAAAAGAAGACGCACATCTCATTGTACATATAAATTAACAAAGTAATAGTTTACTTTTGTAATTAATGAAAGAGTAATACTTTGTGATAAAGAATAATATTTTATGTTATTAAAGAGTGATGTATTTTTTATGATATTCGCTTCTTTTTCACTGTGCAATATTACATACAAAGATTTATTATGATTTGGCTGCACGGTGCAAAACTTAAATTAATTTCAATAATTAACTTTTATTATTTTAAGTACCAAAACAACATAGAAATTTGATAAAACAATAAAAAAGTTCAAGTTGAAAATTGAGAATTTAAAAAAAATGAAATTAAAACATACCCATTTGAAAAAAAAAACAATTAAATACAAATTAAAACACCTACAGTTAAAAGTGCAAAGTCAAAAATCAAAATTACCTTATACTTTTAACAAAAAACTTTACACGCTTAAAAATAATGTCATATTACGTATTTTAAACTTATAAATTTGATCAAAGGCTAAAACAGTATTTTTCTAAATTGTTCAATAAAAAATAAATTATTCTAGATAATAATATTGACTTGTCCATAACATTTTAGCATTAGATGCTGTTAGTATCAACAACAGTGTCTTGATAATGATTAATCACTACATTCGGTTATCTTTATGAATCTTGTCACCTTCAACAACGAGTACCACTTATTACCTTCATCCACGAGTACCGCTTGATACCTTCGGTCCTAGCTCATTCTTGTTTTTGTTAATTTGTGCAAAATCTATTTGAGGTATTTGGAAAACGTCGCAGACCCTCTTAACCTCTTCCTCCGGGCTTAAATCGACTTTAGGCTTAACTTCTCTGACAATATGTTTAAGGTTGTTGGGTTGAAGTTCGACAATATACGCTGCTCTCATCTGAGCTGGCGACTTGATCTTGTAGCAGGTATTCATGTAGAGACCATTTTCGTATTGAGTAGGTTCTCCAATCCGAATTACCCATTGTTGATTGTCGATTTTTCTGGAATGACACGAGTTTAAATTTAGCAGATGTAATTTAACAAAACTAAGTTAACTTACAGTAAATATTATAGTAACTTATGTATTATTCTTATTATAATAACTTACGCTACTTTATAGTAACTCACACAACTAATAAACTATAAAAGTAACTTACACCTTACGAGCTTCTCGTGATCTGTAGAAGCCTTGTATCCTGACAGAATCACAGTCGTCTGGAAAAGAGTTGTCAGACGGCCACCTTGGAACATACATATCAGCTGTTTGCGCACAGTTCTTCATAACTACAGCGACTAGTACACAATATATCTAAATCGTGGTTTTGACTAATATCCGCATTCATTTATATGACTAGTGCATCCAACAAAATGAACAATTTTCAGCCTACCAAAGACGACAAAACTTATTTAACAACCTTAATAACACTTACAGCGTTAGACAACTTCCTACGAGACCATAAATTGACAGAATCATACAACATCTCTGAACAATATAACCCATCACCAAAGAAGTCGTCATGGAACACATGGATTCCACCATTCTTGTAGATACCTTCTGTCAAATACTGGACTAGTTGATCTCCGTTCAATGGTAGCCATAAGAGGGTCCTAAACAACTTCAATACTATAAAATAATGTAATATAAGAATAGCTTCATTATTCAAATACAAAAACATTATTTTTAAGAGATAATATCAGTTAAAAACCAAGGAAAAACTTTTTTGTTACCTATTTTACACCAAAAACGACCTTACCTTTGTTCTAAACTGTCACTTTTGAATATCGTCTTGTCGTATCCATAGTCGGTTTTACAAAATGAAACACTAAACACATTCCTCACGTCATATATGTTTCGGTATCGAGACTCGTCGTGAAATTCGGTTTGATACACATTTGATATACACTAAAGTAAGATTTTACAAAAGAAAAACATTACAAAAGTCGGTAAACTAACATTTTTTAACTTATATTATAGTTTTCTTTACATTAAATCTGTAAAAAAATAAAATTTCCACAAACCCAATATTTGTTACCTAAAATAATGCATTTCTGAATACCATTTACACAAAAGCGCTAAGAACTCATGTAAATGTTCATATGTTATCCAAAAAAGCTATTTTAAAAAAAATCACAATTCAAAACATTTTAGGTGACAAAAGTTTATCCAAAATTTGTTACCTAAAATCTACCAAAGCCACTATTCAACCAAAACCACAAAAAACTATCGCTAAATCATAACCAAACCCCAACAACTAACTCAAAAACACCTACATTGTAAATATAGCTCTGTCTGCTCATCTTCATCACATTGAACGCCATTCTTTCCAAGACTTCAGGTTTTACGCCATCAAACGCTCCAGAATTCACAATATGATAATGAAAATCGTTCAAATGCTCTCTAACTTTGATAAAAGACGTGTCCAGTGTTGGATTACCTTCGAATATCTTCAGCTTCTTCAGTTTGTGATCAAAAACCTCTTCTTCGTCAACATCGGTCTTCTCGTTTCGTGACTGGTTCAATGCTATAGCTGACATCTTAGTTGCCAAAGCTGCTTCATTAAACAAATCAAAGCTTGCCAACAAGTCGCACGTCTTGTCCATTAAATAATAGTTGAGTTAGGTTAGTAAACATTGACAATAAAAGGTTTTCTCTAACAGTTTTATCAAAAAAATGTTTTTCGAAAATTCAGAAATAATATTCATCCGCACTCTGCAGAGAAGAGGGCGCACGTTGGAAAAGCAAATAAAAATTTGTTTTACCTTGATTTGGAAACTTATATTTATGATAACAATATTTTGTACGAAGTGAAAAACCTGATTTTTATGTAACATCTTCTTTAGGTGGTTTTACAAAGGCCATAACTCTTGAGCAAGAACATAAGTTATTAAAATTCTTTGGCGAAGATGAATATATTTCATTTGTTACATTTTTTTATACCAGGGGTATTATTATAGACGAAAAATGGGTATAATGTCAGTTTTAACGTTGTATAGCCTGAATTTTTATGTAAAACCAACTAATAATTATTTTAAAAAACTTTAGCATATTAATTTCAGTCCGACTAGGTCCACCTTCATGCCATTTCTTATGTTGTGAACGACGTAACCGCCGATTCTGATTTATGAAGATCTTCCCCCAGAGGGGCGCTTCTTCTTCGGGATTCTCGGAAAACAAACTTTTGTGCCGAAACTCGTGTATTGTTTGCACAGAGGACGAGAGTAACGGTGGGTTATTACTCTTTTATTATATTATACGTATCGTGTTGGTTTTTAAAGTTTTGGCATATTAACCATGAGCTATATGGGGTTTAGAGGTTAATTTTGAAGATTTAGTTAACATTTTTGGTATTTTGTGGTCTTGGTTTATGATATTTGCTTATAACTAGTTTGGTTATGTATTTTTGATTATTTTCTGGTATATTTTTTTCAATTGTACCAGTTTTTCAATGTCAATTCAACGTTTTGCACCGAAACGTTTTAAGCGTTCCTAATGACGTAATTAATAAAACGTCAACCACAGTTTTTGTAACTTTCCAGTAGGGCTATTTAATTGCGGTGTGCCGTGGGGATCCAGTTTGGGTGGAAGCCATTTATTTCGATTCTTGTTAATTTGCATTTTGCGACGATTCTCGGCGTTGCACAACGTTTCATTTATGGGGCGGTAAATGGTTCTGAAACACGTCTAATGACAATTCAAACTTCACGCAGTTTAAGTGGACAGTGTGAATTGCATTTGAATTGTTGGGTATGGTCATTTTGACTGTTTAATTGATGAGTATGGTCATTTTTGGTTTGATTTTGAGGTTTATATTGTTGTAGGTTTTTGGTTACCAAGGGTTGTAAAAATTGATAAAAGGAGCGTTCCTAAGTGTTTGTGGCAATCATTATATGATTTATATGACACTTAAAACCTGGAGTTTGTATTGCTAATGTTGCAGTAGCTTTTGGCTTTTTAAAATAGTGAAAAAACGTTCAAGTACTACCTCTTTTGAATTTTTGATCGCAAAGTAACGTGTAGAATAATACATCTTTTTCTAAGAATAAGACATCTTCTACTGAATCATACTTGATCTCTAACAGATTGATGTCACAAGGAAGCTTTGTGACCTCTTGAATATCAAAACGTTTATTCGAAAACGATTACCGAGTACTTCTGAGATGTTTTTTCTTGATTTAAAGGTAATAATTATCTCCTTATTCGCTTCTTTTGTTTCTCCAATTATTACTCAACAAACATTTGTTGCAATTTAGTTCCTCGTTTGTAAATATTATTGTAGAGAAGTCAAAGACGGGTTTATTTCAGGTTTGGAATGTGGGTATTTGGGGTATGAAGGGTATGTGACCTGTGAAGGGTATTGGAGGTATGTTACAATATGTAGGGTGTAAAGAGTAGGAATTATGTTGCACTATATGTTGTTGGTGGAGAATTACTTTTATATAATCTTGTTAAGAATAGTCTGATCTTTATGTATCTAACGTTTTGGGACAATATATTGTTTCAAAACGAAAGTACAGCTTTCAAAACATGCTGAAAGGTACGAATTGTTTATCGGAAGCAAATTTTTTGGTTTTTTGACGGTTTTAATTGTATGTTACTGGGTCAAGACGACTTAGCACATTGTCACATAATGTTTACATTACGTCTAGCGTATCATGTTTATCAAAATTGGTTTTTATTTTGAAGTTTTTTGAAAAATTAGAAGAAATACTGTAGCTTACTGTAACATTCCATTTTTTTGACACGGCAATAAGTTTTTTTCAGGATTTCGCCAAAAATAGCTTTACTAAACCTTTTATATTGTTTTAATGCTTCAAAACATAATTTTCTATCTTGTTTTACAAGAAAACCCTTGTTTACTACCTATTAATATATTGTAGACGTCGTATGTTTGTTTATTCAGTCAAATTTTTAGAAATATTCAAATTAACCCGAATAATAGGGGTTTGTTTTAATTGGCCAGAAGCAAACTCGTTCTTACTGAAAACTAATCAAAGCGAGAAAAGGAATAACTAATAAAACAATACAATAACGCAACAACATTAAACATCGGAAGCTCTTATAAAGAATAAAAGGCTTTCAGAAGCCGTTTTCGTAAGTCTGAAGAGGCGGAAAGCGAACAGTTATGACAAAAGATAAGGCGGGTTTCACCGTCGACATCTGAAGTCAGATTGAGCTGGATCCGAGGACGTTGGCGGGCTTCACCGTGACGTGAGTCTTGGTTTCGTGGGTGCAGTGTGGCGTGAATTCTGAGGTTTTAGGAGTTTCAGTGGGTTTATTAATGGTTTAGGGAGAGGAGGAATGGTGTAGCTAAAGGACGATGCTTATGGCTTTTTAGGGTAAGGTGGATTCATTTTGGCTTATTTTTGGGTGGGGAGGGTTTATGTTTCTTACTACGTTGTTCACATAGTTCTGTGCTTCCTACTCTCAAAAAATTGCTTTGAAAAGGGACACAGAATTATTTGAACAACCTAATGTAACGTTTGTCTATTTATTGTTAGTAAATTTTTAAAATTAATGTAAAAAACCGTAAAATATAAGGAAAAGTTTGTGAAAGATGTTCTAATTTCATGGTCTAACTTATGACATTAAGGCGATGGTGAAAGATTAACGGGTTTCATTGTCATCAAATTAAGTCGCATATTGTTTTACAGTCTTTAGAGAGGGTTTCGCTTAATTATATTCATTTACCACAACGATAACATATCAATTCTGCAACAAATCTTTGGAATTAACTTTGGGTTGGACTTTTATGGTAATTTTGCTCTGTATTTTATAGTTTCTGTTGAGTATTGTTGGTGTTTCATTTAGTTTTTAAACCGGTATCAATTTATTTGGATTTTGGTAATTTTTGGGTAATAAATGGTTGAAATGGCATAATATAAAGTTGAATATTCAGATTTTTTGAAATCTTATTTATTTTTATTTTACAGCCAAGTATGGCTCGAACCTCTAAGTGAGATTCTAGCCTTGATACTATAGTATATGCTATACAATACCTACTTGAACCCAACATTGCTTCTCTAACACGACCTTGGTGTTAGCAAGTTACACATTCTTAAAATATTCAACGCAAGTTGATTCCCTTCGAAATCGAGGCTAATCAGTCTAGCCCACCGCTCGCTAGCCACTTTCGCTTTTTGTTCGTCTAATTGCAACATGAACTTCAAGTTTTGCGACGACAATTAATAATTCAAATTTCAGGCTGATGGTAATTTAATTCGAAGCCATGTTGCGATCGAACACGTTGTTACACTTGTTGTTGGTTGTGGCACTGGGGCAGGTGGTGGAACAACCACCCAACATCTACAAGTGGATCGAGGAGAATGCCCATATTTGTAAGTTGGGTGGTGTAGGGATGTAGAGGGTGTTATAGACATGGTGAGGCTGATGTAGGCATTTAGAGGTACCACTAGGGCTATTTTTTAAAAATTTGGTCAGGCTAATAAGTTTAATTTCAAAATTTAATTAAAATTTGAGTTATATTTTTGATCAGATTTAAAATGATTTTTGATATTATTTTAGGCACAAGTGTCCCTTCAAATGGAGAAAACATTGTGAACTTCTTAACGCCTTCAGAAGGTCTAAAATGTTCTTTATGTCCTGATCATAAGTTCAGAGATCTACCGACTAGTGCATGTGCAGTAGAATTGAGTCCAAATGAGATTGATGTTGATATTGGGTGTCATCCAAGTAAGTGTAAAATAAGAAAAGGGTTTTTTATTGGTATAAAACTGTTAGACTTTTGAATATTAGCTTGTTCATATAATTCTGTGCTTCCTTTCAAAGCAAATTTGTTTGGTTAGGCGGCACAGAATTATTTGATCAACATAATATTATAAAAAGTTGGTTTTCACATTTTATTACCTAAAAATTTTAAAAATATTGTCACTTTTTAGTCCCTGAGCTATGTCTAATGGAGCTGAAAACACGATACGCTGATTTCTTTACCTCCAAAATACCTAAATCAACCAAATCAATGGAAGACATCTTCATGGCCAAGACGAATCCATTTGACAAAAATACAGTAACCCAGCTGGGTCGAAGCAGTAATATCAACCTAAAGATCAAAACTCCACGGAAAGAAGTCAGTATCCCAAAATCAGAAGTCTTCGTAGCTGGTACGACGTTTAATCCAACTACTACAACTACTTTCAACCCAACTACTACTACTACCTTCAATCCTACAACTACTACAACATTTAACCCTACTACGACTAGCACTTTCTTCCCAACTAGTACCACATCTACGGGTACTACCACTTTTACGACAAGTACGACACCTCCAAGTACAACATCGTCTACTACAACAACTTCCACGACCTCAAGTACAACAACTACAACACACCCATCTGTCAACAGCAATATTAACATAGATTCATCGACAGAATCATCTAACCTTCCAGATGAATTCGCTCACGAAATGAATCAAGTTGACAGTGACAGTGGTACCTTCACCACAGTAAGAGCCAACATCTTCAGTTCACCTAGTGTCATGCTACCGGTCAATCTTACCATCAACAATACTGATATGGCAATGCATTCTCGGACGGCAGCACCATTGAGTTTCTTGAATAAGGAAGTGGTACCAGGGAATCTGAAGTTGGGAGAGAAGTCGTTGATTGATAAGAGGGTAGGGCAATCGATCTGGGCCAAACGACCAACATTACCTAATTGGATCAATCGGAAAATGATGACTACGACACCGACCACTGCTATTGTTAATGTGTCAGCTACGATACCTACAACGACGGTTGTTGCCACTACTACGAAGAGGGAGTGCAAGGATGCACATTTGGTAAGTTAGAGGTGGTGAAAGGCATCTTAATACCAGAAAGCCTATTTTTTACCTTGCCTCTTCCTTAAGATGTTATCCATACTGGTACCTATGCTCGACGTTGCCTATAATTATAATGATTTATGTTTTAGGTAACAAAAATTAATTTTTTGATCTAATAAGGCGCTTTTAGTTATGCTGCTTCTGGGCGATCGCTGGAGAATGTGATTCGAATCCGTTTTGGATGAGGATTCACTGCTCAAAGACTTGTGGTACTTGTGATTGTTCATGTAAGTTAGTATAAAGTTTAAAAAATTATTTTTATATTTTGATGGAGACGGTAACCTTCTAAAATTAAAGAAAATCAGGTTTTTCTTACCAATTGAGCTAAACAATATAAATTTTCTCTTAGTAAACGAAGCCGATCAATGCAACAGCACCGGAGTTGTATGTGAAATCCCAACTACTACAACAACCACCACCACCACAACTACTACGACTACCACAACAACACAGCCAACCACACCTACATCAACAACAACGACGACGACGGAAGAGCCAACGACGAGGAATTACGGTAGATATACAGTAAGACCAAGGCCATTACCATCGTGGAAACAACGGCCGCTACCACCAGGACCACCCAGTCATGTCCCAGAGACGGACGAGTTTGTGGATCGAGGAGAACCTGGCATTCGACCGCCATTTGAGCCAAAAGATGGTGTTTTAAAGAACAAGTTCCCTGCCTATGGGGAGGGGTATGCGGCTAGTGGACAGGTAAGGAGTTGTTTATTAATATAGGGATACTTTCATAATAGGTTAAATAAAAAATTTTATATCATTAATTTAAAAAGTATTGTCGTTTTTTAACGTTCCTATAAATCTACGACAAGACTTTTTTTTGACACTTTAACAATATAAATTCTAAAAATTATATTAACTTATCTATCACCTACTATCGTACTTTAATTCCAGCGCCCAACCCTCCAACCCCCACCCCTAATCCACACTCCCGACTGGGTATCCACCCACCCAACGACCACTCTCACCCCTACCTCCACCACATTCTCCACCTGCTTCAACTACAATCCTTTGTGTGAATTCTGGGCGGATCTTGGTGAATGTGCCAAGAATCCATTCTGGATGCGACCCAACTGTCAACGATCATGTAGGAGTTGTGGAGAGAGTGTAGAAGATGTATATGCACCTCAACCAAAGCCGGGCTGTGCGAATCAGCACCAGCTATGCCCGTTCTGGGCGTTCATTGGAGAATGCGTACGGAATCCGCGATGGATGATAAAACATTGTAGACCTAGCTGCAGGATCTGTTGAGCTGCATATTGATGTACATGTATTATCATATACTGTATGTGGAGATCAATTGTACTATAATATTAGGTTATTCAAATAATTCTGTGCTCCTAACTTCAAAAATTTGTTTTGAGAGGGGGCTCAGAATTATTTGAACAAACCAATAGCAAAATTGCCAAAAATGATACTGTAACAATAATATAGTTTGATCCGGATATATGAATACGCTAGAACAGTATGGGTACTGTTCAGGTTTATATATATATTGTAAGTTAGTATGTGTACTGTAAAAAAGTATTGATACTGCAACTACAGTGTCATGTAACATTAACAAAAGTAAAATTTTGTTACTCTGGTTACAGTATCCTTTTGTTACATTGGTTACAGTATCCTTATGTTTCTTACCCCGCCATGTCTACAGTCGCCTTCGGCTGGGCCGTAATATGTTTTTGTACAAATTTAGGTTGTTATACGTTTGGTGCTCACCATTTTGACTATCTTTTAATAAACTCTATTTAAAGCTGGTATACTTGCTTTAGACACTGTAGTCGTTACACTACATTAAGATATTTGAAGGGAACACCTAACCTGCTTTATAGGTCATTACTTTTTTTCAAGTAGTAAGGTGATATTTTACTTCTTTTGCCATCCGATACCATTAAATATGTTAAAAACTTTATTTACAGTAATTACTAATTAATATAAATAGTTAATAAAACTCTGGATACAAATATCCTTTGTGTCACTATGGTGTCTCAAAGGTTGTCGAACAATCTGTATTGACACTATTAGAAGTTACTGGTTTAATATAGTTAGTGCAATTCACAGATCATACGAGTACCATTAAGACCACCTAGGTAAGATATCACAAAACGCGCCAAAGTTACAATAATACGTAGTTATTAAAGTTATTATGTAGTAAATGAAAAAAAATTGAGTGAGATGACTTAAAGTGTGAGTGGCCAAGAATAGAGCAAGAATTTTCGTGCTAGGACCCGAGTTTCTGAGTTTTGTGGCATAAAGGTACTATGGTAAGTAGTACATTATCTTACAAAACCGATGTTACAAACCAAGTTTTACGGTTTGCATTAAAAAAGAAACTTTATTTCAAAAACTTTTTTAAATTTCAAAAAATCCACAAAAATACTGTACAAATTGGTCCCAGCACGAAAAAACAAAATTGTAACCGAATTGAAGTACTAAACAAACTTAATTTACATAACAATTATCACGATCCGTTCATACTGTTCGGTGGCATCATCATTCCATTCATACCCATGGCCATCTGGTTCTGGCCCATCAGAGGACCGTCCAAGCTCTGCATCGTGTTGTTGGCATTCTGATCGTACGATGGGTTCTCGACTCGAGAGATGGCTCGTTCATCACTTTCAGCATAGTCCGAGCCCAACATTGAAGGTTCGTGCACGACGAGGACCTCGGTAGAAGCCATTGGCATGTTATACTGAAATTATATGGTTTTAGATGTTGAGGTATATTAATTAGGTATGTATAGGGTGTAAGAAACCTAGAAGGACCTAGAAACAGTACCGAATGAAAAAAGGTACCACGCTTAGCGCAGTGACACAAAATACCAAAAAAAAGCATCCGACCCTAGGTAATATCAATTTCCCGGAAGCAACGACAAAAATCATGGTGAATATCACGAGATTGGTTGTTATTCCAAGATCATTAGCCAAACATTATGTAAATTGATAAATAGACAAATTTAAGTTCTGAATCAAACATAATTTTAGTACTTGATGATTGGAATATTCATCACTAATCATGAATGCGACATTTGAAAATTAACCAAATTTGAAATTTTTGAGATTTTAGACTTTTGAAATAAAAAAATGCAAAATTAAAGGACCAAAAATTAAAAAATATTTAAAAAAGTACTTTTGAAGATCAGAATGCCCCTTGAAAATAAAAATATATTATCCATACTAATATATTGACCTACAACAAATTCCCCAAAAAAATAAAATTCTACCTACCCCAGGCTGGAAAGGCTGTCCAGGAATGCCCATGCCATTAGGTGCTGGCCCGGATGGTCCTGGCTGAGCACCTCCACCTTTCTTCCTCTGTGCCGTCGTGGCTGGCGCCCCACCGTTTGCGGCCGTCTTTCTCGACCGTTTCCTGGTCGTTTTCGCCTTTTCCTCCGGGGGCTGGGCTTGGATCTGTTGAGCATTCATCTGATTCTGCATCGCTTGGTTCTTCTCGTTGTTCTTGGCCTGATGCATCTCGAACACCACCTTCCTCATGCTTTCTTGCGGGGAGATGTTGAAGCCTTTGCTGACTGCCATTACTCGTTTCATGGGTTCGAGGATCTCGGCGTTCTTCAGGAGCTCCATGATGGGTCGAGGGATTCCACAGACGGTTTGGGGAGGGTATTTCTGAAATGATGTCTTTAATATTATCAAAAAAAATGTTAAAATTTACTTTTCTTGACTATTGTTACCTAAAATCAATAATTTTTTAGTTTTTCAACAAAACAACTGTTTTCTACATACTTTTTGACCAAAACCCCACAAAACTAAGTTTAATCTTTGAAAATAATACCTAAACCTCACTTTTTATTTAGTGTTTCATCATGCTCTATTCACTTTTTAACCAAAAAAGCCAAGTTTTTTCTCCATTCCCTACTACAACATCAAATACCTACCTGATCAGGTTCCAGCGGCGTTTCCTGCGCATATTTACAGTCGATGAACATATGTTTTATCCTGTAGCTGAATGTCTCGTCGAACATCCCAAACTCGATGAAAAACTTTGACATCGCTGTAATGTTGATCTTGACCGGCTTCTCCATGTTCATTACCCAATCGATCTCCGCATCCAATGCTACTCCCATCGCCGCACCTTGAGCACAAAACCGTTCTTGTTGAGCTTTGATTATGATTTTCATATCTGTTAGGGTGTTCATGTAGGTCATGAAAAGGCGAGGGATCAGTGTTCTGCTTAGGGCTGAAAAGTTTAGTATGATTATCTTATAGATAATGAGAAACATCCTCAAAAAATATCCTTAATTTTGTAAAAAAAACTTATGTATATTAATACTACTGAGTATACTAAGGCAAGAAAACTTACTGTACTTCTTGGGAATTAATCCTTCAGGTCGGTTCTCCAATATTGAGTAGGTGATGAAGCTTTCTGGCTCAAAGAATTCGTTGGAAAAGGCATCCCACCATTGGGAAATGTGTTCTGGGCTTAAACTTGCCTAAAATTCAAAGTTTAAAACCTTAAAATCAATAATTTCTTCTAAAAACACTAATGTTACATTTTTAATGTACTACAACATGTATAAACCAAATAAAACATCTGTAAAACCTGATACCGTAACCTAAAAGCCACAAACCTCAAACAAACCACTTACTCTACTCTGTACAAAAGCCTCCAACCGTCTGTTCATCTCTTCGATCCTCAGGTCCAACCTCAGCGGAGGGAAGCCAGGGTGCATTTGAGGGGGACCATTTGGCATCATTGGTACCCCCATCCCGCCCATTGGTCCCATTGGCATACCAGGCATTCCTTGTCCGGGCATGGGTCCGGGGTGCATCCCCATTGGCATACCGCCAGGTGCCATACCCGGCGGCATATTAGGGGGCATGGACATGGCGGGGTTGGGCGGCATTACAGGATTGGCCATCATCAAGACCGCTGAAAGGAGAAATTTTAAAGTTGTATTGGTTTAGATATTGTAGGGTTTTAAACATTTGTCACCACGATAAGTAAATCACAGTAAATTTTTCGAATTCGGGCCCACAGGGGAACTTGTTTACAAAATTCTTGAAAACAGTAACTTTAAGCTTATAACGAACCAAATAAAGATTGTTTTCCTAAATTTTCATAAAACCAAAATAAAATTTTAATAAATTATAGATAAAGATGAATAAATCCGTTATTTTTGTTATAAACCATTAAAAGAAACAAACGCGTCAAGCTCGAAAAACGACCGTTGATCGAATAAAACAAGCTTAGAAAGTGTCTGAATGTGTTTGAAATTAAGATAAAAATTAATCTTATCAAAGTACAAGATATTATAGTATAGAATAATATCTTTTTAGTAACCGATCATATCGTTTTTTTAAAAATAACAAACGTTTTCAATAGTTTTTTATAATTTCAATCAATATTGTCCCTTTAAACCACCTTACACAGCCAAAAAAGCTAATTTATTTCAATTTTTAATGTAAAACATTTTGAAAATGATAATATCAATCAGAAGATATAATTCAGGTTGTACAGAAGTTGAAAGTAACTTTAGAATATTAAGTTATAAAAAATATGTAAAATATTGAAAATACCCCTTAAATTTACCCATCAACCCAAAATCACCCCTTAACAGTAAACTTATCAATCCGATCTAACCTCTCTAGCTCTTCCTCACCAATCTTAACCATACTACCCACCAAACTTTGAAAATCAAAAATAGAAAGTGATAAAATACCAAAACAGTACTATTTTTGTATCAACAGTACCACTTGATCATTGCGAAAACAGTACTAATTAGTCATTTACAAATTAATTAGCAATCTCTGTGAATGGCGAGGGTAATTAGCCCCTCCACACGCTATTAAAGTGATATTTCAAAAAAGTACGAAACGACTTTATTCGAATTAAAATTGAATAAAAAATTTGACAAGCGACGGCTTCTGGAGGGCTTCGTATTTTTTGTGGCCGCACCCAAAAAGGGTGGAGGGCAAGGGAGGGGGGAGAGGAAGGAAGAGGGTCTGACACCCTTTGCCGCTTAAACCTCCCCCCGCTCGTCTGCGCACCCATTGCCGCTTTTTTGTCTGGCACTCTCTCGCTTTCACGTGATGTTTCGGTTTCTCTGGCTTCGTCTCTTTTGGTCTTTTATTCATTTCCCCCCACTTCTACCCGGTTTACGTTATCTTTTGAGTTGGCGATACTCAAGATATTCTCGGTTTGGAAAATTAAAATTTGAATTTGCTGCAAATTTGCATAAAATACTGAATGAAACGGTTTGAAATGTAAAATTGTGGCATCTTTACATTGTTAGATCAGAAGTAGCATTTGATTGTCATTCAGGCTACTGTTAAAATGTAAAAAGTAAAGTTAGATACCTCGGTAACTTTAATGTGTAGAAAAGAAAAAGTTGGCATTAAGATAACTCAGTCTATCTGCTATCTACTAGACTCTATTTTATATTTGAAAATTAAAAAATGGCGTTTTTTTGGGCTCACAAATCATTGTTATACATATTCTTAAAGAACATCTTGATCATTTCTTGACTTTCATTATTCAAAAAGTAATTTACTGCCATTTCTGATCACGCCTTGTCAATTCTCTACTTTCCCCTAACGTTTCGTCTCACTTGGCCAACTTCTACCTTTCTCATTTTCTGGCCAACTTTCTCCCCCTCTCATTATCCTTACCCACCTTCTTCTCTACTCTTTTTACTCACTGATTAACGGCTAGCCAAATGTGCGCTCAAACTTTGTCGCTTTGTTTTCCATGGCCAAGATGGGGCCATGTGTGTTTACCCGGCCGGGTATTCAAATTTTTGGGTTTTGATTAAAAAACAAGAGATTAAATCAGCAAAAGAATACAGTTAATTACCCCTGACCTTCGAGGAATAATACACACAATGCCAAAAGTGCACGAATACAATAACAATTACTGCTGAAAAGGTAGAGAGAAGGGGATGAGCTATGTTATGATAATCGAGAAAATAATAATTTAAATGTAAAAATTTTTAAGAAAATGGACTGAAACAATTCAAAAATACAAAAAATTATTTGTTTTCTTACTCTCCTTACTGTACCCTACCCTAAACTACTTTACTTTATCTTACTGTGCTTATACTTTGCCAAACCCCATTTTACTGTACCCAACCTTACTGTGCTTTATCTTTCTGTACTCTCTCTTGCCGTACCCCGTCTTATTGTGTTTTACCTTACCTTGCCTTACCATGTCTTACAGTACTCTATCATACTGTGCTTTCCTTTGCCTTATCCTATCTTGATTTATATTATCTTTCCGTACTTTACCTTGACGTTCCCTACCTTAACAAACTTTATCTTACTGTATTGCACCCCCCGTACTCTACCTTGACCAAAAAGTCGCTAGCAATTTAGCAATTTTACAACATTCGAAAGTGTATTTCGTTGAAATTACGTTAACATAAACCGTCTCTTAACTCGCACAAATTTCTGACTATGGCATCGCTTGGTAGTTTTTTCGCGCCAAATCTTAAACGAAACCGATATAGTTAAGACATTAGTTGTATACCGATAGAAGAAACATTAAGTTTTCTACCGATTCTTCTTATCGCAGGCATGGCATTTTATGTAAATCTACATACTACTGGACCGCTATAAATACCCAAGTGAAAGTGAATTCATCATCATTTAAGTTTTTTGATGAAGTTGTAGATGGGTCGGTATATTTTTTAATAGATTTGGGAAGGTTTTTACTCTTAATATTTGGGTGGTTAACTTTAAAATATATTAATATCTCTGGTGTAAAAGATAATACTATATTGTACATATATTTCAATATATATGTACAATATAGTATTCTTAACTCATGTTTTCAAATATATATACTTACTTTTTTCCTCTTTTACTGTTAAAAACAAAGAAAATCGTTCTTCTTGCCTACAGCGCTCTCTTGTTACTTTTTTTCGCTAGTTTCATTCTGTTTCAAAGTCTCCGCTATCGAAAAGGAAAGAGAATGTAACCCAGTGGCTCATTGCCAGAGCGTTAGACTCGAAATCTAACGCCCGCAGGTTCGAAGCCTCAGGCTTCAAAGTTGCTTTTTGAAGTTTTTGAATTCTTAATGAACTCATGAATAAACCAGTAACCTTTTGACAGTCTTTACCAATGTTTTAATGCTGCTTTCAGAAAAATTATTATATTTTAAAAATATTAAACTACCATTTTCTCCTATTTTGAAATTAATTCTTGTAACATACTATTATTTGTGTCAAAAAATAAATATAATTTTAAAAATCTGAATCTTATTCTACTTCATCTATCTACTTTATGTAAAACTGTTCTCCATAAGTCTAACCTCTCTTCACCAAAGCTCAATTACCTGACTTGTGCTAGAAATATGTACATATATTAGTAATCTTCATTTATGATAACATAAACCTTGTCATCACTCGATATCGTTCTTCAAAACACCTGTAACTTTCCAAACTTAACTCCCAGCCCGTTCTGATTATAACATCCTCCCCCTACCCCTTAACCCCAAGAATCCGACACCACCCGCGCTTTTTCAGAAACCCATCTTATACGATGAAAGCTGCCTAAAAATATATTTTTCGCTAAAAATATAAGACAGCGTCAAGTTCTAAATCGTAAGTAGAACTTGCGAAGCTTTTAAGGCTTTACAAGTTGTGGTTTAAAGAATACGAAAGCGGAAGAAATGTAATGTACGACGTAGAAGCAGCAACGTATCTATGGCTTCTGTTTTGGCATCGGTTTATATTAATTCGAGGAGATTATCTTGTTTTACCATGCCTGTAATATTCGATTTTGCTAATTAAGATTGTGCATCAGCTGTTCGGTATTTCCACACTCTTGTTACTTTATCGTTCTGTAAATATTTGTGACGTACTCAGCTTAAAAATAGTACAAAGACGTCTTTAACATATAATTAACAGTTTTGCCATTTATATGGCTTATGTTAAGCTTTTATATATCCGATATAATTTTTATATGCTATTTTGACGTGTCATAGCCAAATATACGTTTATTTATGGCACTTTCGAGTATTAAACATTGATAATAACTAACATACTATTCAAATTCAAATTTTTAGTACTTTACTGTACCTCAGCGACAATGGTTGTTCAACCAACTGAAGAGTATGGCCAAGCCAACTTCGCCAAGGGTGTCGGCAAGATCCTCGAGAACATGGGATTCGCGGCATCTACTGATGCCGCCATGAACGTGTTGAGCGCCTTAATGCAAAGGTACTTTGAAGACCTTTGCAAGAGAACGGCGATGTACAAAGAAAACGGTATGCATTTCAATTTTTTGTTCACGTTTAGGTAGACAGAATATAAGTTGAAAAATGGCTTGAAAGTCTATACACCCAAGTTCTAACCACAATAAAAACGAGTTGATTATAAATTTTAAACAAAAGTTACAACAATAATGCACTTTTGATACATTTAGCTAACATCTTCATTTTAAAATAAAAACTTATAACGTAAAAAAATCACTTTAAACAACTTACTTTTTAGCTGGACGCACAAAATGCATTTTGGAAGATGCTAACCGAGCATTTGCGGATCAGGGTATTGATCTTGTGGAGCTACACGATTACGTGCTCCAGGTCGGAAATCTGCCTGTAACCAAGGTAAGCAACACAAGATTTAACTGAAAATATTACAAATACTAATGTATTAACCATGTCGCTTTTAAAGATACAAAAAATGTGAATTGACAATCAAAAATTAGTAACACCCTTATATTAACAATATTATCATGAAAACTTTTTTAGGTACCACAATACCCAGTGAAAAAGCTGAAAGATGCTAATTTCGGGTACTATTCAAATAAACCTGTAGTGTACATTGACCCAGACAATGTACCTACGATCGAAGCCCTGACCAGCCAACCCCAAGAAAACGCTGAGATGATGGAAGTTGATGAACAACAACCATCAACTTCAGAAGCCATGGACACAAGTGAATTAGAAAATGGGGTTAAGAAAATCGTCACAAAAACGAAGTTGTAAGTGAATTAGTGACAAAAATGACTTTTATTACAAAAAAATTGTACTGTTTAAAAATGTAAAAATACCTCTTTTATACAATATATGCTTCTTAATAGTACCTATACACAACTTTTGACTTGCCAAACGTTTTTATTATATTTGATGCTTTTATAGGTATTCGGCCGCGGTAGAAAAAGTGATTAACATCCCCAATTTTGCCAATTTCGACTTTGAAGGCCTAGGCTTCTCAGATAAGCCTAAAGTTGAGCCTCGAGACTTTAATGACTCGGACAGTTCGTTCAACAAGTCCTTTGACAGTAGCTTCACGTTTGCTCCTGTCAAAGTTGAACCTGCACCATCAGCCGAACCAGTACCAGTTGTAGCTCCAGCACCAAAGCCCATCACTCCGGTTTTACGACCGGTCGGCACAAATGTGCCTTTGAAGGTCACAAAAGGCAGAAACGTTGGTTTAGCACCATTTTTGCCATCTCAGCCTAGCCAGGCGTTTCAGAAAATAAAAACCGAACATGAGCAAGTAGCCCCATCGTTAACGGTTATCAAGAATCCGGTCGAAGAAAGTCCAGAAAAGGTAAAGAACAATACTTTATATCACGTACTTAAAATTCAAGTTGTCTTATTTTCTACTACTTTTGATATGTTTTATATATATAACACTATTAAAAAACTCTATAAGCGATTAAGGATCCAACTTAGATTATACTATAGTCCTATAAGATCTTACTGTACACGGTATTGTATTTTAGTCAAAGAAACACAAAAAAGAGAGAAAAAGAGACAAAGAAAAAGAAGGACAAAACGAAAGACAAGAAGCACAGAGAAAAGAAGAACAAAGACAGCCCTGCGCCATTATTGCCCATGCCCGGACTAGACCGGTTTGAACCGTTCGTCAGTGCGCCGGTTCTAGCTCCAACTCAACCCACCTCTCCACTACCTCAAATCGCCCCCATTACAATTAGTATACCTCCACCTCAACCAGTACCAACAATCACCGACGCAGTACCAACAACAAAGCCCTTTTCCAATCCACCACTACTCTCCCTTGAGCAAAAAGACACTCCACCCCCAACTTTGGAACCGGCTGAAGCTGTTGCCAACGAATTGAAGAGTGAGGCTGTAGAAGAAATTAAGGTACAGTATCATTTTTTGATAAAAGACACTCACTATTCTTTAACACAAATTAAATTTTCAAAAAGTGTTTACATCAATTAATCTTACTTTTGCTTATACAAAAACAAAGAAATTTTAGAAAGACAAACACCACAAAAAAGACAAAGACAAGAAAGAAAAGAAGAAAAAGAGAGACAAAGAAAAGAAAGAAAGCAAAAAAAGAGACCATAATGGTGAAGTGCTGACTCCAGTCACCGGAGTTACAACTACAACACCAGACGCCGTGACGGCTTCTGGTGTGTCAAAACCGGCTGGAATTAAGATAAAGTTTAAGCTAGGTGGCCAAAATTCTGTGGAATCCATTTCACCGCCCAAAGAAGTCACGCCGTTAGTCAACGACGCAACAGTAGAACCTCCAGCCAAGAGTCCTAAGCTGTATGTTTTAAAAACTTATATTAATTTAGTGTTAACTTGCGGCTTGCAAAAGTTAAAAGCAAACTTAAAATTGAAAAAAAAGAAAGTTTAAGTTTATGTAGAAAATATTTTAATGTATTAATTCCATTTAAACAAAAAATACTTTTTATATTCGTTAACGGCTTATAAATGAAAATATTATAGTGAACCAGTCCAACCTGCACCACCAGAGCCACTTAAGGTCGCCCCATTGAGGATTTCTCCTCCAAAGCCATTTGTACCAGAAGCTATCGCTCCTGCTACAACTAGTAATGACCCAGTAGTGCCAATGGAAGATGTAAAAAAACAAGAAAATGCAGAAGAACTGCCAAAATCGCCAAAGAAACATAAGAAAGAGAAGAAACATAAGAGAGATAAAGAAAAGAACGGCGAAACAGAAGAAAATGGCGAAGAAAACAAGTAAGTTGGCTTTCACTCGGCCTATACTATTATTAAAATGACAAAAAATATATAGCTTGACAAAACGCAAAACAACCTTAAACTAACACTATTCACTCTTAAATTACAATCATTTCAGAGAAAAACACAAAAAGAAGAGCAAAGACAAAGAACATAAGGAGAAGAAAGAAAAAAAGAAGAGCAAAGATAAAGGAGAAAAGCCAGAAGAAGAACCATCCAAGAAGTCCCCTACCTTGAAAATCAAATTTTCAAATTTGGGTGCCGAAGCCAGCAAAAAAGAGCAGAAAGCAGAAGCCGAAAAAACCAAACCAACTGCCATACCTCCAACGTCAACGGCTTCACAGTCCGCCGTACCTGCGCCAGAACCAGTATCAGCTTCACCTGATAACACCATTGATAGCACGATTAGTGGTGAGACCATTATTACCACAGTTCCAATTGCCATTGAAGTTCAACCTGTACCAGTTGTCCCAGAAGTAGTAGCTGCGGCTCCAGAAGTACTACCATCCCAAATTGTTGAAGAACAGAAAAAGGAAAAGAAAGCTAAAAAGGAGAAGAAACAGAAGAAAGACAAGAGCAAAGAGAAGGAAGAAAAGAAAGATAAAGAAGCAAAGAAAGAAAAACGAGACAAGGAAAAACCTAAAAAGGAAAAGAAAGACAAAGAAAAGAAAGAAGTAAAGGAAAAAGAGAAGGACACGGGTAATGCAGAGAAAGAAAAAGAGAAAAAGACCAAAGAAACAGAGAAGTCAGAAAACGTAAGCAGAGTTAGTACCCCGAAGCTGGATCGGCCTAACTCATCGGCTTCGGCAAAAAGCAAAATTAAGGTAAGCTTGATAATAAATGAACCCAAAAACTATAATAAACAAGGAAAACCCTGTTCTTACAAAGTTAAAACACTTAATAAAGTACTAAAACACATAAAGTAATATATACATTATATTTTAGTCCGAAAAAGCTGAAAAAGAAGCTTCACGTCCACACACTCCAGCCGTGCGACCGTCATCAGCCATAAAAGACCCCATCCCAACCCCAACACCTCCAAAAACACCAGTCGATAAAGCACCAAAGCCTGATGCAACACAAAAGGCCAAACCCGGCAAACCCCCAAAGGCACCAAGAAAAGGCAAGAAGGACAAGTCGCAGAAGGTTTGGGTATGTCCCAAATGCTCTGTGGCCTATGTTGAAGGAGCGGCAGACATGGTCGGATGCGATAGCTGCGACCTATGGTACCACTGGCACTGCGTTGGGATGGTACGTCCACCAGCCGCCGATCAGGACTGGTTCTGTCCCAAGTGCACCAAAGAGCGCAAGGGTGGAAAGCTGAAAAATAAGAGTAAGAAGTAGATGGAAAAGACTTGGAAATGAATAGAAAAGGCAAAAAGTATAGTACAAAAAATTTAGGAAAAACCCATAGATAACATATTGTTTTATTATCCACCTCGTTTTGATATCATTGTTTTAATCTTGAGGTTGTTATAGACTTTTAACTTAATATTTTTAATTGTTTTATAGCTTGTTAACCTTCAATATTGTACAAAGTAATAACATATTAATAAATTATTTACCTCAACTTTTTTCGATTTTTTTCTTACAGTACTGAAATTTTTTAAAAATGACAGAAAAAACATACTTTAATCAAAAACCTAAAGAAAAGTGACGATAAAAAATTGAAAAATAAATAGTTCCATAAACTTTTTGACCAAAAGAAAACAATATAAAACATTACAGATTATTATAGTACCAACTCGACCTTTTACTGGATCAAAAATCTAAAAACTAAGAGATCAAAGTTTTCATACGGTAACCTAACTATACGATATGATATTAAACCCATTTGACCTTCTCATGTTGTAATTAAGCTTGTCAGACAAGTTGTAACTTGTTTTTGACAAACTTTCTCCTCTACATTCTTGTTCTTTTCGACCTACTTTAATGAAATTCCGCCAATTTTGTTACAGTAAAAAGTTTTGTAACCTTTTTACAGCGAAAGAAAGAATTCTTTTACGGTTTCCAGTTTTAATTCGTCTTCGCATTTCGTAAAAATTAAAATAGTTTGGCTCTTGCGAACCCAAAAGCCTCGCGCATTGTTCCAAATCAAATCATAAATAAGAAAATTGATAAATAAATAGATTCAAAATACACGTACGATTTAGATTTTGAACGTACGAAGGCTTGCAAAAAACATTTTCTTTATTGTTGCGAGCTAAAATCGAAAAAAAATCGTCAATTGTTAGAAACTTCAATTTTCTATCATTACCTAAATTTTAAAAAGATATCCAAAAATAATTCAAAAAATGATTAAAATTAATAAAACCATCAACCATTCTCTTACTTGGTCAAAAATGAAATAAAGGAAATTATCAAAAGCTGCCTTGATATACCAATTGACGATTTTTTTGAGCCTTGAGTTCAAATTATGTAATAGCGGCAAAAAGTTAAAATCACATTTTTTGATTTTCTGGAAATTCATCCCTTATTTATAAAATGACGGTAAAAAACCAAATACAGAACTACCATACCTTTCAGTCTTTGAATATATTCTCACTTATTTAATTTTTTTTCACGCAAATTTGCTACAAATTACAAAAGCAAAGTCAAAATAAGTTAAACCGTAAGCCTATTGTACGCACCGGAAGCCACGTTGGACACTCCATTGTCATCGGTAATTAATTATGACGACGATCGGAAGTCCATGAACCTGTATTCAGCAATAAAACTAATTTATCGCTCCAGACAGTAGCTTATCTGATTCGGTTTGTAAACGCTACTGTTAAGAGGTATCTTAAGTGATAAAATCGACTTTATAAATTTAAAATTTTATATGTTAATCCACAATACCAGAGTAAAACAGGTTAGTTTCGAAAATAGGTTTTTGTAGTCTTGTTAAAAATGACACATTTTTCTACGAGTTCAATTAAAATATAATACAGATTCAAGTTTTAACTATTTTTTTAAATTTGAATGTGATATGAAGCGTTGTTTTGGCAGTAACTGTCGTATTAGTCACTATTTTTGATTTTTTGATGAACAAAGAAATCAAGTCTTCGTATATTTTTGTAGTTTACGTTTTTCATAAAATCAAAAAAAGTGTTGTTTATTGCCTAAAAAAATTCGTCAAATTTAATTTTTTTGATGAAAACTCATTGCGCTTTGAAAAAAAAGTTGAGTATTTTTTTAAATTTTCATTATTATTAGTATAACATTACCGCACTAGTTTCACTCTACCGTATGTTACTGTAGCACAAATTACAGTACACAACCTTACACTAGACTACTTCGCCCAAACCTAACCTAATCAACCCTATCACACCCTACCTTATCCTACCATACTATTACCCTTTAATATCATTCTAACTTCTCTTCTACTCTACACTTCCATATCGTACCCTTCCCTAGACGTTCAAGTAAGCTATCATTTGACTCAAGTTAATCTTTTGACTTCACACAGCCTTACTTTAAACAAGGTCAGTAATAATTTCTGTTTAAACGTATAGTTAGTGTAGTATACTATCGTATTACAGCAAAGCAACATGTCAAACTTGTCATCACAGTCATGTTGACGCTTTAAGTTTTGCGCAGTTTTTGATGAGTTAAACTATAATCACAACATGGCCTACTTCTTACACTACTCAGTAATCTTTAAACAGTAAATGCTTTGAATTCTTTCTTGTCATGCCTTGTGTCTTACAAGTTTTAAATTGAGTTTTACGTTTGAATGTCGTAAATTTTGTAGTCATAAATCTTTAAAATTCGCATAGAATTAGTTGACTGCAGTAAAAGTACTGTACATTTAAGTTTTTTGATTGTAATAACTTTTTTCGTATGTTTGTATTATCAACTTTAATACTTTTGTCACCTTATCTTCTCGAGGTCAATCGGATAATCTTTATCCAGTTCAACATCCTTACAATGAAAAAACATAAAAAAGTAAAAGTGACAACGAGATATCACACAGAATCGAGAGACTGTCTGCAAAACCCAAAAATATCCTTCCAAAATTAGATAATCGCTTTTCGCGCAATAAAAAACTTTTTAAGAACCTTTTAACAAACAAAACAAATACGAAAAAGTTTACAGTAAAGAGAGACCCAACGACTGCAAGCTAAAATAGAGAGACGACAGAGAAGAAAAGCAAAAAATGTCGTAAACGAAAAGATTGCGCAACAAACAGGAAACGATAGAGAACGTTGGTTGCCGGAAGGTCGTCCCAACGTTCCGGTCTTGATTAAGAGAGAAGGGGAGGCAAAATAGAGGTCAGGAGGAGCCGGTTGCGTCACTGGCCGAAAGAACCGGTCCGGTCCCATTACCTTACCGTGAGGGCGGGGCTAGAGCTACGACGGCCGCTGAAAGTCTACAGTGTCCAGAAGAGACAGCTAAGGTGTTAAGAGAATAGAGATTGACAAATTTTCTAAAAATTATCTCTAGCGGGTCAGAGTAAAACTATAGTTAAGGTTAACTGGCTATGGTTAGAGGCTAAAATATTATTAAAGTTAAGGGTGTCGTACCTCAGCCGTTACAGCCACAAAAACAACTTCACACAACCTGAACATTAGACTTCGAGAAAGTTAGCCTTGAACCTCAATTGAGTATCTGTGAACCGCCCCCAAAGTTTTGTAAACTAAGTTGGCGGCCGGTTTACAAACGGAAAGGCCTCATCACATCATGTCCTTGTTAATCACGTCGTAATGGCCGCCATCACGTAAAGATAACTCCTCCTTAGGTATACTTAAGGTCGTGAAGGAGTTACCGGTCCTCAGTAGACTCAGCGACGTCTTTCACATAACACAAATAGTTTTAGCGAACTTAGGGCAAGTTGGCTATCTATTAGGGCATGGTTTAGCTGTTTATTGAAAAATAGTTTAGCTATTTCATTTATTATTTATATTGAAAAACAAATTTTTTACTTATTGAAAGTCTTTTTGAAATTTTTGTTTTAAGGCCAGCTTGATACCATTAGTTTTCACATTGAAACATGACCTTTAAAATACTTTGTCTTGTGATTTTAATTGACATTTGTCCTATCAATTTAATGATTTGCCTAAACGTTACCTTGATCTTTTAATTTTATTGGTTTTCTATGGTTATTTGAATTTTTCAAATTCTTTGAAATTTTTTACACCTTTTTAAAATTATTTGAATTTGCGATTAAAATCAATTCATAATACCATTTATGTCTTTGAATGCCAAGTCATTAAAGTCCACGCATAAGCAGTTTCAAATAACCTAACCATGTGTCATTCCTTTTGTTGCCTGCCAAGTTTTGTGTTTGTCCACTTTTTGTCGCATCATTGCGCGATTTGGAAACGTCTACAGACGTTTTTTTGCGATGACTTAAGCTCGCATTTCCAGAAGCTCCAGAATGCGTGAACTAATTAAACGCGCCACATTGGTGGCGTGTCTGGTAGGCCTGGTGCAGTGCCAATTCCGAGACGACTGTTCGGACGCTCCCAATGAGGCAACACGACAAATGTGTTTAAGAATGCGACAAATGGATGCAAATGCCAGAAACATTGCTCAGAACTCGGTAGAAGAAGAGGCTTTGCCTCCAGGATCTCCAGTTTGGCAACAACCAATTCCAGTGCCATTTAATGCTAGAGGACAAATAGCCACGCATCCATATGAATGTATGACACTTCAGTGTTTGTGTCCATTCTTCAGGGTAAGTATTCATTTTTCAGACTTGAAGCTTATGAGTTGAAAAATGACATATTTCGACTTTGTGCCATTCTTTGAGTACTATAATTTTACGATTTAAATCTATTTTACCGTGCAAAAATTTTAAAAAAAAATTTCAGGGTCAAATGGTGAACGGAAACTGTATCCTCCAAAGCGGTCAACCCCTTGCCATGGGCTACAGAAAAGAGTACCGTATGATGAACGACGATGAACGCAGAAGATGGCACTACGCCCTTACCGTGCTAAAACAAAACGGCGAGTACGATAGAATCAGCAGAGAACACATGGTAGTTGGAGCCGGCTCCGGAGCCCATTCTGGCCCAGGCTTCCTGCCATGGCATCGTGAATACTTGAAGAGATTTGAAATCGCTCTGAGATTAATCGACCCATCAGTTTCGGTACCATACTGGGACTCTGTCATGGACAACTACCTACCCGACCCAAGAGATTCGATCCTCTTCACACCTGACTTCATCGGACAAACTGATGGCAACGGCTTCGTCGTTAATGGACCGTTCGCTTATTGGAGAACGTTGGAAGGACGCAATGCCATCTGGCGGTGGGTTTTTTGCCAAATATTTAAACTTTGGCTTTTTTAATCCAAAATTTTGAATTGTGATAAATGAAAACACATAATGATTTTTAACGTTGCTTAAAACTTTAACAAGACTGATAATTTCAAAAATATTATAAAAATCGTATCCTAGACAGACATATTTGAATATTACATGACTTTTTCAAAATTTCGAAGTTGAAAGTCAAGATGAATGTTTTTTCTTTGCAGACAGCTTGGAATGGAAGGAGGATTGTTCACAGAAGCGCAATTAAACTCGATTATGCAACAAACAAACTTGGAATACGTTATGGCTTACACTGTTCCTTTGCCAGGTAAAGCATAACCCATATCCTTATAAGACCAACACAATCTTAAAGTAGACACACTTTCTTAAAACATTACTAAAGCGTACAAAAAAAATGCTCAAAAACAGTTTCAAAACAGCACATCAGAAAAATAAAAATTGAAATTCAGGCTGCCCCTACCCTCCAAACTACCAAGCTGTTGAATATACACACAGTAATATTCACTTATGGCTTGGTGGTGACATGAAACCCCCAACCACTAGTGCCAACGACCCTATCTTCTTCATGCATCACTCTTTTGTCGACTTCTTGTGGGAACAATGGAGACAACTCAGACAACCAAGATGGCTTCGAGAAACGGTAACGTATACCCTAGCTTTTACTGATGAAAGGTTACATATAGGATTAAAAAAGATTGCTACAAAATTTTATTAATTTAAGCTACCTAGGCTTATAATTCGTAACTTACTTTACAAATGCATAAGCGAATCTTTTTTAGCAATACACCCCAGACATTGCCCAATGTGCCAACCCCCTTCACTTCAGTTACGCCGCCATGAGACCATTCAACAACTTGTTGAACAGGGACGGCCTCTCCAACTCCTACACCGATCAGATGTACAGATACGCTCCTCGTGCCGGTTGCAGTCTTCAGATTCCAACTTGTGGAAGCAAATACTTGTTCTGCGACACCCGAGGATTCCCACATTGTGTCGCTAAGGTTAGACTAGGCGGTTTGTGCATGGGATACGAAGGATTCGACGCTTGCTACAACGGCCAATGCATCTTCGGACGATGTGTCCCTGGCCCTACTCCAGCAGTAAGTTATCAAAAATTGCATCAAAAGTATCAAAAATTACCGTTTTTCGGCGAAAAGTTTTCAAAATTTGAAAAATAACTTGATAAAGCCATGCCAAATAGCAAAAATTTGAATTTTAGCCATTCCGAATCCCCCGTCCAACTACTCCAGCTCCGCCAACTGCTGCCGCTACACGCCCTGTTGCTGTACGTGCTCGTCAAGCTGCCTCTCGACCTTTTGTCGATTGCTTCAATCGTGACCCATGCTGTGAAAGCTGGGCCAAACAAGGAGAGTGCGACAACAACAAGAAGTACATGAGCAGATTCTGCAAAGCTGCTTGTGGAGTGTGTAACCCTGCTTTCAACAGCACTAATGGTAAGACTTTTTGACATTGTTTGGTCAAAAAATTATCATTTTTAATTGCATTTATTATTTTAATAGACTGGCTTTTCTTGCCTCATAGATTATCAAAAGATAGATGACATGTTTTAAACATATATAATGTAATTCTTTAGAATGTGCTGACCGTCACGTGTCTTGTCAACAATGGACCGGCCAAGGACAATGTTCAAGCGGAAACTCTCAAAAGTTCATGCAAGAGAACTGTCGCCAATCTTGTCAATTCTGTAGCGCTAAAAAGGCAGCGCAGTGTCCAAAGCCTAGCGTAAGTTCAATAACATAAAATTATCTTACACACCTCAACACACATTAGTCATTTTGATAATTTTTCATCAAACCACACAACAGTTAATTTTATCCCACATATATCTTCAAACACAAAATCATATTTTTGACCTTTTACCCTGCCCATTTCAGAGCGCCATGCGCAAAGAAACCAAGCCAGAAGGTCCAATTCGTCGCGCCTTCAGAAAACTTCGTTCTCTTGTTGGAGTATCCTAAACTGCAACAGATGACCAACAGTGCTTTCAACTATAATTAAGTCTTTCAACTAACTACAACAAGACAAAACCCGCCGATCTCATCTTAAGTTATCTTAAAATATATTGACATACCGGTTACTTATTACGTGTTCTCATTATTGTTATTTACATAAATAAATAGATAGTTACTTTGAAAAATGTTGGAAAATGGAGTTCAAATTAAAAAAACTTGCTTTTGGAAATTAAATTTTATTAAAATTTAGGCTAGTAAATTATCTTTAAAATGTTTTTAAAAAATGAAAAAATGCCTTTTTTCAAAATATACTAGACTTTCAATGTGAAAATAATCATCTATTCCTCAAAACATGTGTAAATTAATTATTTTTGATCTTAAAATGATCTTCATATTTTCGAAGTCTTTGTTTTTAAAAATTACCTTCATATTTAGAATTATTTGTGTTTTCTCGTCATTGTTGTTACTGTCTTTTCAATAATTAGTTTAACACCATCTGAATCTTCACCTTCCTAATTCCTCAAAACCCCTATCTTCACCTTCATAAACGCACAAACTCAAAACAAGCTCCTGAAGCAATTCTTGACGATTTGCGTAATCCTTGACAACCAACGTTCGCGGATTTGTTTCAATAGTTTGCGTTCAAATTAATATAATAAGAACATGTATAAAAACATGACGCCTCGTTGTTTCGCCCTCACTTTCCTCCGCGACGCCGTCCCCTCCTTGAAAGAGACTTCTGAAGTCGACAAACTGCCTTCTAACTTTGTCTACATTAAACTAAACCGGCTCCGAATGTCGGCCAGCCAGTTGTCTTGATGTTCAAGTTGTAAACTGGCTTACAACCGACAGTCGCGCTACGAGGAACGGTGGCCGATCGTCTCGGTCGCGCGTATTGTTTTTTCCTTGGACTGATAAGGAGGTGATCAAGGTAGAAGGGGATTTTCGATCGACTGCAAATGAGTTTCATATTTGTTTTCTTATTGTTTTATCTTGCTAATGCGGACTTCGATCTATTGAACGACGTTGGGCTACAGAGGGTGAGGCGGTACGGTGAGTATTGAAGTACAAAAACAACTGTTTTTTAGTCTGATTTGAAAAGAGTGTTGTCAGTAATATCCACGTTTCATTAATTTTTTTAAAATTTTTCAGTGTTGGCTAGAAAAAAGTGGGATTACGACGTGTTGACGTGGAAATTAAATTCCGACAACATAGCAGAAAGCGACAAATTTATCATAAGGTAATATTAACGAGAGCTTATAAAAATACGATTGGTTTTCCTTTAATCATTTTTTTTTAATTTCAAATTACGAACAAACAAAAAGTTAACACGATCGTAGAAGATTACGTATTTTACAAAAAACTAAATTTTTTAAAAATTGTAAAATAAAAAGTTTACAGGATGACATTACACCGTGCTTTCTCGACGTGGTCATCTGTATCTTCGTTAAAATTTCTAGAAATCTCATCTGACCAAAGTGCTGTCGCCGATCTTAGTATTTCATTTTTAAGAGGACGGCACGGCGACGAACTGCCTTTTGATGGTCCTGGTACGTTAAGAAATTGAAGCAACTATTAGTAACTACACCTGCTCAAATTTAGATCTGGATTTTATTTGTTATATTAAACATCTCTTAATTTTTAATGTTGTTTTTAGACGGAATAGTAGCCCATGCCTTTTACCCAACCGTTGGTGTGCTACACTTCGATGCTGACGAAAAATGGACGTTAAACCGAGACGATGGTATCAACTTGTACCAAGTAAGCAAAAAACAACAACTTTTTACACTGCTTCATCAAAACTTTAAAAATGGAACTACCAGTGCTGTAACTTTAACCTACTGTGTAATTTCAGACAGCCCTACACGAAATTGGCCATCTTCTTGGCCTCGAGCACTCCACTGACTCTCGAGCAGTCATGTTCCCCAAGAACCGACCGTTCGACCCTTCATTCGACCTAGGCGACGATGATGTAAGAGGAATCAGAAGACTGTACGCTCCACCAAATCGACCAATCTTGGAACCGCGAGTATTTTCCAAAGTCACTCAAGATCTCAAAAAGTCATGACCACACTATCAAAGGTATAACGGTAAATTATATAAACTATTGATTCTATATTACTTTTGATCAGATTCTATTAGTCTACATTTAGTCAGATTAGAAAAATGTAGGTAGCCTACAGTAGTTAAACTTAAGGTAATCCTGTACCGGTTCGTCAAACATTGCTAAACTCAGCCTACTATCGTACAGAGCAGCTGATTTTGTTCAAGCCAGATTAAGACTGTTCCAGTTAACCTTACCACCAACTTTTGGTTCAAGTTGAAGTTGATGAGCTGTTTTTCGTTGACTTTCCATATTTTCCTTTTTTCGATTCCTCAGCGTTGTAACAAGCCCTTCCAAAACATTATTGTTTTGGGTGAACTTGCACAACTTAACTATGTGGAAGACTAGGTCTAATTAAGTTGATTGTATTTTTTTCGAATCGCGCACCTGACAAACCGAAAAAGTAAAATAAATAATGCTCCCGTTATATAAGGCGACAGAAACCGGCCTTGAAACATACGTTTTTCCAACTCTCGTGATTCAGAGGCTCGGTTTCTGCTCAACTACTCATCGTAAATGGCAATTGTTAGTTTATATTTGTTTTATTGGTTTTGAAATTTTATCAATTTATAAATTTTAAGGATTTTATTGTCGTTGAAATTTGAATTTTAGCCTTTTAATTTATTTTATAAATTGTATTTCAGAAAGATTCATTCAATAATTTTTTGAAAAAAACAAGAAATGCATTCAAGAAAGGAGGTAAGCCATAAAAATGATAAGCAAGCTACTTTAAAGCAATTAGGCTTAACATTAAAACAGCATTCTTTAGCATTGTAGTATCTTTTATTAGGATTATATACTGTTACCTAAAACTATTATTAAGACTACCTACTGTTAACTAAAATAGAGCTTTAGAAAAAACAAAAATGTAGTTTTCTATTGCTTTAGTTTCATTTATCTCATATTGTTTTAATCTAGGTAACGACGTAGAACGGTCAGCTGAATCCACTTCAAAAGCAGTCAATAAAGCAGCCAGAAATGTGGCAAAATCCACCGAAAAAGCAGGTAATCTTTGATAAGACTTGTGTTTTTTTATTTTACATTTAAAAAATATCTTGAACGCAGGTCTTGTATATAGAACTTAATGTTACCTTGATAAACTGAGTTAACTAACAACTTAAAAAATATAAATAAAATTCGTAGTAATCTATTATTCCAGCTCACAATGTAGAGAAAGACACCAAAAAAGCGTTTAAGAATGTCGGTAAGTTACTACTTGTATGTATTCGAAAAACAAATTTCAGAGAAAAAGCTCAAAAAGTAATGATCAACTTCTGCAACAACTAAATCAATGCTTCAGGCAACTACTTAATTTTGAATAAATTTTATATCGCAATTTGGAGTTTATTAAAATTAATTTCAGTTCTAATATCTGTTGACACGACCATGCCTATTTGAACGTTTTCCAAAATTAACAGCTAACGATAAACGGCGTGCCAATTAATTTCTTACTCATATATCTTTGGCCAACTGCACTCACACACACAATGACATAGCGCTATATCAAAACAAAAAGTTATTAGGTGGGGGTGCCGGAGTGCTAAAGAGTGATCCTTCAGGCGCTTCGAGAGGTCTAAAAATCGGCTCAAGACCCGAAAAAAACCGGCCGATATCCTCCCCCTCGCTCTGTTTCCCCTTTTCGCCTCGGGTTTTTAATCTTCAGGCCTTTGTAATCTTTAGGCCAAGTGATTGTCCCCTAAATCGAATTAAGAAAGTGGCCCCAAAATTAGTTTTAGGGCAAAGATAAGATTCCCCCAAGTCAGCGTCAAGACAAAACCAAGTTTTTAAAAATTTTTTACTTTTTTGCTTCAGGCCGTAGGATAATCCCCCGATCGGCCGAAAATCGTGAACAGACCCCGAAAAGAGATGCGAAGAGCTGATTGTCCCCGTATTACGTTGATCCCCCACTTCTTTATCCCTCTTCTCCCACTGTTTCAACAGCCTCGAGGATCAAGCCCCTAGATCTTCTTACTTTTTACTCGATTTTGTTGTTTTTTCGTCCTCATGCAGATTGCAAAAACAAACAGTTTCGTGTCGTATTGTACGGAAATTACGTTTTTGTTAATATTTAGAAGTACAATTGTTTTAGTATTATCATGTTTTATATTTTTCGTTACATTGTACTTCACGTTTCACGTTTTTTCTTGTTTTTCCAAAAATTGATTTAATTTTTTTACCCTTCCAGTAATTTACAAAGCCATTATTCTTACGTATTTTACACTTACAGCGCTCAGAACCCTCCTCCTAAGCCGTTACAAGCCCAAAATCTTCCATTAGTTTCCACTGCCATCGTTATGTATATACAAAAAGTAAATGGGTAACTATAAGTCAAGACCTTCGTTGTCTTGTGCAGGTAAGTCAATTCGTATGACGCTTAAATTTTAAAAATTTAGATGAATTTAAAAAGCGAATCAGTGAATGCTACTCGTTAGTAAGATCGAGACTTTGCGACGACGTTAACCCTAGATGGGATGAGAAGAACTCGGTATTTCAAATTTGTTTGTAAGTTAGTTTCGTAATTATTGTTGTAGTATTTTAGTATAAGTAATGTAACTAAAGTTTTAACCGTTCTCTATTTTTATATGAAACCTATTCCTTTTCCCTATAGTTTTACCCCATATTTCAAAAATTAACTACACAGTCCTAAAGCAAAACTTTGATTGTACTAAGCCATTTTCAAAATATAGACAATAATTTACAATTAAAAATAATAACCAACCTTTTTAGCCTTGGCTCCATTGAAGAGTTTGTTGAATTATTGAATTCTGTTTCCGTCGACGATAAAGTAGGATCATTTTCTCTTCTTCACTTGATTACAGTTGGTATAAGCGACGCTGTAAGTTAACCATTTTAAAAATTAATACAAAATAAACGATTTGTGCAACTAATCCAACTCAAACTAAAAAAACGTGTTTTAATAACAACGTTAATATTGCACAGACTTAAATAAACTTTATTCATATATTTTTAAAAAAAATTCTGAAAATTAGAAATCGTAAGTAATGTTTTAGCAATCGAAAAAGATTGACCTATTGCTAGAAAAATGTGATGATGACGCAAAAAGAAGGTCGTTGTTTCGTCAACGTACACCCAACAACTTCAACGTTCTCCATTGTGCTGTATATAAAGTCAGCTATATCATTCCCCTTACCACTAGCTTTCAACAACAGTAACATAGTCTTTTACTTTGGTTCGAAATTCAATAAAAATTTTTAAAAATTTAAAGTAATATAATTACCTACCACGTTCCAGGGCGATTGCGCAGTAATAGAAACCCTCCTCAAAAACGGTGCAGATGTAAACCATTACATTGAGAATGCCCCCAGTCCTCTTCATTTGGCTGCCATGTGTGGTAATCCCACGGTAATCGACCTCCTCATACGATATGGCGCTGATCTCCATTCCAAGGACCTAGTCCAGTTTAGTCCATTGCATTGTGCCGTCTACTTTGGCCAAGAAAAGGCGGTGAAAGCGTTGTTAAGTTTGGGAAGTGATCCGAATTACTGTGGCGGTGTGCAAGATCGACCACTTCATGTCGCCGCAGGAAAAGCCAGCCTAAATATTGTTAAATTATTGTTGAATGCTGGTGCTGATCGTGAGTTTTTATACCTAATTTTTGAAAAAGAAAAATTGCATCTTAAAGTAAATTAACTTTGAAACAATAAGGTTATAAAAAATTTTAAAGGTTTGCATTTATAACATTAACTATGACTAAAACGCCAATTTCAGTAAGTTTGGCTGATGATGAAGGTAACACCCCAATTCACTTTGCTTCATCGACCGGTCAAGCTGCTATACTAGCTACTTTGTTAGCCGAACTCAAGGAAAAACAAAAGGTAAACATTTTTTCTTATAATGTTACCTAAAACAAGGTAAGGTTTTGTTACCTAAAATAAATTATAACCCTTTGTTACCTAAAAATTTATAAGGCGTGACAAAACTTGCTCATTAATCAAAACAAAAAAAAGAATAGTATCTAAGAAAACAAAATTCTCATTAATATTTCCCCTCAAAATACCTAAAATAATTTCAGATGATCCTAGAAACCACAATATACGGAGACACCCCATTACACGTCGCTTGTTACCACGGAAAATTAGAAGCCGCCAAAATGTTGTTACCTTTGGGTGGATCATCTATTCTAAAGCTCGAAAACGTGTTCCATGAGACCATTTTACAAGCTGCTTGTACGTCTGGGAAGTCGTTGGAATTGGTCGCTTTCTTGTTACGCCAACCCGGAATCGACCCAAATCACCAATCACAAGATGGACACACGGCTCTTCACAGTGCTTGTTATCACGGACATATCAGGATTGTACAATATTTGCTGGATAATCAAGCTGACCAAAGTTTGACGGCCAAGGCGATCGAAATGCCAAGTCCTGAAAGTAAGTCCAATATTTTACATAAAATTACCAATAACTTTAAAAAACATAAAATACCATCTTAAACATTAAGTTTCTAACCATATTTCAATTAGTTTGAACATGAAAACGATACAATTTTTAAATAACAACAAAAATATTGTTTTACGTCCATAAAAATACAAATAAAATCAAAACATACCTGATTTAGAAAAAAACACAGTTGCATCAGCTATGATGGCGTTAGGAAGATTGGAATCTGTCACATCATCTGACAGTGGACGTTTCAGCAACGATGATCAGCAACCAACACAACAAACCCCAATTCTATGGGCATATGAACGTGGACACGATCAAATTGTAGCTCTCCTGAAGTACTACGCAAACAAACGGCCAGAATCTGATGTTTGTAGTGAATACAGGTAATTTATATTCATTCAATGTAGCGGTAACTTCATGGACATATTCGCGGTCTTTAGGACAAGATTTTGTCGAATTTATTAAAAACAGTTGACACATTATGAGCTTGCGTCAAAAGTTGTCCTTCGAACAAAATTTTGTTTGTCGATAATTTTGGCGAATAAAATCTTGTAAACAGTAACGAAAATATGTTACAGCTCTGGCGACAGCAGCTACACACCTTTACCAAGCCCTATGGGCCGGCTTCGATCGATTACGAAGGAAAAAACCGAGATTCTGCAGCTTCGAACCGAGTTGGATAGCGCTTCGCATCTCTCACTGGTCGATATTGAAATCAAAGGCGAGATTGGACAAGGATCTTTTGGGAAAGTGTATAAAGGAGTTTTTAAGGGCAAAACTGTGGCTGTGAAGAGGTACAGAGCTTTGGCATTTGGCAGTAAATCTGAAGTCGACATCTTCTGTCGTGAAGTCAACATCTTGTGTCATTTGAATCATCCCAATGTTATTGCGTTCGTTGGAGCTTGTTTGGATGATCCCAGTGTAAGTTTATAAATAAAAGGTTAGATAGTCTATTTAGTTACTATTTATGTTGAATTGCATGTTGTTTATGATTAAATGGGCATTTTTCTTTAGCAATTTGCCATTATTACCGAGTTTGTCGCCGCTGGATCGCTCTACAAATTGTTACACAAAGAAAAGAGGTAAGTAATTCGTTAAAAACTTGATTTTTCTTAATTAAATTTTAAAAGTTTAAGTAAAATACGGTTATTGATATTGTTTTTTTTACAAATCTATTTTTATGTCAATCTTGCAGAGTACTGAACCTCAAAGTGAAGCTAGGAATAGCGATTGACGTTGCCAAAGGAATGCAATATCTTCATGAAGTTGCTAGTAGAGCTGTTATTCACCGTGATTTGAATTCTCACAACATCCTGCTGCACAGTAATGGCCGTGCTGTTATCGCTGACTTTGGGGAATCTAGGTTCATATCAGAAGATGCTGAGGAGAACATGACGAAACAGCCAGGAAACTTGAGATGGATGGCTCCTGAAGTCTTTACCCAATGTTGTCAGTATGATGAGAAGGTCGATGTGTTCAGTTATGCTTTAATGGTTTGGGAACTTCATTCGGCTGAATTACCGTTTGGTCAGCTAAAGCCGGCTGCTGCGGCCGCTGAAATGGCTTATAAAAAGAGTAAGAATTTTATTAAATTGATGTTATGTTTATGACGCAACAAAATTTTTAAAAAATTTTATTAGTATCTATGACTAAACATTTTCAGGTCGTCCAATATTACCTTCAGAACCAACAGCCCAGTTTCCAAAGCATATTATAGATGTGATTCAACAAGGCTGGAACCCTAACCCAGCAGCTAGACCAACATTTAGTCAAATCCTTGAAGATCTAGCTCCATTCGCGCCTTCAGAAGAAGAACGTCGTTTTGTGTGTAAAATGACAAACGACGACAGCACAGATGAAGGAGAATATTCTGATTTCGAAGACTTTGACTTTACAGAACTTCCCAAATCAGTCTCAAAACTAAAATCTCAATTCGAACAACTCAACACAGCTACACCGAAGGCTACATCGTCGCACGGTGTCTACAAACCGAATGGTGTTGTGGAAAAGCTGAGGCAGCAGTTGGACAATAATGGTTATGTCTCTCAAGCAGCGCGAAGTATTCAAGCGGCCAAGAGTGCGGCTCAATTGAGGGACAGTATTGTTTTGTCGAGAGAGGTGAAGGTGGCACAAAGACAGTCGGCTTTCAAGGAGCACGATCAACAAAGTACTGGCAATTTCACATCGAGTAGAAGCTTGAACTCGGCTTCTGAATCCGAAATGTAGAGATGATTTATCTTTAAGTTAAGGTTTTGATTCTTAATTTGTCTTTAAGGTTCTGATTTTAATAGCTTCAATTCTGAACTTTGATTTTAAGCTTCAGAACTGTGAAGGAAAAGTCTTAAGATTCTGATTTTCAACCGTAGGATTCTGTTTTTGATATTTTGTGAAGCAATTGTAGCTGTCATCTACTACAACATTGAGGAAGAAGGCTAGGAACACGGGTCATATAGACTTTCATGCTCAACTAATATAATTACATTCATTAAGTTTATTATTATTGCTATTAATAAACGATAAAAGCTATAAAAAGGACCTAGGGATATTGAACTAACTAATGCTTTACTAACTGTGAAGTTTTCAATTGTTCTAGGCGTTTAATTAGGTATTGATGACACTGTTTTGCCAAAAATTAATATTTTTAAGATATTAGGTGAATCTTACACCACTGTTATTGACCATGACGTTATGCATAATGTGTTGTGCAATTTTCAGTTTTTTCAACGATATTCTTTTTATGTTATAGTAATGTCTGAATACCGAAAAAACGTTGCACTTGAAGCGCTCTCGATTTGTTCATAACAACAGATGAACTCAATCATAAAACGTCGCTACAAAACTCGAAAATCATGTATTTCAGCGGGTGGATTTGAGGTCATTTCAGTGAGGGAGGGGTAAACAAATAACGTGATCGTATGTTGTAAACAACACTCATTACAGTGTAGATTAAGTTTGAGGTTTTTACTATATTTCATTTTTAATAAAGGGCGTGGGTGAAACAAATAATAGATATTAGTGTATTGTTTTGTATGCTATGGCAGTTTTGTGTTTTTTGGGGAGGGATGGGAAAAAAAACTTTTGCTGAGGCAGGGCTTGGAAGTTTAGTAATTTAGTAAGTTTCTGAACTTTTCTGGTAAAATAAGGTTCAGAAAAGTTTTAAAATTTTGTTTTTTTAATTTTTTCAAATCTTTGGTCTAAACATGTTGTTCTACAAAAACCTCCATTACTCGCTGCTTTCCCCCTAATTTCGGACCAAATTTTTTTTTATTGGGACTGGAAGAGCGTACTTGAAGGCGTGTCAGCTCCGTTTTAATATCGGATAAGATGATGCGCGCTTCTGTTCCATATTTTTATTGTGTCGCTCAAATTAGCCGCCGTTTTTGCCGCGTGTCCTCAGGGAGTTGAGGAACAAAAAGTTGAAAATTGCTTCCTTAAACGACGTTCAACGTTTTAGGGGGTCCGGTTTGGAACGTTGCGTGGTAAAATTCAAAAAATTCTTCTTTTATATGTTCTTTTATATGTTGTAGTAGACGTTTAGCCTAGTATAATATAGGGTTTTTGGCCGTTTTTTGCTTTTTTTGTTAGTTTTGGCTATTTTTAGCAACATTTTTTGAAATTCATTAAAAAATATATTTAAAAATGAATTTTAAAGCTCTTTGCAATAATCTTTTAAAGCTCTCCACGTCCCCAAAAATGACCTTTTCCTCCAAACTGTTAACCCATTCAAACGCGAGTCTAATTAAATTAGGCAACATGTAACACAATGTCCGTGGCTCTAATTTATTCAAAAAGTAATAAGCTCCTCTCTCTTTCACCGACTCTTCTTTTTTCATCCCCCGAGGGCATGAAAGTCGGGCTTTTGGCCATAATTTATATTTGGCTGGACGTGTCAAATCCCGTTTAAAAGCTCGTTTTTTGTCCATTTATTCGTAATACGACAACAAAGTGACCACAACGGCTGAAATATATACATGATTTTGAATATTTTTTTTTGAGACTTCGATGAATTTTTTTGGGGTTTTGGGCTAAGATGAGCAATATTAAGGATTGTTTTTAATTTTTTTGTAATTTTTAATTAAAAAAAAGAAATTTGGAGTATAACATAGGGACTAATATAGCTGTTTTTCGTTTTTTAAATAATTTTTAATAATTTTCAGTTACATTTTGACTTTACTATGTTATACGTAAACATGTACTTTTAATTCCATTTATGTTTCGAATAATTTGCGTACTGAAATAGGATTCTTTAATTCTCTCAGCGGTACACTTTTGGCTTTTCACTCGCGCTTTCACTTTCAAACGAGGCCAATTAATCATTGCTGAGGTGGCCCGAGGTCATTTAATGTTCAAAAGTCGACCCGAATTCATAATTGCCAACCGGTTTTTAGTCGGTAAATTATGTAGCGTTTTATATTTAGAATGGTATTCAACGGCATGGAAACTTTAGTTTATATGAGTTTTAGGTAATAGAGTAGGATGTGGGGAGCAATGGCAGTGCATAAGTTGTGGTAGAATACAGTATTTTTAGTCATGTTTAAAGTAGTGTTATAGACTTCCATTAATAGTAACACTCCCCTAGTATTCTCGTAAGACTCCAAGAGCAAATTATAACCCTCAAACGTCGAGAAGGCTATAATTTAGACTATAACACGCTATATCTCATTTTAAAATTGCACAACAAAGTTAGATGATTAATGGTTTAGCTATGACTGATGACAAGATTAACACCGTGGTTAACATGATTACCTTTGTTTTTGGTTTTTTGACCGATTAACCGTCGCCGTTCTGTGTCGTTCTTGAGTGTTTTGTCAGGATTGCTGTTTGAACGGGCGTGTAAAAAGAAAGTTTTTACCGTTTTTATAATAATACGTATGTTAATATAACTGGAGTGTATTTTAAGACATTTATATTGACTGTTAAACTTGTTCTTTACAAAAATGTTAAGATTCTACTTTTTTTATTGTAGTTTTGAACTTACTTTGCCATTTTTATCTAACATTCAACTCAATAAACAATGAAGATGCTACTAAAGATAAAGTTACTGCTTAAGGAAGGGTTAGTCTAAATTCAAACGGTCTTACGGGGTCGTATTTCAGAGGGTAATTAGGATTTCACGGCGGATTAAAGAACCAGTTAATTATTCACCAGCTCTTAATGCATTTCGAATTTGTTGCTCAGGTAGCAGCACTTAATGCGCGTGTAATGGGAATATGAATTTTAAACGAGGGATGAATATGTAAATTAATATGACCGCTTTAATTGGGCATTTTTAATCGTTATGCGATATATTAAGGTAGTTAGAGGATTGGGAAGGTCGGGCGGATGGTAGGCCAAAATAAAGTAAGGCAGGGTAAGATAAAGGAAAATACGGTAGCTTAGGGTAGTATAAGGTATGGTAGGACAGAGTTGGCTAGGAAAACTTGCGGTAGGATAGAGTAGATTATGGAAGGGCAAGGCAAGGCAAGGCAAGTCAAGATAAGATAAGGCAGTGTTATAATACAATTGTTTTATTGCGACATCATAAATAGTCAAAGCTATCGAAAAGTCAGCCGTTTTCCGTTTCGTACTCATTTCGTATTCAATTCGTTTTTTGTGTTTCAACTTTTTCTTCAAAAAAACGAAATAAAACTGAAATCTATTGTTGGTCATTCTCTTTGAAGGCCAATCTGTTTTCGTATGTGTGGCCACAACATTTCCTTCCAAGACATGTTTCTTCGGCTTGTTATATTATAATGTAATGGCATGGAGAATTGTGTATTTTTTGGAAAAATTGTTTTAGCCAGATTTATTTTAGATTCTGACTTTTAATTTTGAGTATGGTAAATTACAATTCTTTTTTGTTAGAATGGTTGCGGCATGGTGGACTAAATGCTACTTTAGGTTAGGGAGTAGTTGGTGGTTGAGGGAGGGGTGAATGGGGGAGGAATGGTGGATATTTGTTTCAAAAATTTTGGTTATTTTTTCAACTTTTAAGTACTAAACAGTAGCTTTTCTTACAGTGTTTGAACTATCGTTAGGCTATTGGATGTCACAACGCTGTCGTATATTATTTTGGCTGTGTCTCTAAATCTGTCAATCATTTGTCGCTTTGGGCGTTAAAACTTTAAATACGACGACACATATCTGATATTTTAAAGTCATTAAATTCAAATTCAAATTTTTTAAAAATTTTTTGAAATTACTTTAGTATTTATATTTGACTGGACTAAGTTTAAAATTTTTGTCTATTACTACTTCTTTACTGTGTGTTTTTTCACAGTATGAACAAAGTAACTTTCTCATAGTACACATTTTGCAAAACCTAAACTTTCTACCACAAACATGGACTTGCAAATTCCCACACTATTCGTATGTGTTATAACACGACATGTGTTGTTCCTATATAACGTTGTTATGGTGACTTTGAAAGTTTTTTGCGTCGGAAAATAATTTCTTTTGTATTATTTCTTTGTACTTCTATTGTGTGAAGAAGGAAGAGGCGAGCTGTCCTTATTTGGGGAACCCTTAAGGGCGGAAAGTAAACTCAAATATACTTTATTATAACTCTTCTGGGATGCATTATATACGTTTTTGACGTCAATTTGAAATCATTATTACAGTGTTTTATTGTTATGGATGTGTGTAGGCATATGTATACATCGTGGTTGGATGTTTTTATGGGTAGGGTAGTAGAGTAAGGCAGGATTTTTAAGGTATTTATGTATGTATGTTCTTCTATATCTTATCAATACATGGATTAACTTATATGTTACCATTTTTACGCTATGTGTCTGTAATTATTATAATTCATAATATAATAGGATAACATCCCAATAATTTAAAAAACAGTTTTTTTTATTAAAATGACGGTAAATGGATTAAAATTTCGTTTTAAGAACGATTGTTTACAGTAACTCAACAGTCAATATGTCTGATGGCTGGAAGTCACATATGTTTTTATCTTTCCTTATTTATACACATGGTTATTGCTGGATGATGTTGTTGTCTTCAATATAAGGAAGTTATTAGCTGAAAGACGGAAACGTAATTATAAAAAATTGAAGTTGGGCAACTTTTCTATATTTTTTGGGATCTTTACAACTTGTTAACTTACACCCCTTTTAGTATATAACGTATTTTAGCAACTACTACTTTGTTTTTCTTTATTTACTAGATAAATTAAAACCTAATTTTCTAAATTAAAAAAAAATGTTTTTACAAGTCAAAAAGATAGAATAAATTTCGAAAAAATGGCCATGAATGTCCATTCATTTGTCTTTGTTTCTCATTTCAAACAAATCATTTGAATGGGATTTGCACATATTTTGGATTATAAAACGTTTTTTTTGGTTTATATATCTTAATTTACATATATATATTTATTTTTAATTTTTATAATTCATGTTTGCTACTATAGCAACTTTTTTAATTTTTTGATTTTGTTATATATATAAAAAGAATAGTTTCATGGTAACTTATCGTACATTACAATATCAAATTACTCAAACTACAATAAGATATTGTAAAAAACAACCAATTAAAAACGTGAAATTTAATTAAATTCGAAAAAACATCTAATTGGAATTACTGTTTCAGCGTTTTCAAGTAATATTACTAGTAATGATGGGGTCGGACGAGCGTCTACTGGAAGAGTCCACGCTCTCCCAGAAGCCTTCTCGGCTATCATTGTGCATGTTACGGGTTTACAAATTAGCTAAAAGCTTGGTAATCGCTTTATTACTCGTCTTTTTACTATGGTTTTTGCTGATTAACTTTGGGCCGAGGAAACGAAAGCTACCCTTACACGACGATGTTATACAACAACAGTTAATGGACATACCAAGAAATGTAAGTAAAGCTTTGGAGATAACGTTACTATGCTTATTTCGTATTTTATGTTCACTATGGTTTAAGTACGCTACATTCAATAATATTAATTTATTAATTAAAAAATAACAATTGTAAACAATTTCAGACAAAAGATGATTATGTACATATATATGTTGCTGATGACATACCAGTAGACTACAATGTCTTTAAAGGTTGTCCAGTCAGCAATTGTGTAATATATAGAAATGGTAAGTATTTGGAATAACACTTTATACTTTTCATATCTAGATTCGTTGTTATCACAAGCTGATGCTGTAGTTTTAACACCAAAATCAAAAATTACTACGGTAAGACCACCACATCAGACGTGGATTATGAGTTTGATGGAAAGTCCATTGAATACGCAGGATTTGGAAGAGTTTCATGGGAAGGTAAGTCATTATACACAAATGAGTGCGTGATAAAGAGAGAGCGAGAGAGAGAGAAAGAGGAAGAGAGAGAGAGAAAAAGTAAAATGAGAATGTAAAAAGTTAAAAAATGATGATACTATTTTTCAGATCAATTACATAGCGTCATATCGGTATGACAGCGACTTCCCTACACCATATGGCTACGTGAAGAAAATTAAACAACAATTACCGACTAAACGACATATTAACAGTAAAGGTAGGTACCTATAAGTTAATGTAAAATAGAATCGTTTTAATCATGTTTAATATTATATATATCTGAAGTGGCACAACAATTTAAAAGTGTTATAAAGTATAGCAAATAATCTTACAACAAAATATTGTTTCAGAAAAATCAGGTAAAATACTGTGGTTAGTTTCAAATTGTTTTACTCCGAGCAGAAGAGATGTGATAGCTGATGCTTTAAGTCAATATATGACAGTGGATATCAAAGGTAAATGTGGGATGGGCAGAGTTGGAACGGAAGAAGGATTCAGATTAATGAGGGAAGAATACAAGTTTTATTTGGCATTTGAAAACTCACAATGTAAAGACTATGTTACTGAGAAGTTGTTCAATGCCTTACGGTAAGTATAAGTATAGTTAATATAAATACTATTAATTAGTGATAAAAATGTAAAAAATAGATTTTTTGAGGATTATATGTATGTCCAAGTATACGACAGAGCTTCCATATCAAAAAAGTTATATTAAAGCTTTAAAATACAACGTAAAATACAAAACACTATAGTAATTTACCCCCTGCCACAGTTAGAGTCTCCACAAGCCAACCACATCTTTACTAGTCCATTATCGTATGTGCCGTAGTTACTGCCACTTGAAAACATAGGGCTGTTTAGACTGTTATAGCTTTTGTAGTCATAACTGCCTCCATACCTTCGATAATTGTTGTAGTTACTGTACCTATTATAGTTGTAGTCATAGTAAGAGTTAGTGTTGTAGCCATTGTAACCGTACGGACTTACGTATGGATATGACAATGATAGTGGTATATACAGTAGGAAGATAGATATTAAAGCGTATGTTGATAGCTTTGAAAACATTTTTGGATAGAACTTGGTAAAACACAGTAGAAGAAAATTGGGTAAGTAATATGGTACTGTTTAGTATGATTACAGTATTGTATTTGAGTATTAGTACAAAAAAGTTATCGCACAAACTGTGATGACAGTTGTCAAAATCTCATTACAAAATAATGTAGCTCTCCCCCATACCACAACCTTGACTTATATACCCTGCCAATGCCTTCTTCCGCTTCGGTAGTTCTGTTTACAACGGTTACAGTAGGAGTATCTGTTAACAGTGATTCGGTTAATGAGAAGTGAAGAATCCTATAAACAATAATATGCACTAATTAACCATTATTACATCGTCGTTTTTTATAACTGGCGAATGGCAGGGTGATTTACTGCTTGTGACAATTCCAAAAAGCAACAAACCTGATGTTGAAAAAGGAAAGATTTTTGGTGAAGAATAGGATTTGAAGTAGACAAACTATAACTTTTGATATAAGATTATTAAAAAATACAGTAATTTTGAAAATAATTAAATAAAATTAAAGTTCATTTAATTGTGGCATGACAGTAAAACCTCTTCAGTGCAAACCTCTATAGTACGACACACACTTTATAATGACAACTTTTTGACCGCAATTTGTAATAGAACTTCTATCAAAAATTACCTGGATAGTCTGACACTCTGATTATAATGGCACTTTGGTCTAGTATCTTGAGTGTCATACTAAAGAGGGCTGACTGTATATTATAAAGCGGCACTGAAAATCAAAAATATACCATAAATTAAAATAATTTGCTATTTTAAGAAATGACATTTTGCCAATTGTCTATGGAGAAAAGAAGAGTTTTTATGAAAAGATTGCACCACCACATTCCTTCATACATGTTGACGACTTCGATAGTGTGAAAAAACTTGCTGAGTAAGCTGCCGAACAAATTTTTTATTTTTTAAGTTTATTTTTGATTACAGTATGAATTTTTAAAATTTTACCTTTTTGGTTTTATATTAGGTTGTCAAAATAATTCTGTGCTCCTTTTTAAAGCAAATGCTCGGAGTCTCTACAAAGCTCATTTTAGATACCTAATCTACTTGGACAAGACACCATCAGCTTATGCGGAGTATTTCAAATGGAAGAGTAACTATTACCTGTCGAATTCCCAATTTTACTGTCGATTATGTTCAAAATTACAGGAGAAAACGACTAAAGTCTACGGTAGTCTCAACGATTGGTGGAGTAAAAAAGATTGTACTCAAGTTTCTAGACCTAAAATTTAATTTTTTTATTGCTTTTATACTTTGTTAGGTTTATATTGTCTATATGCTTTAAATTTTTAGTTTTTTGCTTGTTTACTTTACTTTTTACTATGTAAAAGTCTTGCCTACGGTTCTTTTCTATTACTTACAGGGTTTAAATACCGTTTCTACTGTAGTAACATTTTTTAAAAATAGAACCATCTTAAACTCCCTTAGCTAAAACATACTTGTTTTGTTTTCAAGCTTTTAGCTTTATTTTACAACGTCCGACTCAAACATATCTTACTGTACTACCGTCCAAAGTCTTGCTTACAACAATATCCGCGTGATCTTCTTTGAAAATGATCTCTAGAATAATGTAACATAATAAATAATATTTTTAACAAAATAAAAAATCGTATTCATCATCGAGTTCTTAGTATTAAAAACGTATCTCGCGCAATTAATTGAAGATAACATTGTAACACACAATTTGTTGACACTCATTTTTGATCAGAACAGCTTCCGTGAGACTGTCCTTGGCTTGTGCTTTGTATTTTTGGCTGCTTGTTGAACATACTGATCGATTTGAAAATGTAAAATACGACTTTAAAAGAATTCATTGCAATAAATAGTCAGCATATAAAATTTAAAGTATATTATGTTGTCCAAAAAGTAATGAGCCATGTCTTAAATTTCGTAAAATATTTTTTCTTATTTCCACGAGAATCTACTGTGCGATTTTATTCTACCTCCCAATTTTAATTTAAAAATTTTTAAATCTTTGCAGTTTGTAAAATACATAAACCAGAACCTTCATTAGTATCTTAAAGTTAGTACTTGTTCTTTAAAAGATCACTAACCTTGATGAAAAGAAACAACATCGTATAATTTCACAACCCCACGAGTCCACTAACAGTCAGGAATGTGAGAAAACACTGTTGGAGGTTGAACGCATGTTGTCATGAGCTATTTTTACTTTTTAAAATGTGATTTTTAAGGAAACAAACAACTTTTGCATAGTTATGATTTTAAGGATTTTTGCCGCTAAAGGGTAACATACTGTAGCAAGTGAAAAATATTAAAAATAATTTTAAAGTTTTTATAAATTTATCAATCTTAAGTCAAAACTGAAGTATTTTAAACCGTCAAACCTACATCAGACTACCCCTACCGTTAAAAAGAATCAAATAAACATGTTCTTTGATGATAAGTTCGATCAGAAGATCAAATACGTATGTCATTAAAAAATCCAATTCTAACACCTAAATTTTGCAGTTGTTTTTGTAATTGCACTTCTATAATATTCAAAATTGTAGATTAATTTTGATATTACTGTGAAACTACTGCATAACAAATTGTTTGAAAATTTTAAATTTTTTCGTTATAAAAGATTTTTGTTATACAGGAGTTTTAAATGAACTGTGTATTATTCCTAGTCGAGGATTTAAAAGTTGTTATATAAGATCTTCGTTAATAATTAGTTATACAAGAGTTAACATGTTTCACAGAAAAACATGATTAATTACCACAGTTACTCCCGAGACTTTTAACGCCCATCAAAGTAGAGTTTTAGGTTTATTACTGATCAAAGTATGTTACGCTTGTTTTTTAATTTATTTTTAGTTGTGAGGGTTATTTATCACGTTTTTATATAAAAAATTTAGAATGTTAGATTTAAACTGGCACAATACTTGTTAACATTTTACTGTAATCTTGATTTTTTTTCTTTACTTTACTATTTTGCTATATTGTCTGTTGACTGCATTGAGTATTTTTTAAGACAGCCAAGTTTGCTTAACTTTAGTTAACTTATTCAACTCACAAAAACTTAAATTATATTTTAATATTGTTTATTGCTTAGCTAAAAAAGTTACAACAAATAACCCGTACCAACAGTTGCGAGAATTATAAGATACAGTATGACAATTATGATATGTACAAGATAATTATAGTAAAATAATATGTACAAGACAATCATAAAATATAAAACTGCAAAAAGTTATGTACAATATATACACATGAATATACACAGAAGTACTAGTTGAATTCTATTCCTGAAGCCACCCTCGTCTTTACTTTCCATTCCTGCCACAGTTCGAGCTGGAGCACAGCAGCCATGCACCAGCAACACCATCAGGATTGCCGACCATTCCAACTTCAGCTCCTTTGAATAGTCCGCCCAATCCACTGTATCCATTGCCTGATCCGTAGCTACCGTAACCTCCACTGCTGTAACTTCCACCACCGTAATCGTACTGAGCATAAGGATAGGCACTGTTGTATGGGTATGGGTAGGCTGATGCAACGATGAGGCAAGCGACAAGAACAGCGACAATAAAGAGCTTCATTTTATCGACCGGTTGATTTGAGTGCAGAAGTAATTAACTGGGTGTAATAATACTAGTAGAACAGTATTCGACTTGATATGGGTACAGTAGACTCTACTTGGCTCTAGTCCACTATTATTCGATGTAAGTACAGTTGAGTACAGCAGTACCGTTGGGTATGCTAACTACTTGTTACAATGTTGTCAAAACCAATGTTTGTCTTGCTTTGACAAGTAGCTACATTTATAAATACCCAATGTTTTTGTTGTTTTGTCCAGATTTCGCAAACTTTAAAAGATTTTGGGCGGAGTTTTGGCTTTAACGGTCAGTGCGAATTGTAAAAAAGAAAGAAAACAAGTTGTCTTTGGCTCATCAAACGACTAGAACGTAAACTACAGTAAACGTTTTCTCACGCCCTTGAGAAAAATGTTTTGAAATTTGAATATTTTACAAAAAAAATTATAAAAAATTTTAAAAAATTAATAAATGAACAAAATAAATAATATTAACTGCAATAAAAACAGCGTTGGAGGTGTAAGTAAAAAACAGGCCGGACCCATTTTTAAAGCTAGGCCCGAGCCCGGGCACAAGGTTTAAGTCCGACCCGTCTGCATTCCTTTTCAAGTCAGCCCGATCAAAAAAGTTATAGGCCCAGATTGGATCGGTATAACACCCTCTTTATAATGACAGCTCTCTCGTAATATAACTCTTATCAAAAAGTACCTGGATACTGTGATACTCTTGTTACAATGACACTTTAGTCCAGTTCCTTGAGTTCCATAAGTAAAGAAGTTTACTGTACCTTATTTTAAAACTATTTTTGTTTTTAAAGCTATTTTAATCTTTTTTAATTAAAAATCAAACACACTTTTTAATAATTTATGACTAAAGTGACTTTTCTGTTCTTAGAATACCATTATAACAACATCTGTTCCGTGTTTTACACATTCTCTACTACAAAACTGTAAACAAGGCTATTATACCATTTGATAGAAAGGACTTAACTGTTACCTACATCAAATGACAAATATATAACTGTCGAAGCGGTTTAATAACAAATGTCTAACTGTTAAATACCCTTTTCCACTAATTAGTGTCATTCATAATAACAATTTTAATTGGTGTCATCTATTCCACATTACTTCCCAATTCTCACTTTGTCAAGACAGAACTGTACTGGATCAAACAAATTGCGAATTCGATTAATCATTGCTGGGAAAGTCACAAAGTTTTGGGAAAGAAGGCGACGATTTCACGTGAATTGTTACAACCACAACTCCAAATAACTTTTACAGATTTTGGTTTCGCAATTAAAGTTTTAGTTATTTACGATCAATTGTACATGCTTTTATGGCTTAATCACAGCAAATGTGACGCTATTGAACTTATTTGTAACGTCGTAAAGTTGTGGGAGTTGTGAAGTCTCAATAACACTTTACAACGTGGAAGTTTGGTTATAGGTAGAGGAATTTGTTGCAACTCAAAGTACACAAAGTTTCAAATCAAACAGTCTGTCTTAATTTGACACTAATTTGATGACAATGTACTTGAATTGAGAATTAAGGAAGTAGTTGTTGGAAATGTTACCAAAATTTGAAATTTCTAAAAACAGTAAATACAGTAACTTCTAAAACTTCGGTTTTTTAATTTTAAATTCTGAAAATTAAAAAAAATATAGTCATTAAACGCTTTTTACTACAAAGTAAGTCTTTATGGCTATCTTTTTACATATTTTTCAAAGTATCAATTTGCAAAAATTTATATTCAAGTTACAGTACGCCACACAATTTCAAAGAACAGCAATTGTTATATGTTTTGTAATCTGCTTCAAAAGAAAACATGTTTGTTGACATTATCTTTTAAAAGTTGTTAACTTTTAATTGCACTGTTATTTACTGAGTTTATTGGCTGTGGTTATGTCGCAGCTTGTGCTAGAACTTTTTGTAAAACAAACTTTGTTAGTCAAACTTTTATTCTTGATCAAGAATCTTCCACCCACATCTATTAGGTTAACCAATTAATTCTATGCTCATTCTCAAAGCAAATATAGGCTAAGGGACACAGAATTATCTTAACAAAATAATAGGACGTTAGGAAAAATGCGGTTTTTGGACATTTGCGGACCTGCGGTTTTTAGACACTTGCGGATCTTCGGTTTTTGGACAATTGCGGATTTTGGACATTTGCGGATTTTTTAAAGGGGTTTTTTTATTTTTTATTTAATTTAGTTGTATTATGGTACTAAATTGTACTAAAGTTTGAATTGGTAGGGTTTTAACATAACAGTACCTTTTTGGGGTTTTAGTACTATTTAGTATCAAAAATATAAAAACAGTACCGATTAAAAATTTAGTACTATTTAACATTAAGAAAGATTAAGACAGTGCCAATTTAAACTTTAGTACCATTTAGTACCATACTACAACTAAATTAAATAAAAAATAAAAAAAAACCCCTTTAAAAAATCCGCAAGTGTCCAAAAACCGAAGATCCGCAAGTGTCTAAAAACCGCAGATCCGCAAATGTCCAAAAACCGCATTTGTCCTAGCGCCAATAATAGATGTGGGTGGAAGAAAATACTTTTACCTGCAAATTGAACAACATAAATGCCATTTTTGATGCTATTACTAATCCTTGATGCAGTAAAATACATAAACTTTGCTTACAAGACACTAAAAACTAGTTTACTATGGCACTTTTAATGATACCATGTTCATGTACCGTGTTGTTTTACTTTTTCTCATTAAAGATCAAAACTTTTCGTCTCCTTAGCGTCATTTTCAGAAGCACAACTCGTAAAAGAGTAATCAAATCTCAGGAAAAGTTATTTTAGTTCGACTGTGATCTCTCAACTCTGGTTGCTTTACTGCTTTACACCGCGCACCCAAGATTCATGAACTTTAAAAACAAGAATATTTCAAGAAACAGTACAATACATATATGATATAGCAAATAAATAAATAAGAGCGCCAGTATTTTCAAGTTTGTGTCACGACAAATTGTTGTTACACAAAAATTGTTTTTAATTACTTTTAAAATTTATTATAGCGAACAATGTAAGCTTTTTATCAGGTATCAAATGTCTAACATAAGGTAGTAGTTTAAAAAGTTTTCACGGTTTAATGGGCTTATTTGGGTAACAAAAAATCTTTTTTTTGGTTGTAAAACATATATCTTTAACCTTTGTTGTGACGAAACCAATAAGCTACAAGGTTTCGTAATTTACTAACTATTATAAGAAACATCTTTTTCTGTAATATATACGAGGAAGTAAAAGAAACAGTCCTCACATTTGTCGCCAATTCAACAAATTATTCTAATTATTGACTAAAATAACAATAAATACCTTTAAAAAATAACTTACAGATGGAGTTGTTGATGCATCCATAAAACTGACCAAAACGCCTTCAAACGGCATAAATTTCGTCAAGAAAAAGCAAAGCCAGAGGAAAAAAGAAAGAATTCTAGAAAAAACGTCATTATGACGGCGTTATTTGTACAAAGAAAACGTATTATGTTTTCCAGAAAACTGTGTATGTTTATTTTGCCTAAATTATGATAGAAGGATTCTAATTTTAATTTTCAATTCTTCAAAGCTTTTTAAACTTTTTTCTAACAAGAAAATCTGTACCTAACATAATATTGAAATTACACTTGATTTTTGTTCAGCAACATTTAATTTAAAATAACCTTCTATTACTGTATTTTATCGTGAAGCTTCATGAATGTATTCTTCTGTTGTTGGAGTAGCATTTGTGTTTGTTTTGATATTGTTTTTGATATTGTAGTAGAGGAAGTTGCTCTGGTTTAGAAGATGGAATTTGCTGTTAAGATAACCTCGAGCAAAAAGTACGTTACGTAAGTTTTTATTTATTCTTTAATTTTTTAGAAAATGAAAGGTCAGTGGATATTATTCACAAAAAGTCGGAATATGTTGTCCATCACCCAATTCAAGGCAGTTTTTCCAAATTAAAAAGGCTTATAACTTTTAAAAGCAGTAATGTTCACATGCCCAAAGTACAAAAGTATAAGTTCTCATTCACTTGTTTACGTAACGCCTTCGTCAATGTTTCTACTTTGATATGATTAATGATAATGTAAGTTTTTGTCGATCGTATTTGGCTGAAACCGCCTTAATTCACAGCATCGTATCATAGAATGTGGATGATATAAAAGGTTGTTACAGCTTTGTTAAACTACATTCTTCTTTTTCTTCAGCTGATTCTCACGACGTTACAGTTTAAAAAAGTGGCTTTAATTGTAGCTGCTTTACTTTGTTACAGTCCTTAAATTTACTGTGGTAAAGGTCTTTATACTACCAGAAGAGCTAATATAGCACTAGCTGTCCTAATAATTTATTACTAAAAATACAAACTTTAAAAAACTATTTCGTATTTTACCTAAAATGAAATTCTTTGTCTTATTCTTTATTTTACTGGCCCTTCTTACTGTAACAAGCTCTCTACCGTATCCTTATGTTAACCCATACCCATACTCGCAGTATGATAATAACTATGGTAACTATGTTGGGTATAGTAGCAATAGTTATGGCAGAGGAAACTATAATGGAATGGTCGGAGATCCAGATGGATCGTTTGGCTTCTGGCTACGATGTGGAGATTCGAATTGTGGTAGGAATGGAAAGTAATTTGGAAAATGAATTTTAATGCAAATTTATACATTCTATAGTGTTTAAGCCATGTTTATTTGCTTATGTATATATTTTTTGTGATCTCAAGCTTTTCATATAAAATTTTAATTTTAAAATTTGGGTATTTATTAGTAATGATATATATTTCGTTACCTAAAAAGTTATATGGATATTGTGCTTAGCAACTAGAAGTCAATATTACTATTGAAAAATCTTCAAGTATCAAAGAGTAATGTCAGTGCATTTCAATTTATGCTGAAAGCCTACAGAATCTTCTTTTTTTGTTTTTGGTTGATTTAGTTCGACTTCCGTTTTTTTGCAAAGTTTGGACGTCAGGAATGTTGCACATGTCATCTTTTGATGAAGCTTGGTCAACATGCAATCTAGTCATGTCAACACTTACATTACTGTATTGAAGTTTTGTTTCAAAACTATCACTGGGCAAAGTTTTGTTTCGACAGCTTTAAAACTTTAACTTTAGGTAGTATTTTTAAAAATCATTAAAAGTTAAAATTTAAAAAAATTGTAAGCACTTACAAAATTTGTTCATATTTATAAGAACAAATAAAAGTGCATTCTAAAATTACCATAAAAAGTGAAAAGTCATGTTTACAACTCAGAACCAGCTAATTTATTTTTTCCGAAGTTTGTGAAATTGGCCCAGTTATCCGTCGCAGAAATCGAATCAAGTCTCGGTTTTTGTCGTTCCTTTTGTTTGTCCAAACTAAACGCAACAGATTCGAAATTATTGCGCGAAAACAGATGCGTTTATTAATACGCATCATCTCATTAATCGACTGGTCGGCCGGAATGAACGGAAATAACGTATTAATATGTTGTTGTAGCCATGTAGTAGTTAGTGATATATTTCGAATTATTTGACAAAAAATACAGTATTTATTGACATTAAATTATTGTTTTTTTTCTACCGAGCTAGCTCGGCTGTTCGTATTTTACATTAAACAAACTGACGAAGCCTAAACTTTGATTGCCAAACTCATCGAAACTCCAACTCTTGTCACCACTCAAATTTGCATATCTTCCGAAGTTAATATGAAAATTTGTGCAGGCTTTTTCTCATTACGAAAGCCTTCAGAATCCACTTGTTCCCTATCTCTCCGAGAGCGATCTTGACTCCGCCCCCTGAGGGGCCTTAGCCGGTTTCCGGCCAACCGCGTCCGATAACTTGGCCAAAGTTTTTTTTGACGTTTTCCATCACAAATTATCCATTTAAGGATCTAATAAAGCCGCAGGGAAGGGAGAGATGATATGTCAATTGTTTTTAAAAATATTATAATGGCGTTGACTACTGTAAGAAGATAGAGAAGGAAAGGGGGGGGGGATATTTAGATACATAGACAATACTGTACTTATGAATATATACTGTTAAAGTTGCTAATAGTACAATATAGTGTCAAAAACCATAAGACAGTACTTTAGTTTGTTTTTTTTCAAAAACGACTTTCTTATTGACCTTTCCGACAAAAGGTGAATAAAAAACATTAGAGAAAGCCATATGCCACCTTTATTGTCATATTCAATTTATTGTTTTGGTGAATTGGGAAAGGTAGTTGTCAAGATGAAATATGAGTTTCTTTTGGTATAAATTGTCGTTTTTAAAATGAGAAAAGTATATAAATTTTGTTTTTTTTTAATTTAAATTGAATACGACTTTATTTCTGGCGTATTTTATATATATTTTAAATTGCAACGATAAGAATTGTACAGAAACAGTATTAAACTGAAAAAAGTAACAGTCTTTTTAATTTTACATAAGTATGAGACTTGCTCTTACATATAGATACATAGTTCACGTTGTTCTGAAGCATGAGAACATTCTTTTTCTTTTATTAGCTGTTATTGTCAAATTAAGCGCTTAATAAAAGAACTCTTTGTCGCTTACAAAGACTAATAATTTGTGTTTACTTTTGGTTTTTACAGTCTTAACCATGTCCTAGAAAACTGTTTGTTCGTTTATTAAGGTTGCTCAAGAATTTTGGTTAAAAATGCTTGCAAAATTACTTTTTTTTACTTAAAAATATAGATTTGCTTTTAGAGTAGTAGTACTGTGATCCATTATGTTACATTACTACTGCAAAAACAAATTTTGTAGGTTTGCAATATTAATGTCGTTCTGTATTTTTATATATTGTAATTTTTAAACTATTAGGTTGTTCAAATAGTTGTGTACCTCCTAATCTCGAAAATTTGCTTTGTGTGGGGACACAGAATTATTTGAACAACATAATAATTTTTTTTCGAAAACATTTTAGCGTAAATTCTCTAATAAGTTGCAAAATATAGTCTGATATTCGTATGTTAGAGTAGTGGGAGAAATCCAAGTTGAAATTAAAAGCCCTGAGGCCAAAAGACGAACGATTAAAGTTTATAAGGGCAGTTTATTTATTATGAGGATTAAGCAAAAAGTCGAGCGCCAGCAACAGAATCGACCGTTAATAAGGCTGCGGCTATTGTAAATATATAGTTATTGGGTAGTATGACCAAAGTTGTAAATAAGGACTTATATGTACGTTGTAGTGTAGCATTTGTTTATACAAACTGTAATTTTTTAAAAATTTTTATTTTTTATAAGGCAAGGCTTAACTAGAGGTTGAGCTTTAGGGAGGGAGAGGGGATAGGAAAGGGTATAATATTAATATTAAGAGAAGTAACCTTTAAAGGTTTTGTATGATAAAATAGATGCATATTACTATCCCTGATCTCTCCTTTTTTTCTTATTATACCTTCACCCCCTTCCTATTCCTATCTACTACTCTTTTTACTAAATTTCTAACTCCTGACATATCTCAGAAATTGAATTCATAATACCTCTTTAAACTAACAATATACCAAAAAATCACTATGCCATTGTCTACCCCGAATGTACATAAACGATTGTCATCGGTATTAATTACAGACCCTTTATTTGCGCCATAAACTTTTACGGCCTTGACCACACTTTTCGACAAATAAACTCTTGTCTATAACAACTGCTCACAACACTCCAATCCCATTTGCGTATTTTAAAACGCTACTGAATTATTTTATGGGTTTTGTCAGGTCGTACTCAATTTATGACATTTTTAAAACTTGGGTTTGAGGTGGGCAAAAAGTTGTGGTCAGTTAAAAGTGGTCAAAAGTTGTGATTACTGCAGGGTTTTTGAGGGTGGGTTTTTGGGTTTTAACTTTAAAAATAATCGAAATGCCTTTTTTACAGAAAACTGTCTTTTGTAGAGTACATTTTGTACAATAACGATGTAAAATACTTTTTTTGTCATAATTTTTTTCATAACCAGTACTAGGCTAATGATTGAAGTAGGTAGAAAGAGAACAAACACTTTCATGGATTTCATAAACTTGGTAAAAAAAGCTATTTTTTACCAACAAAGGTATAAAAATACTCCTTAAAATTAAAACAAAACCTAAAATTATACTTTTGATACTTTAAGTATCATGCTGTTAATAAAAAGTAATTTCGAATACTCGGCTTTATTTTGCAGTTTCTTTTTATTTTCGAATTCAATTTGGTCGTCGTTTTTTTGTTTCAAAATTGGTTTATTTTTCGAAAATCGTTCTTTCAGCGATTATATATCTCCGAAGAACATCTGCAAAACGGTTATAACATTATGATATTCAACAGTTTTTGCTTGCAAAACAGCTGATTCTTTTTACTTGAAAATTATTACAGAAAACTGTAATACAATTTGTACAACTACAAAATTTTCGGCATTTTTTAGCGCTCTTTGTCACTCGAGTTTTAAAGAACATAGTGCAAATACATAACGTCGTATCCTACAGTAAAAGTCTACAGTAAAATCTACTTTTCACAACATTTACCACATGATGTTTACTAGGCTTGGCATCTTGTTGTTGGCCATATACTCCTACACATGTAAGTGCTTTTACTTTTCTCTTTAATTTTGTATTTCGTACTACGTTATACTACCTGAAAAGATTTAGTAATAAGCTTTTAGCTGTTGTCAAAACATTTTTATGAAAAGCAAAGTAAAGCTCACAAATCATTACTTTTTATTTTAATACTATTCAGGTTTGTCGTTTGACCGAGGCTACATTAACTAAAAATAAACTTTTGCAATTTCCGCTAAGTTCAAAGACATTTTAAAGCCATTTAAAGACAAAAAACGGCTAAAAGTGTCTATTGTTCTTAGTTTGGTAATTAATTGCCGAGACTTTTTAAACTAATTAAATAACCAAGTGACCTTAAATGGTACTATGATGTATAAAAATTTTTATGCACTATAATTTATCAAAATTTGAGTTTTTTTAGGTAGAATATTGTAACATAACATAGAAGTTTTGATTTTCAAAATTTTTTACAGCTTTAACAACTTTGAGCTTTGCGATTTCAACCTAAAAACTCATAACTCAAACTCAAATTTAAATTTTCGAAATTTAAAGCACTTGAATTTCCATTTTTGGCGGTTTTTCTGACATTTCGAAGAGCGTTTTAAGGGTGTCCTCAATCCCTTTTTCATATGTTTCGCAGTTCGTTACCGCCAAATGCAAATTGAGTAAAAGTTCGCTTCACGGAAATTGCATTTTTCAAGACAGAAAAAAAACAAGAAAATTCATAAGTTCGAAATTTTAAACAAGGTTTTGAACTGAAAAACAAAAGTTAAAAAATTTTTAAAAAATTTGATTTTAAAGTTTAAATTTTAATTATTTAAACAACTGGTTTAGTGGAATTAATTTACAGTGAGAATCCTATATACCAAAACTGCTTTATAACGAACAAATTGAAAATCTTCAAGTGAGTCGTTATAGGGGAGTTCTACAGGTTTATAAAATTTCAAAATAAAAAAAATTATTGTACTTTTTCCTTATCATAATTAAAAAGTAACTTTATAAAACTTTTTGCAGGTTCAGCTGGTCGAACGTTGACAAAAGATGAATGTCTTAAGTTTGAACGATCAAACTTTATACAACGAGCCGCTAAAGTAAACCAATTTTATTATATTCACCATTATATATACATAATATAAAAGTTAAGTATACCTTTTTTAGTAAAATACAAAAAATAGAACAAATAACTAACTATATTATTAAAATTAATTTTTTTTCATTTTTAGGTTGTACGAGTGTACGAAAGTGATCCAGCCTACCTTCATTGCACAGTACCTCATTCGAATAACAATCTGGTAAGGTTTTTCTTTGTTATATAAGAAAATTATAGTTAGTTAAAATATTTTTCGTATTTCACAAAAACTACACTTTATACTTTTAAAAACTGTAGTATTTTTAAGTTTCTACATGAAAAGTTAATTATCATCTTGTTCATCTAATTCTATGTCCCCTCTAAAAGCATTTTTTTGGCAGTGGAGAGCACATAATTATTTAAACAAACTAATATTACTCGAAAAAAACCACTACTGCTGCAGCTTATTTTGAAGTGTTTTGAAAGTAATTAGCTATTACAAACTGCTTAAAAACGTAAAAAAAACTTTTAGCGACTAGAATTTTCAATTAGCTTATGTTTAGTAGAGTACGTGAAGTTGATGCCTCAGCTTTTTTTCAATAAAAAATTTTAAATACTTCATTTTTAAAACTGATTGTAATATTCAATCAAAAGTTTAACACTTTTGTGTCAATTATCAAAATGCTTTGTATTATACTATGTTTATGACATATTTCTACATCTAACATTACAGGTAGCATGGACAAGGCTAACTGATGATGCCTTGCTGACAGCCGGTGGACAAAGCTTTACATCTGATACTAGGTTTCAGATCTCCCCAAAACGAGAAGCCAGGGATTGGGTGCTCAATATAAGGTAATTTTACTGTATCACTTGGTATGATGATTTATTTAGGGAATTATTTTAAACTTAATGTTTATTTGACTAGGAAGAGGCACAAAATGGGAATTGACAGTAAAAAAGATAAATTGTCATATCTATTGACCCGCTTGACGAAAAAATCAAACTTTGTAAATATACGTTTTTGAAGTTAGCCCAACAAGACTTACGTTCACTTTCATTATTCAAACTTTTAAATTTGCATACTGTGGACAGGGACACCATAAGTTTTTGCTTAGAGGTTATTAGCGCATAATTTTACTACAACATATCTTAAAGTTTTAAAGTTTTGATTAAAGCTATACATACCACTAGCCTAAAGCCAATTTTCATTTTGTGCCAATCCCCAGTAAAGTATAACATTTTCAGACGGGTAATGTTGTCTGACAGTGGCTGCTACATGTGTGAAATCAACACTGAACCTCAATCAACGCAATACACCGTATACCTTGAAGTACATCAAAAGAAGCAAAACCCAACAAGCAAACCTGATCCGGCTGCCAGTGTTAACAGTGGGTTTAAATTAAATAACCTAAAAAATTTTAAATGGCTATCAACAAAACGTCAAAAATTTTTCAAACAATACTTGTAAAAAATTTTAGAGCCAAAAACAATGTTAACAGCCAGAATGGAAGGTACTACAATTATCCTGAATTGTACTGTAGAAGCCGATAAACATTCAACCATTGATGTTATGTGGACAAAAGACAAGAAGCCTATCAACCTGTTTGATGAAAAAAGTAAAATTTTTACAATTTTTTATTTAAAAATAATTATAAAATAATTTTTTAAATTAAAATAAATAAAATAACTTTGTAAAGGCAAACTTTGTAGTTTACAATGACTTTTAAATTTAAAAATAGTTAAAACATTGTTGAGATTGTACTTTAAAAACAAAGTTAAGTAAAAGGACTCTGTTTTACATTTTAAAACGTTTTCATACCTAAAACTTACCATTTTCAGAATACGACACATCGTACAAGACAGTAAGCCGTAACCTGATCGTATATGTGCTCAAAGTTAATCAAGCGACTCATTTAGATGATGGACAATATGCTTGTGAAGGAGAAGAGTTTCCTCAACAGTCGCAGACTGTCCATATTAATGCCGGTAAGTTTTTACTGTTAAAAAACTTAAATATATAGTATTTAAAATTTTATACTGAGTCCCACTTTTGATGTAAATTGAGTAACCTACACGCGTAAAAGGCTCAAAAATTGTTTTAATGTTACTGACTTTTCAAGTAAAATTGTCTTATATTAGGTTGTTCACATAATGATGTGTTCCAAACCCCGAAAATTTGCTATGAAAGCATGCTCATAATTATTTGAACAACCTTATAATATAAAACAATAATCAAATGTGTTTTTAGCATTAGTATCCCCTCCAAACAGCTCAAGGCTCCCGACGCTCAATTTATTTGTTTTACTACCAATTATGGTATCTTTTAGGCATGCCATAATATTGTTATAGCATAAATCTAACTTGATAATGAATACAGTAATAAAATCTAAGCTATTTCAATAGTGTAATTATAAGGCATTTGAAGCCCATTTCGATCAAAGGTTGCATTTTTCTACAAAATTTTTAAAATCTGTGCAATTTATTACCAATTTTCAATCAAAATAAATAGCAGAACAATATATTTTAATGTAATTTTTTACTCAAGTTTCATATTTTAACTTTCTATTATATTTTATAGATTCTTGAACCTGTATTAATCGTCAATATAGCATTTTGAGTTACAATTTTACAAAATAAATGTTTTTGAACCGCAATTTACCGAAAATTCTTCTTTTTTTCCCCGTTTTTTTGTCTCTCTTCTCTCTCGTTTTCAGACAAACCTACTCAAAAAACGACCAAACTTTTAATTTGGTCAAATTTTGACGACTAAGAATTTTTACCAAATATTTTTTATCAGCTAACTTTTTTAGTTAGAAAAAGTTAGCTATTCAAAAAAGCCGCATGTGCATGTAGCGGCGGCCGCCTTCCGGACGAAGGCTCTGGCAAAGAGGACGCGAGCCCTTCCTTTGAGCGACTGTTGTAGCCGCATCAAAGCGCCGTCTCAACTCTTCTGGAGCCCAAGGGCATCCGTCCGAGTGTTGCGGACTTGAGGGCTGGGTTGGCTGGCTCGACTGTTCAACTCTTGCGAGTTGAAACAGCCGAGCCACCTCAGCCTGCTCGGCCTGAAGTTCAAAAAGCCTTGTAATGAAGGCTTCCTGGACTTCAGTCCAAGTGGCTTCGGCTGCTAGCCCTAGCCTCAACTTTAGCTCATTCATGATGGCTGAAGCAAAAATTGTGTTTTCAGCTTTTTCTTATTTATTTCCTCGGTAAAAGAATGGGTTGCGCGAAAGGCGAGAGAGTAATTTCTCTTTTTCTCTGGCTTTGAAATTCGAAAAAATGTTTTGGCGCGAAATTCCTGCGGCCTCAGACTTTGTCGAACTTATTTTCCTTGAAAAGAAAAGTTTGGTTGCAAAAAATAAGAAAAAAGCTAGTAAAGTCGCGTGAATTTGACGCAATCAAACGTTTCTTTGTTTTTTGAGTGGGTTTGACGGAGGGCGAGAGAGAAGAGAAACAAAAGAACAAGAGAAAAACAAAAACCTTGCTTTTGTCGGAAAATTAATTGCAAGGAACTATTTATATTACTGTAATTCGACGAGTAATGGAGTTGGAATAACAGTCAATACAGATTCTAAAAGCTCATCAAAAATGACATCTTCTGTTAGTTTTTGAAATATTGTAACATAAGGTGCAAGAATTTAAAATTATTTTTTACAATTTTAAATTATTTATATTTAAATTATTTAGCTTTGCCATTTCAAATTAAAGACTCATAAGTCTAAGCCAAAGTTAAATTTTCAAAATTTGGAGCACTTGAATTTTCGTTTTTAGCGGTTTTTCAGACATAACGAAGCACGTCAAGAAAAAATAATAGAAAACCGCACGCATAGAGAAAAATTTTTGGCATTCTGCAACAAGAAGAGAATAAACCTGTTCGACTTTGACAATTTTTTACTGATAGTTATTGGACATTTAATATAGAAACTTTTTATAAGAAACCTTATTTAACACCCAAAGTTTTATTTACAACAGCCATTATAGCCAATTTGGCTTTATCCGTTGTTTATAATCGATCTGAATATATGGTTTTTTAAAACCGTAAAATCATGTATAACTTTACAACGAGCACGCAATGGGCTAGAGATCTCTCCACATGTAGACGTAAAATAAAATAACGATTAATTGATACCAAAAACATCAAAATCTAAGGAGTAGTTTTTGAGTTATAAATAAAACAAGACATTATATTATCCGTGACCAAATAATTTTGGCGCCAATTCCGTTCACGGTGAAGAAAATTAATTATCAATCAAATTTTTGTTTGAATAAGCTTGATTTCGTTGTCTTTTTACTGTTATTACTACTTTGTTTATGTCTGATCCATTAAATATTTTCTCCAAATATTATTTTTCTTCTTATTTCACAATGCCAAAATTCCGTTCAACACCCAGCGAAAGGTTAGGTTTTTCTTGACGTGCGAAGAGCGTTTTAATGGTGTCTTCAATCCCGTTCTTATTTGTTTTTTATTATAGTTCGTTGCCGCCAAATGCAAATTTAGTAAAAGTCGCTTCACGGAAATAGCATTTTTCGACAGAAAAAACAAGAAAATTCACAAGTTCGAAATTTTAAACAAAGTTTCAAACACAAAAAAAAAATTTAAAAAAAATTTAAAATGCAATTTTTAAGCCTAAATTTTAATTTTTAAACACGGTTATGTATCATACTATTCATTTAAAGTGGAACTTATGTATAAAAAAAAGCTTTTAAGCTCCGGGTAGCACTCAAGGCATTTAAAACCCCTGTATACAGAAACTCATTTATAACGAATAAACTGAAAATCGTCAAACAATTCGTTATAATGAATTTCTACTGTATTTGTGTTGCGAAACTATTAAAACTTTTTGATAGTCAACTTTAATACATTCACCATTTTGCATATAATCTTAATTACATAGCTTATGATAAAGAAGGACAAACGAACGACCATACCTATAAAATTTTGAACAACTTAATATATTTACCATATTACTCGAAACAAAAAACCGCTACTCGTGCAGCTTATTAAGAAGCGTTTTGAAAGTAATTAGCTATTACAAACTGCTTAAAGCGTAAAAAAACTTTTGGCGGCTAGAATATTCAATTAGCTAATGTTTAGTAAAGTACGTGAAGTCCACATACTATACTAAACAACTCAGCCTTTTTTTAATAAAATTAGTTTACAGTTGCGGTAATATTTAAAAGTTAATCAGTACATAAAAATTTACCACTTTTGTGCCAATAAATTCAGGCCAAATTCAACGAATTTTTGGAGAAGTACGCGGTCGCGCCTTATGATAGTATGTTCGACCGGGTTTGCCTGATAATCGACCGGATGGCGCTTCCAATGGTTGGGATTCTGTTCGGCTACATTATGTATCGTATTGAGATAGCGTAACCGGTGCACAACTTTTAAAAAATTTTCAAAAATTAACTTTTTAACTACATTATACTTGACTAATACTGAATAACTAAAACATTTGTATTTTCGAGGAAAAATGACATCTTATGTTGGTTTTGCCACAATAACTTATAAAGACTTTTTTTGTGGTACTCGATCGTATGTTCATCATGTATAATATAGCAACTTAATAATTACATTACTGTAACTCGACGAGGAATACGGTTACAATAGAGATCGATACAGTTTTTGAAAGCCCATGAAAAATGACATCTTATGTTAGTTCTGCCACAATAACTTATAAAGACTTTTTTTGTGGTACTCGATCGTATGTTCATCATGTATAATATAGCAATTAATATTTAAATTACTGTAACTCGACGAGGAATACGGTTATAATAGCGATCGATACAGTTTCTGAAAGCCCATCAAAAATGACATCTTGTGTTGGTTTTGCGACTATATCTTATAACGAGTTTTGTTGTGGTACTCGATCGTATATTCATCCTGTATAATATAGCAATTAATATTTAAATTACTGTAACTCGACGAGGAATACGGTTACAATAGCGATCAATACAGTTTCTGAAAGCTTATGAAAAATGACATCTTACGTTGGTTTTGCCACAATAACTAATAAAGACTTTTTTTGTGGTACTCGATCGTATGTTCATCATGTATAATATAGCAAGGTAATAATTACATTACTGTAACTCGACGAGTTTTCGAGAAATGACATCTTATGTTGGTTTTGCTACAATAACTTATAAAGACTTTTTTTGTGGTACTCGATCGTATATTCATCATGTATAATATAGCAAGGTAATATTTAAATTACTGTAACTCGACGAGGAATAAGGTTACAATAGCGATCAATACAGTTTCTGAAAGCCCATGAAAAATGACATCTTATGTTGGTTTTCCTACAATAACTTATAAAGACTTTTTTTGTGGTACTCGATCGTATATTCATCATGTATAATATAGCAAGGTATTATTTAAATTACTGTAACTCGACGAGGAATACGGTTACAATAGCGGTCGATACAGTTTCTGAAAGCCCATGAAAAATGACATTTTACCTCGGTTTTGCCACAATAACTTATAAAGACTTTTTTTTGTGGTACTCGATCGTATATTCATCATGTATAATATAGCAATTAATATTTAAATTACTGTAACTCGACGAATAATAAAGCTACAATAGCAATCGATACAGTTTCTAAAAGCCCATCAAAAATGACATCTTGTGTTGGTTTTGCGACTATATCTTATAACGAGTTTTGTTGTGGTACTCGATCGTATATTCATCATGTATAATATAGCAATTAATATTTAAATTACTGTAACTCGACGAGGAATAAGGTTACAATAGCGATCAATACAGTTTCTGAAAGCCCATGAAAAATGACATCTTATGTTGGTTTTCCTACAATAACTTATAAAGACTTTTTTTGTGGTACTCGATCGTATATTCATCATGTATAATATAGCAAGGTATTATTTAAATTACTGTAACTCGACGAGGAATACGGTTACAATAGCGGTCGATACAGTTTCTGAAAGCCCATGAAAAATGACATTTTACCTCGGTTTTGCCACAATAACTTATAAAGACTTTTTTTGTGGTACTCGATCGTATATTCATCATGTATAATATAGCAATTAATATTTAAATTACTGTAACTCGACGAATAATAAAGCTACAATAGCAATCGATACAGTTTCTAAAAGCCCATCAAAAATGACATCTTGTGTTGGTTTTGCGACTATATCTTATAACGAGTTTTGTTGTGGTACTCGATCGTATATTCATCATGTATAATATAGCAATTAATATTTAAATTACTGTAACTCGACGAGGAATACGGTTACAATAGCGATCGATACAGTTTCTGAAAGCCCATCAAAAATGACATCTTGTGTTGGTTTTGCGACTATATCTTATAACGAGTTCTGTTGTGGTACTCGATCGTATATTCATCCTGTATAATATAGCAATTAATATTTAAATTACTGTAACTCGACGAGGAATACGGTTACAATAGCGATCGATACAGTTTCTGAAAGCCCATCAAAAATGACATCTTGTGTTGGTTTTGCGACTATATCTTATAACGAGTTTTGTTGTGGTACTCGATCGTATATTCATCATGTATAATATAGCAAGGTATTATTTAAATTACTGTAACTCGACGAGGAATACGGTTACAATAGCGGTCGATACAGTTTCTGAAAGCCCATGAAAAATGACATTTTGTGTTGGTTTTGCGACTATATCTTATAACGAGTTTTGTTGTGGTATTCGGTCGTATATTCATCATGTATGATATAGCAAGGTAATATTTAAAATACTGCAACTCGACGAATAATAGAGCTACAATAGCAATCGATACAGTTTCTGAAAGCCCATGAAAAATGACATTTTACCTCGGTTTTGCCACAATAACTTATAAAGACTTTTTTTTGTGGTACTCGATCGTATATTCATCATGTATAATATAGCAAGGTATTATTTAAATTACTGTAACTCGACGAGGAATACGGTTACAATAGCGGTCGATACAGTTTCTGAAAGCCCATGAAAAATGACATTTTACCTCGGTTTTGCCACAATAACTTATAAAGACTTTTTTTGTGGTACTCGATCGTATATTCATCATGTATAATATAGCAATTAATATTTAAATTACTGTAACTCGACGAATAATAAAGCTACAATAGCAATCGATACAGTTTCTAAAAGCCCATCAAAAATGACATCTTGTGTTGGTTTTGCGACTATATCTTATAACGAGTTTTGTTGTGGTACTCGATCGTATATTCATCCTGTATAATATAGCAATTAATATTTAAATTACTGTAACTCGACGAGGAATACGGTTACAATAGCGATCGATACAGTTTCTGAAAGCCCATCAAAAATGACATCTTGTGTTGGTTTTGCGACTATATCTTATAACGAGTTTTGTTGTGGTACTCGATCGTATATTCATCATGTATAATATAGCAAGGTATTATTTAAATTACTGTAACTCGACGAGGAATACGGTTACAATAGCGGTCGATACAGTTTCTGAAAGCCCATGAAAAATGACATTTTGTGTTGGTTTTGCGACTATATCTTATAACGAGTTTTGTTGTGGTATTCGGTCGTATATTCATCATGTATGATATAGCAAGGTAATATTTAAAATACTGCAACTCGACGAATAATAGAGCTACAATAGCAATCGATACAGTTTCTGAAAGCCCATGAAAAATGACATTTTACCTCGGTTTTGCCACAATAACTTATAAAGACTTTTTTTGTGGTACTCGATCGTATATTCATCATGTATAATATAGCAAGGTATTATTTAAATTACTGTAACTCGACGAGGAATACGGTTACAATAGCGGTCGATACAGTTTCTGAAAGCCCATGAAAAATGACATTTTACCTCGGTTTTGCCACAATAACTTATAAAGACTTTTTTTGTGGTACTCGATCGTATATTCATCATGTATAATATAGCAATTAATATTTAAATTACTGTAACTCGACGAATAATAAAGCTACAATAGCAATCGATACAGTTTCTAAAAGCCCATCAAAAATGACATCTTGTGTTGGTTTTGCGACTATATCTTATAACGAGTTTTGTTGTGGTACTTGATCGTATTTTATATCATGTATTATATAGCAAGGCAATATTTACATTATTGTAACTCGACGAGTAATGGAGCTACAATAGCAGTCATCACAGTTTCTGAAAGCCTATGAAAAATGAAATCTTACGTTGGTTTTACGACTATTTCTTTTAACGAGTTTTGTTGTGGTACTTAATCGTATTTCATATCCATGTATTATATAGCAAGGCAATATTTACATTACTGTAACTCGACGAGTAATACGGTTATTATAGCAGTTGATACAGATTGTGAAAGCCCATGCGGCTTAGGCTGGTTATTCAACTTAGTTTGCAAATTAAATTGAGAAAGGTCTTTTGTCTTTTCCGTGAGCCAAAGTTTCACAAAATAAATGTTTTTGAACCGCAATTTCCCGCGAAAAGCAAGAGGATTCTTCTTTTTCTCTCGTTCTTTTGTCTCTCTTCTCTCTCGCTCTTCGTCAGACCCACTCAAAAAACAAGTAAACTTTTGATTGGGCCAAATTTCGACGATTTTTTTAACTTTTATCAATTTTTTTATCTGCTAACTTTTTTTTAGTTAGAAAAAGTTAGCAATCAAAAAGCTCCGCATGTGCAAGTAGGAGCGGCCAGCCTCTTGTTAAAGGCTCTGGCGAAGAGGGCGCGAACCCTCTTCCTTTGAGGGGCGGTTTTAGCCGCCTCAAAGCACCCCTTCAGCGATTCTGGAGCCCAAGGGCATCCCGCTGAGTGCGGATTGACCGGGCGGCTTCGCACCTCCGGCTGTTCTTCCTTGGCAAGGTTGAACAGCCGGGTTAGCTCAGCCAACCCGGCGCCAGCCACGCCCCCATTGTGGTCCGGATGAAGCTCAAAGGCCTTTCGTCTGAAAGACCTCTGAACTTCAGTCCAGCCCGCAGAGGGGCGCAGCCCAAGCTCTTCCTTGAGCTTGTTCATGGCTGAAGAAAAAGTTGTTTTTCACTGATTTTAGATATTTGTTTGATCGATAAATGTGTGGGTTGTGAGGAACGCGAGAGATCAAATTTCTCTGCTTCTTTGTCTTTGAAATTTTAAAAATTTTTTGGCGCGAAATTGCTGCAGCCCACAAGCTTTTCGATTGTTTTTTGAATTTGCCGCTTTTTGACGAAATTTTTGTTTTCACAAGAAAAGCCTCAGAACCAAACGCTTAGCCATGTATTTCAGCTCAGAAAAATTCTGTGCTTATCCTGATTCAGAATTTGTCTTCAAAAGTTGCTAAATATTTGTTTTCACCGAGTTATGATCGTTTGAAATTAGCACTGTTTTCCTATTAAATTCTCAACGGGCCATGAAGAGAAAGGAACAAATCAGAGGGCGTGGTCAGGTGGCCGAGTGGCTAATGCTTTTACTTTTTGGAAATGTCACTGCAATTTCGAATCTCAGTGCGTGCATGCTATTTTTACTTTTTTTGTCTATAAAATGTGCACCAGAAGTACTAATAAAGTATAATAAGCAGATGTCTGTGCGTTGTTTACATATTTTTTCTTATTGTGAGACAAAAAATATTCTAATCTTTTTCATGATTTGCCTCTAATGATTTCAAATTGTAAATTTTGCATTATGACCAACAGACAATATATTTTGTATAGTGATAGTCTATATTACAATTCTATCACGAAATATTTTTTATAAACATATTTTGAACTAGAAAACGTACAAAAACAACTGTATTCAAAGAAATTTATTAAAATTTCAATAATTAGTGATCGCTTTTGAATTGTCCCTGTAGTGATAGTGACGACAAGCGGACAGCCTTGGTCGTAGGTCTGAAGATGGTGAACGAGCAGGTCAGACCTTCATCCACATTCATCATGGCACCGACATGTCAAACTGACCCCAGTAATGTGGGGCAGAGAAGACAGTGATCAACTTGCGATTCGCGAAGAACTGTTAGCCGTCCTAAAATTGAGTTTTAATAAAAAACAATTAAATTTATTCAAAAAAGTGCCTCAAAATATATTTTTTAAAAAATCAATTCAAAGCTCTACAAACCCTTATCTGAACCACTTGATGAGCCCTAGCAATCAGACCAATTTCCAGTAACAAGTTTCCTCTAACAAGTCCAGCAAACGGCATAGCATTGAAGGCGTCCGAAAGTCTGCCACAATCGAACATTTTGGTACCGTCGCGTACACTCCTCGAAGAAGCCGTAATCGCGGTTAATCGCCGAACATTCGTGGTTTCCTCTCAACAGAAAGAAGTTGTCAGGGTACTTGAGCTAAAACAATAAACCATGATATGCTTGGTATTCGTTTATAATGCTTGTTACTTTCTTTAAAATTTTTTGAAAGTTATGTTAAAACATAAACAAATTTTTTTTAAACAGTCCAAAGCATACCAAATCCAAAAGATGGTGAATATAAGGTAAACCGTCAAATGAAAAAAAATTCCAACTAAATTTAAAATTTTAATGTCTTAAATGAAAAACTTACTTTGTAACAGAAGAATAGACTGATTGTTTCTATGTTTTGTCGCCCGCGGTCCACGTAATCGCCCAGAAACAATTAATTGATAATAGGCGGAAAGCCAGCTCGGCCAAATAACCTCATAACGTCCGAATACCTACAAGATTGGCGGCATTAATATTACAAACTAAAAACTGCATAAGAAACAGTATAAATTAAGCATTGTCACTTTTACTGTTGACTTTCCTTTACCATTAAATAAAGATTAAAATTGCAAGACTTATTTTACAAAACCAAGAATAATATCCTGTTACATAGCTCTTTAAATTTGAAAAACTAAAAATATGTCAAATAACTCACACTTTGTGATAAAAAAAACCTACTGTCAATGAGTGTCGCCGCAGATCTTGATTGGTAGATCAATTTCAAGCAGCGTACTCTACTGCAAAAACACTTCACGCACCGGCATGCACAACTGGATGATCTCCGTCTCGCGCACCACCTTGGTCAACGAACAGCCCGATGACACAACGTTCAGAATCTTGCAAATCAACTCGTCCAAATCCAGCTTAGCCAACGGCATGTTGGTGTTAAGAAGCGGGGCCTGCATTATTGTTGAACAAGTCCATGGTTGCCTGAAAAAAAGGCCATCAATATATTTGCGAAAAAATTAATTTTTTGTAAAAAAATTGCTAAAATATCAAAACTGACTAACAAATTTTACCTAAATATCTGTAATCTATATAAAAAATTTACAAATTAAAACCAGATATCAGAAACTATACCCATCACCATGAAAAAACGAGCATATTTGCCGGCAAAAGCAACCATTTGCTGTAAAACACCAAATTGATACCTAAAAACCAAGAAAACAATAAAAATAACTTACGGAGAAGGTTTCTGATCCGCAATTTACCTTGAAATCGCAAAACTGCGGATTGTCCAACACAAATTTGCATCCTGGGACCTCCACTATCGTTGATACGTGTTCTGAAAGAAATAATGTTATCCATAATCAATAAACAATCAAAAAAAACCCTCAAAAACAAAAGCCCCAAAACATAGATTTTTCGAAAAAATACTGCCTTAAAAAAAGCAAGTTATTATAATAATAATACTTATAAGTTAAATCAATCAAAAAGCTAATACAATTATTTTTATATTCCCATAGAGTCAAAAAAATAAAAATTAAGAATTAAACTTGACGCGGAATGAGAAACTTGACATGTTTGCCGTGCCGTTTCGTTTCACCACGAAAACTATGAAAGCCTAAAAAGTTGTTGGTGTTCTGCATGAGGTTAATTTTATTGAAAATTACAAAAAGTTTTTCCTCGAATTTTAGTTGGTATCAAGATATTGCAGTAAAATAAGCTAAAATATTTTAATTTTTTAATTTTTGTTATTTTTTACCTTTTTTTTATATTAAAAATGCAAGCTAACATGGTCTCAGCTTATCAACATGCATCGTTAACGCCAAAATCAATGGGAAGGTTCATTATGACTGTGTTGGTGGCTATTATTATAGCGTTCTACATTCTTTTAGTTGTAAGTTTTGTCTTTTTTTGGATTATGTGTTTAGTATCTGGATTAACAACTGAAGAAGACGGTGAACATAATGCTAGGAGCTTTGTGGATCGAATCTGGTTGATGAGGTTGTAAATATGACCTACATATATAGTGCCATATTTTTGAAATTATATGATTTCAAGACATTTATTGCCTCTAAGGCTGTATATCTACAAGTATGCGTGGTAAATATGTTTCTAGACAAATGTGACATAAACAAAGCTAATAATGAAGTAGATCAATATTTTGTTTATTGAAAGCTGTTTTTCCGATATTAAATTTAAAAATATTTACTTGATCGACATCAAACAATATTTTACAGACTTGATTTATTTATTTGTCTAAACTCCTCAAGCTTTTATCAAGAAATGCAGAGACAAGTTTGGTATATTCCTTCCTATGGCTGCAGAAGTGGCTAACATGTCCTGAATCTTCCCAGCACTTTGACACGACATCTTTTCCTTTCAAAATCTGTAAATCTTTAAAGTCAGTGATTTCCTTGTGGTTACAGAGATCGTCGCCCTTCGAGTATAGGTATAGTTGATGTTGAGGTAGGTCGGAAAACTTGATTAGTTGATAATAAAAGATGAGACGTTGTTTGACTTCTGGCGTCAGTGTTTTTAGTCGGAATAGAGGATACTCGTACGTCATGTGGGCCAAAAATGTTAGAGCTGTTGTTAGTACCTTGATATTGGTTTCCTCTTCTGGTGGAATAGATCGTATAAGGGCTTTCAAATGACATATTATTCCTCCGTAGTATTGTGGTGTGGCCACTGAAACGAGGTATAATATTTTGTTTAGCGTAATGATCGTTTAAACTTTATTTTAATAGTTTGCAAAGTTTTGGGTCAATCTTTAATACGTGATCTTATTTTAAGATTGGACTAAAATATTTTTTTTAAATTTATTACGACTAATAAAACTCTGCGATTTATAAGGCACAAGTTTTATTTACCTATCAACAATCCATCCCTTGATCTTATCTTTGACTTCCAGTCCATTTGGCTCTTGTCCTAGCCGATCCCAGATGTGACAGAACTGCGCAGCACCATTATTACTAAATGTATGTATAATCAGTGGTCGATCCTCATGTACAACTGGCTTGAAAGACCTCTGGTAAAATTTTTCGCTGTTTTCTGGAGTCACCCAAAAGTTATCGTTGAATGAAGTTGGGATCTTGATCAGGGATTCAATTCTAAAAGTAGATGTGGAAGTCATGACATATTGGTTAAATAAAATTGAAAAGATTCTTTGGTACACTTGTCTCGATGGGCAAAAGAATTTTTTTTTTGAAAGTAAAACAAATTCAAGGTACAAAAACATAATCTACCCAAGATAGTCGTACATCTTTGTATATTTGACCAGTTGTTTAGGGTGAGACTTGGCCCAGCCGAAGACGAATACCAGAGGATCTTTCCTACTCATAAGAACCAATGTACTAAAAAAAGACAATTGAAAATGAAACAATTTTCTTTCCGAAGTAAAGGATGTTCTTTGATCAGCGTGAAATGTACTTTTATCACAGAACACACAACCATAACTACATACCATTTCAAAGAGGATAGTTTTAAAATGCCATATTAACCCCAGGAACGCTATAATAGTATTATATTGTAATTTAGGGCTCTTCGGCACTATGGTACCTTGTTTTATTTATTATAGTGCTATATTTCTCGCAATAATACGTTTCATTATGTGTGGTAGCAAAACATTTAAAATTTCAAAAATAATGATAAAGCCAACTAATAGCACTGTAAAGTACAATTTAGTCAGTAAAAATACAATTTATTCAGTAATATTTTTGAATTTTCGTGGAATTTCAATATCAAACGTGGTCTCCAAATGCTCCACAACATACTCAGCGTACTCGTTGGGATGTCGGCCCAAGTGATTGCAATGTTCCGAGTCCTCCCAACACTTCCATTTGACTTGTTTTCGTTTTGAAATTTGAAAATCTTTGAATTCTGTAATGTGCTGATGACTGCAAACCGTGTCCTTGGTCGAATATAGATACAGTTGATGTTTTGGGAGGTCGGGAAATGACATCAGGTGGTTGTACGGAATCAGAAGGCGGCGCTTCTCTGGATTCAGACTTTGGAGTTTGAACTTGGGGTAATTGTTGACTATGTATGGTAATTCTTTGACGGTAATGGCTGAGAGGGTGAAGATGTCACGTTTGTTTGGACAAATTTGGTTAAAGTGTGCTTTGAAGAACTGGGTTATGCTTCCTGAACGTGCTGGGCTACTGAAAAGAAAAGTTATATATATTTTAAACTTTTCTCATGACTTATAAGTTATAAAGTAAAATAAGTTTATTTTAAAGCTCAAGGTAGAATCTCAATTCCTTACCTATCAGCAATCCATCCCTTAATAGTTCTCTTAATGTCATCGCCTTCCGGATCTTTATTCAAGTTCTCCCAGATGTATGCCAGCTGTCCACAACCGTTCACACTGAACGTATGGATCACCATGGGTCGTGGATTGTCATATATGATAGATTTGAACTCGCGATTGTAAAATTTGTCAGCTTCATCGGGATCCTGGCTAAACATATTGTTCATGCTTTGAGGTATCTTCGCTATGGATTCGAACCTGAAAAGTTTGGCTTTAGATAATTTAAAGTAGATCATATATCTTGAAAGTGATTTTATTCGTTGTTGCAGCCAAATCAGGATTAAATTGTGGTTTGAAAATGGCATTTATTGGCCAAATAACCGAAGATTTTGGTAGTAATACCTGCTGTAAATCAAAATTTTAAAGTTATTATCAATAAAATTTAAAATGATACAAAAACACATCGACTAACTTCTTACCCAATCTTTTCGTACATCTTAACATATCTGACTAGTTGACCAGGCTGCGCACCAGCCCAGCCAAATAAAAGGACTAAAGGCTTGTTACTCATCCCACTTATCACCACCACAAATAACCATTAACGATCACATAAAGATAAAAAATAAAAATGATTTTCAAAACTTACAAGTATTCAAAGAACTTACAGAAATTTCAAAAAGTATTCATGTAAAATGTCAGTTTTTACAATAAATGTCAATTCTTTACAATTTTTTCGAATTATCAACCATTTTTTACCTTCTTACCGGTCATGCCGTGGTTTATATTTCTTTACATCTTGTTATTCGAATGTGTTAAAGCGTGGAGAGTTGAGATAAACTTCGATTGTCATGGGTATTTCGCGAAAAATGAGGTAAATTTTACATTTTTATAAAACTTTAGTATTTTATGTTTAGATTATAGAGTTGTTTTCTTATGTAAGAAAAAATAGAAAAAACGTGGAAGAAAAGATCATGAAATCAACCAAACTTACAGGACCAGAAGGACAATATTCTGTGGATATTGAAGGTGATATACCAAAGATTCTGGTCTTCAAAATGTAAGCACTTTGACATTTCGTTGCGTAAATCATAAGACTTAAGTAAGTACCAAAACAATTTACAGATACCACTACTGCCCTCCTTCAAAACCAGCCTCTTCCCAGTACAAAGAAGAAGATGATCAATGTCGTGTCCAGAAGACAATAATAAGAACCAAAAATGCAGAATTAATATCCGACCTCAAAGGCAAAGCTTTCGTTAACATCTGGGACTTGAGCTCAACTGAGGAAGAATGCCCTGAAGTTGTGTTTGAAGAAGATACCACTACTGTAGCAATTACAACAAGTGAAGAATTAACAACCTTTTTGACTACAGATATGGAAACATCTACAGATAGCATAGAAACCGTAAGTGTAGAAGAAAGTACGCAAGGTTCAATCACTTCTCCCAAGAATAGTGATGGTGATGCGACTAAAACTATATCACAAAGTGATGATACATTTACGAGGACTACAAATGAAAAAGAAAGTAAAACACCACAAACTACAAGTTCTGCTACATCAAAAAAGCCACCAAAAACTGCTTCAACCACAAAAAGTACAACAAGTAAGATAACATTACTTTGATCACAGATAACGTTCTCTCATCCTATACTTTTCCAAACCTGACATAATAAATAAAAGAACTTACATTAGTATCCATTCCAATCTATTTTAGCATTGCTTTTTATCTTCTATAACTGAAACTTGAATTTAGCTTCATCCACATCAACTTCTACTGCAATCTCAAAAAGAACATCCATAACTACCACAACCACCATTTCAACAACCGAAGAATACATAGAAGACCCTGATCGATGGGATACAGCTACTGAAGTTTATGTTGAAATTGACGTTGGCCAATACGACGCGTTCTTGGGCGGCATCTTCAAGTTCAATCCCAATATTATGTTGATTGTGGTTTTCCTTGTAATAAATATTAGAAGATAGTTTTAATACTTGAAAAATTATGTATGGAATAACATTCTATTTTGCACAAAACAAATATATGTCCATCTTTTCAAATTTTTATATAATATTTATTCTTCTTCTAAAAGTTGCCGTCACGATGGCGTTTTTTCGAGAATTCTTTTTGTTTTTCGAATATTTTATAGTTTTCGACCGTTTTTGGACATTTTTCAACATTCCAAGGACAAATCGACGATTCCATCAACTGTAAGATATTTTTAAAGGTATTTATTGTAATATTTAGAATAATTATTATGTAAAATGGTAACAAAAGTGAGGGATACATAAAAATTTGCTGCTGGTAAGCAAGATGTACGGAGATGTCAGAAAAATAATGTTAGACCAATATAGGAATAAATAGAAACAACTAGGTACCTAGGAGAAGGTGTTCGAAAAAGAAGTCTTTTGTTAGCCTGGTTCACAGGTTCAAGAAGCAACAGGGTTTTTACATACAATAACAATATATTGTTTTAGTCTGTTCGGCCGCAAAGTGGAGGAGATTGACCGAAAATTGCTGGTTCAGATGGTTCAGGTAAGGAAAACACATTTTATGGACGTTTTTGTTATTTTAGGTTTAAAATTTAGGTAACAATTAGCTTATTTTCCTCAAAAATGCCGAATTTGGTCGATTCAAACTAAAACAGGGCCCATTACGGGGTGGTACAACATAAGTTAGATAAAACAAAGTAAAAATAGTTACAAAAAATAATAATAATGCAAGAAACAAATACTAAAGATAATAATAGTGAATTTAAAAATAAACTGTAACAAATATTTGAGGGTTATATGGTAGTTTGACAAGTTTTTTTGGGTTATATTTTCATAAATACAATAGATAACAGAGATGCCCATGGATTTACACGCGTTGACGATATTCAAAGATTTGTACAGAGTTTTCAAGCTAGTAACGGACTGACCCATATCAGATTAAACAAGGATAAGATTCGTGGTGGTATGTACAATACATCTAGGTGTAGATGGCACCCAAACGTGTGCAATAATGTTATAGAATAGTTGTGTGTTGTTCGTACGAAAATGATGTCTATAATATTAATATATAGACCACATATTGTAGCTATAAGAGTATTAAACACATTTGCGGTAGAAGACCAGGTTGAACTCGTCGAAGGAGCGGCCTTGTTGGTCTTCGCTCATCTGACATGACATGGTCGAATGTCCAACACGGAAGCGATATGCACTCTGCATGAATTCGCCTGCGGTGATTTGGAAGGTGGTCGAGTCCATCTGGAAAATATTGTAGAGATGTTTTCTGATCAGAAAATGCTCAGAAACACGAATATAGATATAATTTTTCAAATAAATGGGGTATTAAATGAAATTTTTGTTTTAAAATTGGGAAATTAGTTAATTTTTAAAATCTAAATAGCTAAGTTAAGTTATTGGTCTTACCTTGAACATATCCGGCTGGGCGACTGTTTCCTCGTCAGCGGTTTCGAACTCGCATGACTTGTGCTTGAATCCTTTCAAAGCTCCACAATTGTCAACGAACATGCCTTTTGGTACGCTGAAATTTGATTATTAATGTTTTAAGTCAACAATAGCAACATAAAATTTAATAATTTAACGGTAGAATTCCTACAATCTCTAAAATAATATCTAGAAAAAACTTAATAATGAAGAGCCAAAACAACTTACGTTAACTTGACGTGCAAAGAAATGGTGGGCATGTATCCAGAGATTGGTACGTACAGATTGTACCGTCCTTTTCTTGGTGCACAGCTGCCTTCAACACAGAATCTCTCGTCTAAAGTGACATTAAGATCAGTCAACTTGATCTCCACTCCACTTCCAAATGGCTTCAGTTTTCCACTATCATTTGAAATGACAGCCGACATTCTTTCTTGAACTTTGCCTTCAGGCTTGGCCAATGCTACGAATCCATCAACTCCGTCTTCGGTTTCACTCATGTTGTAGGCGGATGGAGAGGCACAACAATATATAGGACAATTCATGCCTCCTAGGGCACATGATGCTAGTAGAGGATGAATAAGATCTTGTTCTGGCGGAGACCATTCTTTGTTGGTCAGGTCGATTATATTGTCCATTAGCATTGGCGGGGTGGTGGGTGGGTTTCTGGGGAAGGAGTGAGGAGTGTAGACGTATGTTCGGTTGTACCAGTCGAGAACGTAGAGAGTGCACATGGTTACAAGACACATTGACATAATGAAGACCAAAGCAATCATGGTGAACTGTGTCATCTTGGAACCGCACAATGGTGGATCTCTAGCACTTCCCTTTCTGTATTTCTTGTAGCCACGATATCCAACTTGACTAGCTGATCCAATTTGGCTAGCGTCAATGGATGGTGTTGATGAAGTGATCGAAAGTTGGGATTGCGACAAGAATTTCGAGCTTTCTCCCAACTTTTGCTCTTCTTCTTTACCGACCAGTTGAGTCAATCCAGAAAGTCCAGAAGCCATAGAAGCACCTAACTTCTTGCGTCTTCTGGCATCTTTGGCCAGTAGCTCGGCAATCTGTTGAACCTTATCAACGCGACCATCTAGATGACCATAGAGACGACTGAGTTCTTGAGCTGCCGCGAATCCTTCGTAGAAAATTCTGGTCTCGTCCACGGTGTAGAGTTCTCCATTCTCTTTCACGGCATCTGGAAGAACTTCTGCCAATTCTTGAGCAATCACACCAACACGATGACGGTCTTTCTCGGACAAACCCCATTGCTCCGCCAATTCCGGTTTGTATGAGTACTCAACTATACGCATTTTGTTAATGTTTTCGATGGCGTCTCGAGTATCGACCGGTACGATGTTTTCTTTGACTCTTCTGTCAGATGGACGGGTAACGTTGCCAGTAGCTACAAGATTACCCATAACAGACAGCTGGGCATTGTCTAAGGGACGATCAGTGCCGATAGCAACTTGACCATTGAAGTGAAGTGTGTTGCTAGTCTTCTGCCATCCAACATCGTTCTCTTGATTCTCAAATTGCCCTGGATTTGAGGCTCTGACGATAACTTTGTCCGAAGCGTAGCCTTGCATCATAACGTAACCATTGTCAACTTCAGCGACAAACTTGACGACCAATAAGAAGTACTTTTGGTCTGGGTTGGGCTTGCCACTCTTGCGATGGTTATTCAGAGTGGTTTCTGAGAAGTGTAGCCGGGGCACGGTCTTCTTGGCCAGCTTGTGTGGCTCCAGAATCATTTCTTCTCCATCGTGTTTGATGGGCTTGCGGTCAGTTTGAGATTGACGAATCGGGATTTCACTGGAAGTCATTTCTGACTTGACTCCACAGAACATCATTTTCAATCTTCTGATGGGCTTCAGCTGTTTGTCGATGCAGACGTAAGCTGGTCGTTCCTTGACTTCGACGTGACAAGTAATCTGGAAGTGGTTCTTCTTCTGATTCACGAAACAGTTGTCAGGCTGAACAAAGTTGAAGCCCTTATCAGCGATGACATTGACCAAGGGATGAGCCATGGGTTGGCGACGTTCATCGTACAGTGGAGCCCAGTTGTTGGGATCGAATGGACTGAACTTGATGGTACGATGATGAGGCCCCTCGTCGAACTCTTCTACTGATCCGGAGTGAGGAGAGGACGAGCTAGAGTTCATCATGTGTCCCATTGGCATGGGAGTCTGGGCAGGGTGAATCATTTGTTCATTCTTAATTTGGGTGAGAGGACCATCGTATCTTCTTCTCTTTTGACCAGCACGAACGTTAGGGTTGTCGATGATGTCGCTGAAGTCAGTAGCGTCATTCTCGTTCAAGTACATGTCCATCGAGTATTGTTGTTGCTGTTGCAAAAAGTTCTGGTTGCGTTGGTTAAGTTGTTGAGGTGAGAGTTGTGAAGGTGGGGTGTGAGATGGATAGCTCATGTAATCAGAATTGGGAGATACTTGGGTTTGTTGCAACGGTTGTCGCATCATATTGGGGTCTTGGATGTGCATCTGACCCATCCTGTTGTTCATCATGTTGTTGTTCTGTCTCTGTTGTTGCTGTTGGTACTGGTACTGAGCGTATTGGTCGGGTGAGTACGGAGCATCTGAACTTGGAGATCCACTTGAAGCGCCAGCCGAAATGTCAGTGATTGGTGGCGAGTCTGGCAGTCTGGATTGAGTCGATTGGGGATAGCCAGCAGCCAACATGACATTGTCCAAACAGACCGGCTGTTGGACTTGGCGCATTTGTTGCTGCTGTTGCTGTTGTTGTTGCTGCATCATGAACTGTTGTTGATGTTGAGCTTGATATTGTTGTGGATAGCCAGGGGCTGGGCTGTCGGCTGGTGTGTCGCCATTGCTATTGATGAAGGCCAACAAGTTGAAGTTGTCGCAATCACCCAACGGATCACCGTAGCCGGTCTCGTCTTTAAGCTGATATCTTTGACTAGCCATCGCTGCTCATATGTTTACAATACGAGCGGGTTAAAAGCGTTTCTGGAGGAGAAATGTCGTAGAACGACAGAACGTTCTGTTGAGTTGCTTCTTACGTTGGTTTTGATATCTGAAAAGAGATTTTTCATTAATTTTTTTAAAGATTGCAGCACGACACGGAATATACGCGATAGCACGATAAAATATGCGGTAAAAGCACGTTTAGAGTAGAATATTTTTTTAAAAAGTAAAGAAATATGTACAAAATATATACATCTATTTTCGTTATGACAACACGGCAAACTTTCAATACAATGTTATGTTCCGAGATATGATTATTTTTCTGATATGGATAAAACTAAATAATGTATTTTACAAAATATTCACACAATACCTACAACTTGCTCTCATAATGAAGTTCAGAATCTTCTCCTTCGTTTTTGATTAAAATTTTCCGAAATCAGAATTTAAAATTATTTATTGGAAGAAGAACATTCCGAACAATCATTATGGTATATGCGGCAAAGCCAAAGTGTTTAATAGACCAAATAAATATAAACCTACATTATTGGCTTCAAACAAACAAATCCATGCATCCTTGTAGATTAAACGAATTTACAATACTATTTTCATGTCAATGTAATTTTTAAAGTAAATTTTAAAAAATATTAGGATTCACTACAGTATCTTAACGTATAATAGTGCTGAAATACGGTACATTAAACGAAATTTTGAATTACTACATAGGATAAAACTTCAAAACAAAGATAAAAAAATACTAAACAATAATATTAAAATTTTTTTACAAAACTAGAAAAATATACAATCACAACTACGATCACCTAGATTAAAGTAAAACCATACATTAAAGTGCGATGGATTAAAGAAAACTAATCGAATTGTTAATAACAAATATACAACAACGTAACAGAGATACCAGCTGAATTAGACGCGTTTATAATTGAATTGACCCATATTAAATACATTTGCGGTAGAAGACCAGGTTGAACTCGTCGAACGATCGGCCCTGTTGGTCTTCGCTCATCTGGCACGACATGGTCGAATGGCCAACGCGGAAGCGATACGCACTTTGCATGAAATCGCCTGCGGTCACTTGGAAGTCGGTCAGCGAGGTCTGAAAGTTTTGGGTTTATAGGGTTCAGATTTTTAACTTAAACTAGGAGATTCTTTTTCAAATTTAAAGGTTTTTAGCCTATGATAACTTGCTAAAGTAGAAAAAGGTCTCTTTAAAACTGTAATACGTTTTGGAAAACAATTTTATGAAATTTCAGGAGTGTTTTTTATATAGTGTTTTGGTTGAATCTTTATGATTTGAGGTCAGAAAAATACCTTAAACATCCTGGGTTGAGGTGTAACTTCATCGTCGCTTGACTCAAGCTCACAAGTTTGATGTTTGAAACCTTTTAGTGCGCCACAATCACTTACAAACATGCCTTTCGGTACACTGAAAGAAAAAATAGTTTTTAATATTTAAAAAGTGTTAAAATTAAGCTAAATATGCGGAAAAAATCTACTATAACATTAACAAATTATAAAAAATACAAAAAAAAATTATCTAAGTGTAGATCAAAGAAAAATTGTCGTATTCATAACATGACTTACTTGATGTTAATTTGCAATGGCATTGTAGGCATGTAGGCCGAGATAGGAATGTACAAGTTGTATCTTCCCTTTCGTGGTGCACAACTTCCTTCAACACAATAGCTCTCGTCTAAACTGATATCCAAGTCTTTCAATTTGATCTCAATTCCATTTCCAAATGGTTTTACATCTCGACCGTCATTACCAACAACCACAGACGTCATCTTGTCTTTTTTCTTGTCCAAAGATAACACGCCGTCTACAGAATCTTCGCTATTGCTAGAATTGTAAACGGAATTGGATGCACAACAATATTTAGGACAATGCATTCCAGAATCAGGACAAGTTGAGAGTAGAGGGTGGACTAGCGGTTGTTTGGGTAGAACCCATTCTTTGTTGGTCAGATCAATTATATTATCCATGAGCATTGGTGGAGTGCTTGGTGGGTTTCTGGGGAATGAGTGGGGAGTGTAGACGTATGTTCGGTTGTACCAATCCATTACGTATAATGTGCACATGGTTACTAGGCTAAAAACATTTTTATTATTAGTTTTTATTAAATTTTAGGAAAAAAGTTTTAAAAATTTATATTTTTAAAATATTTTAATCAAAAAAAATAATTTTACATTTAAAAGTTACTGTTAACTTACCACAAAGACATGATAGAAACCAACGCAACCATTGTACATTGGGTCATTTTGGATCCACATAATTCTGGAGTCTTAGAATGTCTTTTCTTGTATCTTTTGTAGCCGACTTGACTAGCTGATCCTATTTGGCTAGCTGACCCATCCATCGAAGGGCTGGCTGAGTTAATCGACAATTCTGATTGTGACACAAACTTTGATCCCTTTAGAGTCTTTTTCTTCGGCTCCTTCTTGACCAATTGAGTCAATCCAGACAGTCCAGAAGCCATCGAAGCTCCTAACTTCTTTCGTCTTCTGGCGTCTTTAGCTAACAAGTCAGCAATCTGTTGCACCTTATCAACTCGACCATCCAAATGACCATACAAACGGCTGAGTTCTTGAGCTGCTGCGAATCCTTCGTAGAAGATTCTGGTCTCGTCCACGGTGTACAGCTCGCCGTTCTCTTTCACGGCATCCGGCAAGACTTCGGCCAGTTCTTGTGCGATAACTCCTACTCTGTGACGGTCGGCTTCTTTCAATCCCCACTTCTCGGCAAGTTCTGGTTTGTAGGCGTATTGCACGATTCGAAGTCGGTTAATTCTTTCCAGTGCTTCTTGAGTATCAACCGGTACAATGTCTTCTTTGACACGACGATCTGATGGTCGGGTTGTGCTACCGGTGGCTACAAGGTTACCCATTACCGATAGTTGGGCATCGGCGAATGGAGCGTCGGTACCAACTGCGACTTGACCGTTAAAGTGGAGTAAACTAGACGTCTGTTTCCATCCGGCATCAATCTCTGGCTCTGCGAATTGAGCTGGGTTCGAAGCCCTTACGATGACACGGTCTGAGCAGAAGGAGTGCATCTGAACAGCACCTCCATCGACTTCAGCGATGAATTTGACGATCAGCATGAAGTACTTCTGGTCCGGGTTTAGCTGTTTTTTGTTGCTCTTCCTGTTGTTGTTGTCCGTGCACTTGGAGAAGTGTAGTCGACAGATGGTCTTCTTGGTCACGCTGTTGTTATTCAATTCAATGATATCACCATCGTATCTGATAGGCTTTCTATCTGCTTGAGATTGTCTTATTTCAATCTCATACGATGTCATCTCTGCTTTAGTACCGTAGAATAATAACTTTACTCGTCGAATCGGCTTCAGCTGCTTATCGTGTAGAACATACGTGGGCCTGTCCTTAACATCAATATGACATGTTATCTGGAAGTGGTTCTTCTTCTGGTTAATGAAACATTGTTCTTTCGGACTGTACGCAAAGCCTTTGTCAGCGATAACTTGTACTGAAGGATGCTGAATCTGTTGACGATGTTCGTTAAACAACGGCGACCAGTTGCCAGAATCAAACGGTTGGAACCTGATAGTACGTTGACGTGGTCCTTCATCAAAGTCTTCCATTGATCCCGAGTGAGTTGAGGATGAGCTGGAGCTGACCATCTGACTCATTGGCATCGGAGTCTGAGAAGGATGCACAAATTGTTCATGCTTAACCTGAGCTACAGATGGATCAACACGCTTTCTCTTCTGACCAGCACGAGGGTTTGTATCGTCAAAGACACCGTTGAAGTCAGCATTAGAATTGTCATTCAAATACATGTCCATTGTGAAGCCAAGATGTTGTTGTTGAGGCAAGAAGGTCTGTTGATTTACTTGTTGAGGTGACAACTGAGTTGGCGACGTGTGAGAGGTGTAGCTCATGTAGTCCGAGTTGGGAGAAACTTGGCTTTGATGAAGCTGCTGCTGAGCTACGTTAGGATCTTGTAGTCTCATTTGTCCCATTTGACTTGGATTCTGTTGAAATTGGTACTGCTGGTACTGTTGGTCAGGCGAGAAAGGTGGTTCGGAGCTTGGTGATCCACTCGACGCTCCGGCTGAGATATCGGTGATTGGGGGTGAATCAGGTAGTTTAGTCTGGACTACTTGAGGATATCTAGCCGCCATCATGTTGTTGTCCAAACAGACCGGCTGCTGAACGTGTCTTAAAGGTTGCTGCTGCATGGCGTAGTGTTGTTGTTGTTGATATTGTTGTTGGTATACATTCGCTTGACCGTCGGCCGACTCGTCGTTGATGAACTGCAAGATGTTGAAGTTTTCGCAGTTGCTGAGGTTGCTCAACGGATCGCCGAAGCCGGTTTCGTCGCGAAAGTTCGCTCCTTGATTATTAGCCATAAACTTTTTGGGTTTTTGGGCCGCAAAACTGGGAACGTCTGTCGCAAAAGCGAAAAAATTGTTTTTATTACAACAATTTGATCGCTTTCGTGTTGATTTTGCTTACTGAAAGTGAAAATCATTAGTAAAAGCCAGGAATTCAAGCCGGCGCGACAAAAAAATGCCGAATATGCAAATTAGTTGGCCGCGACAGTGAAAGTAAAGAATGAAAGTGAAACGAAATGAATCAGATCTGGCACATTTGGAGGCACTTGGGGAATCAAGTAGTCATTATAGTGATTCAGGAAAGGTTTTTTTAAGTGGATTACGAAAAGGTAATGGTTTGTAGCATGTTTAAACGTAAAAATACTTCTTTTCTTTGATTATTCAAAAAAAATAGAATTTTGAAGATTTTTAAAATTTAAAACAAAAAAAATGAAAAAATGCAAATTTAAAAATTCTAAAAATTCGCCGGATTGCGTAACTCCATCAACGACAAAGGAAAAGAACTGTAAACCCTTAAAGACATTCAAGGTCGAAAAGTGCGGAAACTCAGAGCAACAGCAGGAATCTCGCTACACGCCGACCTTCGTTTATGTGAAGGTCGGACGGCATATATCTGAATTAAAAAAACGTTTCAGAAAAAACTTTCGCCTTAGTCCGAAAATTGGCGTTGCGCAACGAAACGCGTCTCGAGGCGTGGAAAAAGAAATAAAAGTGCAAGTGCGTCTGTCTCATGAAAGGGGATTGGGAGAGGGGGGACTGGCGACAAAGTGCAAGAACAATTAATCGGCCAAACTATGCAAGAATTCAATAAATTTAAATGTTTGTTCGTTGCGTCAAGCCAAGAAACTTGGGGAGAAATAAAGCCTTTAACACAACTTAAAATCAAGCTATGCATTTCAAGGGTTAACAAGTTTTACCTTAATATAAACCATATGAAACCCCTTATTATAATAGGAAAATACATAAACCAAAGTTGCAAAATATTGCAAAATTAAAATTTTACTAAAAATTGCAAAAAATAAAGTTAAACGAAAAAGCTACAAAACGAACGCTCGGAAAACACTTGCAAACTATTGATTATTGTCGCGCAATGAAAAAAAGAGGGGCCAGGAAGGTAAAAAAGTGATGGAACAGCCTCGCGCACTCACAAAGGCCAGGTTATAAAATGGCGTTCGTGTGTCGAAATCAGCGAATTCGCGATATAAACGTATGCCAATAAAACTTGTCGTCAAATAGGTGCAGTTACGACAAATTTAAATATTCAAAAAGAGGGGAATTAAATAGAAAACGGTGATTTTCTAGTATTTAAAAAAGTCTAAAAAATATGAAAAATATTGATACAAAATAAAAAAATAATGACAAAAAAACTAAAAAATAAACCGAACGTTTTTTGCGCGAAACCCGTGCCTTAATCGTACTGTTTTGTGCGGTCACACGCGATCGAGTCGAGGCGTCCGCCGGATCCCCGGCGAGAGCGCGGGGGCAACGGTGGAAAGGGCGGCTGCTGAGGATGGCCCGGCCTGGTACGGACATAAAAAGTGATGGGGGAGACCCCTGTTCTTTTCTTCCTTCTTCCGCACTTCTCCCGTCTCGCTGTGGCCTTCGCTCCCAACGGGTCGAGAGCGCGCCGCCAGTTCAAGAGACTTGGGGTGGCGAGCATACGGGTATGGGAGGGTAGGGGTGAGATAGAGAGTGTAAGAGGCAAAAGGGCTTGCTATGAGATAGAGAATATACTGCGAGAAAGAGAACATGCGATGAGATTGTCAGCGTACTACCGAGATAGTTAACGTGTGTATCGAAACAGGATGATAAAAAATAAAATAGCGGCCGACCGAGAGAACATGCTATAAAATGAACATGTTTTAAGAGAAAAAATAATTGAATGCAAAAGCTGGAGAGCCAGAGAAGTGGGAAAGCTTAGGGTCGTTCGTTTTTCTTTCCTCTTGGCTACCCGCGACCGTTTTTCACGTTTCAAATGCGAGAGAAAAACTTGAAACGAACTGTTTCCTACTCTAACTTCTATATTTTCCCATCCCGTCTCTAGTCGTCTTTTTCTCTTATCGTATCTATCACAACATTCCTTAGCCCTCTGCACTCTCGGTTTAACATTTTGCATAAACTCGGCCAACGGCTATTTCATGAAATGCCCCAAGGCAGTTCGTTTTGTTCTACGTTCCTAATAAGAGCAAAGATTTCACGAGAAGATATAAACATCTTATGCGGATATAAACACATTTGGGGATAAAAACGTTAAGAATAAAAGTCATATTTGGCCATTGAGGAGGGGGGGGGGACGTAGAAGGGATCAAAATACTTTTGGCAAAGCGGATAACGACGACTATGATATTACGTTAACAAAATCACACGAGGCTGTAAAAACGTTACAGTAAAAGCAACAAACACATGGCAGTGCTGAGAACGTGCGAAATAAAGTGCAAAGCAATTTTGGTTATAGTACTTGTAATATAATTGTAATAACATTGGGTCTTGTGACTACAAATTGACTAAATATTAAGGTTACTATAAAGGTTATAGAGCGCAATGGCACGAACATCTTTTGGGAAGAAGAAGGGGAAAAGTTGTATTTAGGCTTAAGTAGGAAAAAAAAACATCAATTTTTAAAATTTTAAGACTAAAAATCAGTTTAAAATGGACAAAAACCGTTGTAAAAGCCTTAAAATACCGTAAAAATCATTAAAAAACCCCTCAAGGACCCCAAAAATACTGTAATGAAATAAAAAACCGCCATTTCGAACGAACCGAAGAAACAGCTGAATGAGGGGAAAGGTCGAGAGGTGGTGCCATTCTCTCGGCCCCTTCTTTTATTTATGCTAAATGGACATAGAACACAAAAAACCAACGAACGAGCGGTCATTTTCGCGCCGCCGATCCGAATGATGACTCTTGGGGTCACAGTGAATATCAAGGGTCAACATCATAACTTTACTGATTGTGATGACATGAGGTTTAAAGGTCTTTGGGATTTTTTAATTGTATAAAATTAGTTGCGAAAAATTTTTAGGTAATAGTGGGTAAAAAATGCTAATGCTGAGCACATGCAACTAAAGAAAATTTAAACACTATATAGGAAAAGCTACAAAATGATGACAAAAACACTGTATTGTACTTTAACAACAGAAAAGTACTTCAGAATACTGATAATTAAAAAAATCAAACTCGATACCGTAACCTGCCCCTATTCCCAAAAACCCCTCACAATTTGTCAGATTTTAGTCCAAAAACTACCCCATGTAAAAGCGGCTTGTCGACCGTAATTGTAAAAGTTTTTTGTAGCCATTGAAGGCAATTTCGGGTTTGCCGTTCGCATGACGATGATAAAAGGTTTCCCCTTCGGCTGGCGCGTGTTGGTACAAAAAAGCAACCAAAAAACCGTCGAGAGAAAATTTGGTCTGGCAAAAAAAAGTTTTTTTTGTGTTTCGAGAAAAACAATTTACAATGGACACTGGCGGAGTAGGGGGTACGGTATCTTAAGGGACGTTTTTAGGGGGATTTGGAAATATAAGGGATAGTGTAAGGGGAGGGGAGGAGGTAAGGTTAGTAAAAGGTAAAATACCTTACTGAAATGTTATAGGGAAAAATAAATTAACTGTTGTAATATGCAAGGTGTAAATTTACTGTGACTTAACACGGTGACAAAAAACGATAACAATACTAAAATGAAGTAAATTATTATAATAAAAATACTGTAAGAAAAGGCAATAAAAGTACGCGGCAAATTCTAATAAATTACAGCAAGTATTAATACAGTATGAAATCATAACGCATTTTACATTACTTATAACATATATATACAGTAGCAAATGGCAAGGCATAACATTAACTCAACATAAAAAGATACCTCCTCTTACGCACAGTAATAACTAAAGTACATTATGACTCATTACAGTATCACCCCCAGTCTCATCATTAAAAACACAACGTCACTCTGGCTACTGAAACTCAAAAATAACTACAGTACAATTGAAAAGCAGACCGAACATTGAAAACATACGACGGTAGGTATCCTTGACCTCGCGCCACAAAAACAGTCAAATTCACGTTCGAATTTCGACCTCCTCACGTCCTGACTCTCTTTTCCTGTGTTTTGGCGCTTAAACTCAAGCTCCGCCCTTTTGTTCTGTACCTCCTCATTTCATATAGTCTCTAGCCTGCAGTATCTCAAAATAGCATGGTGTTTTTGATCCGTAGGGCTTTTAAGTCGTTTCGCGAGCAGCCTCTATGAAACAAACACAACAAAAGTGGCCGTTCCGCGGCGTTCCATGGCCGTGCCGAGGTGCAATAGTGTGTGGGAAGTTGAGAAAGTGGTTAGTGAAAAAGTGAAAAGATAATGTAAAATTATGAGAGTAATTAGAGACCGATTGAAATAGTCTTAAAAAAAGTGAGGCAAAGCTTGAGAAACACAATGAAAAGAGGGAGAACGGCTAGAGAAAGAGACAAAAAGCAATAGAGAGTATCCGCTCCTTACGTCAGATGGCCGGTGACAGGCACCACAGTACACGAGACATTCGAGTCGCCGTTCCGTTTCGAAACGTTCCCCTCGGACGTTTCCAACACTGTGAACAAAAACATATTCTGTCACCAAAGCCCGCAGGCGATTTTGCAAATTAATTTAAATTTTTTTGAAATTTCAAAGAATTTTTATCAAAAGTTATGCGATTCTTGAACTCAATTAAACAAATACATGTAGTTGACAACACTGAACAAATATATGTTGTAAACAGCCAACATGGTGAGGCCTATATTACGGTAGTTAAGGTAGGGGTAAAAGATACGACAAAAACAAAAAATCAAGTCAAATTTTAGGTAACATATAAACCTTTTCAAAGCCTCTAGATTGATGTACTATAATGTCGTAAACTGTCATTTTAAAACTCTTGTCCAGGTGCCCCATATTGTGCAAATCCCATTAAACTTTTTCTATAATTTCGGAAATCGGTGCTGCACGGTGCAAGGGAAAGGAATAGCGGGAATATGGCCAAGTAAATACAAAAAAG